GGAATTCAAAAAGCCCGAACGGCGTTGTAATGGCCGTTTTTCCGACGTCTTCCGACGCAACCGGAATCTGATTATAAGCTCGGACGAGATCTATTGTGGAAAATACCTTTTTGCCACTCAGTTGTTGCGCAAAATCCTCAATGTGACGCACGGGGTATCGGTCGGGAATTGTCCGTGCGTTTAACGCTCTATAGTCACCGCAAGGCCTCCAAGCTTCTTCGCCCTTCTTCGGAACCATATGAAGGGGTGCTGACCACGCGCTCTTCGAAGGACAAGCGATGCCCATCTTCACCATCGCGTCGAACTCCTTCTGGGCAGCCCTGAGCCGGTCCGGTGCAAGCCGCCGCGGCTTGCTGGAAACGGGTGGTCCAGGGGTTGTCTCGATGTAATGCACCGTTTGGTGCGTAGTCCTCATCGGGGTGCCGCTAGGCCGTGTAAGTTCCGGCATCTGCATCAGGAGCTGGTGGTAAACGGTAGTCCCTGCTACTGTCTTCACCGACGGCGTTTCATCCTCGGCTCGTGTTCCGCGGACCGTTAACGACGTGGTCCGATCGACGAGGCGACGATTGCGGATGTCCACCATAAGATCGAAGTGATCGAGAAAGTCTACCCCGATTATGGGTTTTGTAACATCCGCAACCACGAATCGCCACACGAAATCCCGTCGTAGGCCGAGGTGCAGGTTTAACGACACTGTCCCGTAGGTGTTAATTACACTCCCATTCGCCGCCGCCAGCTGGTACTCCGATCTTTCTCGCAATCCGCCTAGCAGGCGGCGCGGAAAAAACGCACAAATCGGCCCCGGTATCTACTAAAAATTCCGTCTTCGAGCTGTTGTCTAAGATGAAGAGGCGGCGTGATGCTGGATTTGTGTCGCTGGCCGCCATCAACGACTCCCCAGGTCGTTTCCCTGATCCGTGGCGTTCCAATTGCACGGTGCAACGCACCTCTGCGCGGCCGGACCGAACCGCCAATGGTACCAGCATTTCCCTTGATGGTCCATTTGTCCTCCCGCGGGCCGCTCTCGCGATCGCGATAGAGATCGTCTGCGGTAGCGCGAGTTTGGATGATTTCGGTGGGTCCACCTGCGACGGGAAGATTGCCCCTGGTCCACCAAGGATTCACGGATGGCAGAAATTTCCTGCCTCAAGGAAAGAGCCAATTGTGACATCTTAATGTTTAACATGGCCTCGATGCTCGGGCCCGGCGGGGGTATTTGGCAGGATGTAGATACGCCCGTAATCGCGGCCTCCGTGACGTGTACCCGCGGTGTCATCGTATCCGCAACAGCGTCTGCCAACTCTGCCACCTTATCCAGCGGGGTGTCCCGCTGCGTGGCTAAAATCACCTGCATATTAGCAGGTAGTCGGCCCATCCAAAGCGTCCGCAATACACCGTCCGAAAAAGCCGTACCGGCCAATCCGCGCAGGTGACGAAGAAATTGGGACGGTTTTCTGTCCCCGATTTCCTCGTGTTCCAATAACCGCCGCGTTTTCTGTTCCTGCGACGCACTAAGCCGGCGAATGAACTCATTTTTTAGCGTCGTGTACGGATCCGCGGCCGGGGGATTCATGATAATGTCTCTTACTTCCGCGGCGTGTCGCGCACCTAACGCGCCGAGAATGTACCCGAATTTCGTGGTCTCCGACGTTACATTGGATACCTCAAAACTTCTCTCTACTACAAAACTCGGGTATCCGTACAGCGACGCGATCAACTGCCAACGGCACACTCGCGGATGTCCCTGCGTTAACGTTAGGGTCAGTCATTTTACCAGTCTTAGTCACAAAAAAAAAATAGTTTCACCGCACACACACACCGCGCTTACTATTTGTCAGACCGTGTCCTTTTCTTATGTCCTTAACACTATACACTTATTTCTCTACACTAACTAATATTGTCCGTATACAAAAAATGTCCAAATTTTCTTAAAAAAACTTTACTTGCGCGGCGAGATCACGTCGGGGTCACCAATGTGGGATCGGGAAGATAATGACTCCGCTCTGTTCCGTTCCGCACAATTTTATTGTTGCTGTCGTACAACGACGTGACTCGTGGTGCGGGTTACGCTCGACTCTCTGGTACGATCATCGCCACCGTACCAAGAGGCCTTCAAAAACAAAAGACGGTCAGAGACGACGACAACGGCTTTTCGGCTCACGCGGCTCTGGTCGTCTCGTGTGCAACCATCGTCTCGTGTGCAACCATCGTCTCGTGTGCAACCATACATTGTAGCGGCTTCGAACGGCTAAGGCGTATGTGGTGCCTTGGCCGCCACAATATTAGTGAGATATGATAGGAAATTTAATAAACACTTAAAAATGATCTAACACCTAGCTAAAGGGAATTGCACAGAGCATATTAGCAAAATATTACAAGAATTTAAGCTGAAATGTAAAAATGCAAAAGTAGAAGCAGAGAAAAGGAACATTCATAATAACCAAATGAAATCAGATAGATAAATAGAGTTGAATTCACATCAAACAAACAAATGAAAATAATAAAATATAAATAAGTGGGGTTGACTTACTACTTGTTGTCAGTGTATAGGATAGTTACCACTGGGCCAACTGTAAAGTAAGAAAATATTCATATTATAGCAATATCGGTTAGCCAAGCAAGGCAAAATCAGTTCATTGAAGCGAAATTGGTATCAAACGATAGAATAGAAGAGGGGAGAACAGTTTTAAACAGTTCTTACCGTTGGTCATTACCGTCCGGCACTGGTCAGTAGTGGTCCCCCTGGTCACCCTAGGATGATCCCAGGAGTTCCGCCACCCTTGGAGCCCCCCGCGAGAATGGTCATACAAGTCTCCGCGCGAGCCTTTAATGCAGTGGCGGAGGAGTGGGGAGAGCACAGCGCATGTCAGCCATCTCAACCCGTCCGGTAGACAAATTTCGCGAGAAATTATTATTTACGCATACCAATGGGCCTTTTCATTACCCATATACCACATATTGTTAAGAATTGTTCAAACTGTTGCGTTGGAATGTTAAACAATGCTAAGTTTTATTTATAATTGTTTAATTCTCATCATCGTCGAGTAGGTACTATGTATGAAGTTCATATGCAGCGATTGGTATTCTCGTAAAAATTATTTTAATATTTGTCAAGATTTCGTGTCGCACGAACCAATTATTAATAACATTACCATCGCGAAATCGCGTTTTCCTCTTGTGTTTGTTTCTAAATCTGTTGGTAACGTCGCGAGTGACACGAAAATGGTAATGGGGCTGTAGAGCCCCATAAAAGTGGGTCGAAAATATACGTTGGGTGAAAGGTCTGCTTGTATACCTAGTCTGTGGTTTAATTCTTGAATTAATAGTCTATTTTGTGCTTTCCATTGTTTTATACGTCATGACCTATTGTCAGAGCAATTAGTTGAAGCTTGCTGATTTTTTCCTGAAATGTCAAGAATCCATTTTTTCCAGTTACATGTATAATACAAAAAAGGAAGGTTATGCAAGTCTGTTACAACTAAAATGTTTATTTTTTAACTATGTTATGACAATGAAATTGAATCCAGTAGTTTCATGAAAGATGTTACAAAACATACTGGTATAAAGTAAAAGATCGGTTATTTTATTTAACCATAAATCATGAATCAACAAATAACTGTACAATAATGCTCAAAGTATTTACATTAAAAGAGTAACGTAACAATATATAGTCATGATTAAACAGTAACTATTTTTTTTTTCTTTTTTTGCTTTCCTTGAATCTTATTTTCATCACATGATCTTTGTGATACGTTGTATGTTTAATTGTCAGGCAAATTACATGTATGCTCGTGAATTATGTAACTTGTACGAGTTATATTCCTTCTTTGGTTATGGACAGAAAAAATTCGTATAGACGTTTAAAAATAATTTCCACTAAACATTGATAGCAAATTGATGATAAATTTACTTTAATTTGTGTAAATTTTTACATGTATTCCTACATGTGAAAACTGACCATGTCGGTTTTGTTAAAAACGTTTTGGGAAGTCGATTATTGTATAAAATTTGCCATAACCTTGAATGTATGTATGTATATAAAAGAAATAAAGTAAACAATCACAACGTGTGATGTACTTGTTATATCAAAATATCAATTAGTATAATTTATCACGCTTGCTAGACATGATACAGTTTACGAAACACACTATATATACATATATATATACGTTACATACATTTTTTATTTATTTATCAATGGCAGGCAATTGGCACCGTACTGGCGTTTATTTTCAATTTTTAATCTTTCGTGAAAATAGTTAAGAATCTAGGAATCGATCGAAACATAAATCATCCACCAAACACATTTATGTTTAAATAAATGTTTCGAGAAATGCTTAAAACGTATGTTAACACTTTGACTGCCATATATGGGTGACAGAACTTTTAACAGCGGAACTAAAACAACGAATTCTCAAGTTGAAATGTTAAAGAAAATCAATTTTAATAGGCTTCGTAAATTTTAATGAGGTTAGAAAAGTAACTATTACGACAACTTTTAAGTTGTATAGTTTACAATTGCCTCAAAATCAGAGTTTTGGTCTCGTAAACAATTTTAGGATTTTAGACTGGCAGTCAACGTGTTAAAGATATGCATTTCAGGAATGCAAAGAATCCGTTGGTTATGTTAGTCAAATAAATCGCGAAGACGATGTATTAGGAACAGCATAGTGATTTTTGCGTTGCTCGTGTCGAGCTTGTTAAATTCCTATTGCCTTTCATAGCCTGTACAATAATGGAAAATAAAAAAAAATGGCATGCAATTTCCAACAATTTTTTCAATTTGCAAATTATTACGTGTTTGCATCGTCGTTATTTTATTAGATAAAATTAGATGCAGAATTTCAAAAAACAGCGTTTACAATAGAATATATTTTAATGCAGCGAATACACGACAGTTTGTTCCGAAATTCGGCCAAAAATACATCTGTGTATAATATATAGATATAGATATATATATATATATATATATTAAATAAATAAATATATTTCCTGTCGGAAGTTGACTATTAAAATTATTCGTACGCACTTTGGCGAAGTAAAACAAGGAAATACAATCGTTAGTGCCTGTCGATGATCAAGATGATTCCGATAATTCTGGAAAATTTCTGCCAATAAGTAAAGAAAGAAAAACTATACAACTCATAACGATGTTTCGACATAAAAATCAAAGGCAATCAAGTTTATTGCAGCGAGGCGGCTCGAGGGACAAAGAAGTCTTTTTTCATTATTTTTTATTATTGGAATTATCGTGTTCCATTAATCGTTTCATCGTTTCCGATGGAATCTGTTTTTTTTTTTTAGAACGAAAGAAAAATCTTCTTCGTCGTCTCTGGTTGCACTCATACAAGATTGTTTTGTTTTTTATCTCGTTGAAATCATCTTGTACACAACGAATCTTTAAAAAAAACGTTTCTTTTTCATGGGTAATCAGTTCCACACGCCCGCAACAATGGGACAAAACACGTCCCATCCAGCATGCATTTTGTGTATCTTAAAAATAATAAGTAATAACAGATAATTACAATATTACACTAGACTCCTTTCCCGCACGTTTCAATCTTTATCTCGTCATTATTGTAATACTTAACAATTCGCATTTTCTTTTTGACATAGTACACCACGTGGCCAATTCTCGATCGAATAATTTAAACAAAAGAAAAAGAAAGAACGAAAAAATATTCTAATTCTAAGCTAACCTTAGGCGTTATGAATTTCACGGTTAACGATTCGTTGGGAATTTATAATAAATAGCCGAGCATTCGATCAATCAAAAGCAAATATTTGCTGTTAGAGATGGGGCCAAGCGTTCTGAGAACTTAAGTTACGATTGCACATAAAATTTTATGCCGCGCGTGAATTCACACGATCAACAAGAATTACAATATTCCTTGCGTGAATGAGAAAATCATCTCGAGCTTCGTGAACGTCTCACGAATAGAAATAGGCCACGTGTCGAATTTGGATGTGTAATAAAGAAAAGAAAAAAAAGAAAACATAACATACATACATACGCTCCTATATAAATATTACATTACTTATTAAAATATGAACATGGCTCAGTGTATATGCAAGCTGTTCTATAAACTGTAGATAAAAACATTAGTAGATTCGGTTACAAAGTGCATTTTTCAAAATCATATTTTAAGCATTGTGGTTTTCTAAAATCGGAGAACTTTAAGCGCAAGATCTTCATAATAAGTCTCTATGGGATGGCGTTTGTTTTTTGAACTTTTCTGCATTTAGTTCTGTCCACAAATCAAGCAAAACACTATCTTTATAATGAAAAATTTAAATAGTGCCAAGATAAGAGCAATATACACCCAGAAAAGTCATTATCTTGCACCGAGCAACAATGTGTATTTCAATCAACCAGTGTTAGGCCAATAAGCTTCGATAATGGCTTATATTTGTTGATCCTTCAAAAATATTTTCATACATAACGTATCATATGAATTCGTTTAAAATAAAAGTTAGCGAAGAGCTAAAAATAATGTCGTTCGCTATTGAGAGGGTTTACTGCGATAAGCAGGATTTTTTTAAGAGCTACGTTAAATATGGCAACTTTCTACATTGAATTTTGTAAGGTAATATCGTGTTAACGTACATCAAATTATTAATCGATGCACTTTACCGAATCCTTCACTAAATTAATCCTCAATTTATAAAACTTTATGTCGTACTGAAGTAAAGCCAAATGTAAATACAGATGGCTATGAATGATTAATCGCGATAATACGATTTAATATTTAATATTAAATTTGCATGCATACCCGCGCGCGCACACACACACATACACACACTTGTACTGGCAGTGGGCATAGCTCCCCTCAATACTCTGGCATTATGGAGTTCTTATCACAGAGATATCAATTGTTTGGTACTTTCTTCCCCATCGATTTCACTATTACAGCGAAGACTGCAGTTGTTTGTTCCAGTAAGATCTGTTTCACTAAACCGAACCTTCCTAAAGTAGCAAATACTACTCGTCGGCAGTTGCATATATGTAACAGTATTTTTTATGCATTTCGAAGATTTTTTTTTTTTTTAATCACGAACTCGACTCAACGTTTTTGTACTTGAAACTAACATGTTGCTATTATCATTATCATGGTATTGAATCTCGAAAGTTTAGCGAAACGTACAGGATTTAACCATAGATTCTCATTTCGAGACCAGCCAAGTTTTACGAAAGTAGCGAGCGACAATCGTTGAACAATTATGTTATCAAAGGGGCCTTAACGCAAATGACAATGAGCTATCAACGACGAGCAAATTTTATTTGCGAATAACGAAACGCAAAACAAAGTCAGTGTGCTGTTCACTTTGAAATTTTTATTCGTTATTCGCGAATATAATTTTCTCAATTCTGTCGACTGTCGACGATTTCGATATCGCAAATAAATTCGAATTCCGTCGGGTTAGATTTCCGATACAAATTAATCAACGCGATTCGATTTTCAAAGAATTAAGAAATTCGACAGAAACCAAAAGGCAAAGGTAATTTGGAAGAATCAAACGTATGAACGATTACAAGGTCGAATGCTCTAATTGTAATTAAGTTACATATGAACTATTTTTAGTATTTAGTCAACATATTTTGTTTCAACAATCGTACCAGTCTAACGACGACGAAATAGAATGATTGCGTATTTTAATATCACTTTTATCGTAGGATGGCAGCGCGTCCTTAAAAATTTGTCACGCAAGAACAAAATGTTTTTCAGACCGATAGTCAGTCTTTGTAATTTTGGCAAGAAATTTGGATCATTACATGAACATTGGATAAGATTTAAAAACGCTACGATACACAAAACACGCACGACGTCGAAATTTCATTCCCGAAATGGGAAAGAATATGGCGGTATAGGCTCCAGAAAAATCGACACGTTTGTTTTAAATTTCTTCGCATAGGTTTCCGAACAAATTTCAAGAAACTCTGGAATGATATAAAATCTAGCAATTAACTCAAGATAATTTGTTCGGACTCGCTATTTTCTGTTTTAAGATATTTCACAAAGAACCTTGTAAAACAAATTATGTAGATATTTTTTTGTCTATATAAAGTAATATTTAAAAAAAAAAAAATTGTACGTTTACTGAAGGAAGCAACAAACTGTTGGTTAACATATGTTTATGGTCTCGACCATGTTCGTTCCAAGCATTTCGATAACAATAATTTAGCAATTTTCGTTAATTTTTACAGTAGTCCGTTGCAGTTAACCATATATACACACATGCACGCATATACACACATAACTGACGTACACGTAACGTGAAAAAAACAAGATTGACGCAGAACACGCCGGCTAAATATCGAAGAAAGCAAAGCAAACAATATCTTTCAAAACGCAAGTCCAAGGATACTCTTAGAAGCAAAATGAAATTATTTCTTATTCTGAAAAAAAAATATCCTTGGATTTGTCAATTTCTATTTTCGCGAAGCCTAAATTGGAGTTCTTTTCCAACACCGTTAAGTCGATTTCTCAATTTCCGAATTAACTCTACGCGATAAAATTACCATTTTATGCCATTTCCAACCCACAATTTTTGTACGATCGCTGGTTGTTTTCAAGCGTTGAACAATACATGAGGGCGAGCTCGAATTGCGTCGCGATGTTTAAACAATTCTCGAAACTGCGACTCTATATTTTACGAACAGTAATTTTACAAATTATTCTTTGATGTAGTAAAATTATTGGACGTTCCTCTAATGGTTTAAGGCTTACGAGGGAAATATTTAAGCGTGATTTCCAGCATTATTCAAACTTTCAAGCGTGTAAAATCATAAAAATTGTCAATCCAATTACTTAAATTATCTTTAACTTCATCGTTTGACCGAGATGCGACTTTTATATGTATATTATATACTTTAAAACGTTGACTGCCAGACCAAAACTTTGACTTCAGATAATTGTAAACTACGGAATAAAATTTATGAATCCCATTCAAATTTATTTCCTTTAACATTTCAATTTGAGAATTAATTTTATTAATTTCATAGCGAAAAGTCCTATCATCCATGTATGCGTGACGTGGCAGTCAAGGTGTTAATAATACATAAAGTAGCATTAAAAATGAATTTGATTTGCAAAAAGTTGAATTTGTAGTGCAAAATCTGTAAATGCACTTTCAGACCTGTTACTAAAACTTGGTACGCGATCCAAAGTCACAGTTACACGTCCCTTTAGAATTAGTATCGATAAAAAGAGAAAACTTGATCTAATTATACTTTGTTAAACCCACAATGGACATCTCATATTCTTTACAGTCCATTTCGAAAGTTTGAAGAAAACCTGAAATCTGACAGTAGCAAAAATCATTCGACATGATAATGGAAACTGTCTCAGATCATAAAACTTCGCAATGAAATTCCCCGGTAACATAGTCGCGTTCTTTTTACAGCACAAAATTCTCTAGTCTTTTTCTGTCAGCGACGGGCATTGAATTCTCTCTTCTACAAGTTTTGCATTATTTGAAAATAATGCAAGTGTATAATACTTTGGAAACATTTCAATTCTTCTACTATTTCAAGACTTAAAATTTGTTAACGATAGTACGTTCAAAATTTCTTTAATTCCGAACAACTTTCAGTAGCTGTTTGATCATTTTTACCCATCGCTGCTTCTGTACGTATTTAGCTCCCGATGTTCTTGTCAGAAGACTCGGATTATGTCTCACCGTAAACAAAATTAATACCAGTTCACCACTGGTCTCTTCCACTATGATGCCTTAGCAAACTGAATAACAGAGTTCTGTCTTTGCGATGCGATGAGGCCGCTTCTTTCACTTTCCATTGACTCTAAAATCATCTTGCACCGCTTTCGTGGTGGAAGGATTAATGTTTCTCGCACAGGAATAGCCAGATCTAGGGGGTCTGGCGAAGGTACAGGACTCACAGGGTTACTGCTCGGTGGAGTTAGGATTGGTTCCCTATCGACTTTGATTCCGTATTCCCTCTGCCTTTCTTCCTCTACTGCTTCCAACGCAGCCTCGACTCTTCTGCGCGCGTCGTTTCCCGGTAAATTCAGAAGCGAGGAACAATCTCCGGCAAAATCGTTGGTCTGGATACCAAAACTATTGTACGTCGGAGAAACTTCGGGGTACAGAAACGTATGGTATTGTTCAACAGGGACTGTCGGCATCGTCTCGAAGACTCTGCCTTCGCCGGACACCACGAGCGGTTGCGAATACTGCTCTCTGGAATACACATAGTATGGAAAGTCCCGTGGAGTGTTGTAAGTAGCAGTGTCATCGCTTTGCTCATCAGTCTTTTGATTCTCCTTATCACTGGCAGTGCTTACACTGTTCGCTTGCGAGATCTCAATCTCCGGCTCGATTGGCGAATCCCGAGGAGATCCAGCGACAGAGGAATCCGAATGGGTTTTGATGTGCATCTCCATCGTTTTTTTCGAACCAAATGTTTCATGACACAGTGTACACTTATAAACCTTTTCGCCATAGTGGGCAACCTGAAACATTTAACAGGTCATTGTTACACCGCAAATTCATTAATGTAATAAAAAAATCTAAACTATGAAGTTACTACGGTAATAGTGTCTTGTATAAACAGGTAACAGTATTTAATTAACCTCTTGCACTGCGCCGAAATTCGGAAGAAGCCGTGCCTAACCTATACGCACGAATGATCGGAGCGAGCTCTAACAACGGAACTAGAAACACGATATGTCGATCGACGGAATATCGATATGTACGAGTTCGACTCGTGAAAATAGTGCAAGGAGTTAAGAAACTGTTATTGGTATTAATATAAAATTCTGGTTATTAATAATGATTATTTATAAATGATCCCGCCTAAATGGTCATTACGCGGTCGATATACAGGTTCCGACGTTGCCTAATGTCAATAATAGCTAAAATTTAGCATTCCTAACGTTAAAATAATCGTTTTTTAAATTAAAGCGAGCACTACTAAACGTAAACCTAATTCAGTAGATAGAAACAAGAAACAACCTGATGGAGCTTCAGCACGTGATTGTAGCCGAACGATTTGCCGCAGATGTCGCAGGTGTACGGTTTCTCCCCGGTGTGCGTTCGCGTGTGGACCTTGAGTTGCTTCGAACAAGTGAATCCTTTGCCGCAGGATTTGCAGACATACGGTTTTTCCCCGGTGTGGGTGCGCGTATGAATCACCAACTGACCGCTCTGGATGAACGTTTTCGAGCAGACGGTGCATTTGTGCGGTCGTTCCCCGGTATGAATTCTCATGTGTCGGTGCAATTTACCGCTATGTTCGAACGCCCGTTCGCACACATCGCATTTGTACGGCCGTTCCTTTGTATGGATCCGACGATGCACGCTCAGGTTCTCCTTCACGGAAAACGACTTTTTGCAGTACTCGCACTGGTACGGTTTTTCGCCAGTGTGCGTACGATAATGTCTCGTTAGTCGCGCGGGAACCGCGAAAGTTTTCCCGCAAATGTTGCACCGGTACGGATCCTCCCCTTCCTTACCGTGCGAGCGTAGATGGCTCTGGTACATGGTTTTCTGATCGAAGCTCTTCTGACAGATCAGACATTGGTACGGTTTCTCTTCCACGTTTGCCGACGGTGTTTCAGAACCGCACGTCGACGGCGAGAACACTGTTAAATCTGGACTACAAACGAGACTTTTCACCGAATTCACTGACTTGTCGCTACTGTCCGACATCGCGATTGTATTTAGAAGCGGTTCTGTTTTATAGTTACCCACCATTGTTCACTGACGACGAATGTATCTGGAAAGAAACGAACAAAATTAGTGTCGTATACTTATGAAACTTTAAGTATAATATACGGTTTAAAAAAAACGTTTAAACTGTGATCGTCGTTCAGAAAACACGGTAGAAAATCTTGAAATGATAGGTATAATAAAGGTAAGAGATTAAGTAATCTTTTTTCATCGAATTACAGAAATTGCAGAAATGCTTTATACCAATTATAGGTATTACCGTAGAGGATATTTAACCGACTTTGATACTGCGTGCCCCGTGTTTCTAAAGGATTTAATTGTGCTATTGTATTCGGTGTATAATAATAATTAGCAATATAATTTTTGGATATACATATAGTATAACATTGCCTCGTTGCAAAGAAAATTTCTTGTCATCGTTGTGAATTATTTAACAAAATTGGTACAATTAAAATAGTACGATATATGAAAACTTTTAAAAAGTACAAATTTAAAAAAAGGATTTCAAATATCCTGAAACCAATTTCCACGCTCAATGAAAGGCAAGAACTGTGAAATATTGTTTTACCTGTACAATAACAATATCAACAGCGTATATATTTAAACATTGGAATATTTGGTGAGGTAGATGAAGATGAAGTAGATAGGAAGAGGAGACCAGGAACATTGTCCTGCGTGCGAACGTAACTGTGTGTAAACGCCTTGATTACGCGCCGGTTAGAATCGTTGGGGTAACACAGCCTACTCCACCCGACACCCACCCCCTCCATTCGTCCCCTATAAATCCAAAAAAAACGCCCACGAATCGCGCGACGCCCCGTGCGGACACGCACGCGCACGCACACGCATCCTGCAACTTCTCTCCGTCCTCGATCCTGCCAAACCTACTTATGATATACCATGTATGTATCATCGACTCGCGAACCTGTCATATTTAGAAATTTTTCATTTCTTTTCCTCGTTTAATCCCTTACTGTTCGAAACATTTTTTGATATTTCGTTCCAACAGGTTCATGCGCAACTCAGCCATTTTTACTTATACCCTCAGACTCGTGCGCATTTTCTTATCATACAAATAAAAATCTAAAACTATGTTTCACCATTATTCATAAAATTAAGTTAATTTTTTCCTTAGATAATTGTTCTTTCAGGCTGTTTATTTTTTTTAATTTAAAAAATAGATTTGATATTAGAGGAAATTAATTTTAAGAAAATTGTTTTTATAGCCCCGAGAAAGTTCAATCCAAATTAACTGTAGTTTTTTCAATAAACAAAATTCAATCCCGCCGCTCCCTTTAAATTTTAATTTAAATAAATTAATATTTTTATGCTACATAAATACTCTCTCAATAAATATTACGAATTTTAAATAGAACACCTCTGACTCCGGATCCATGTTTACCCGAATCTGAATTCTATTATTTCCTATTCTAATACAAGCTTTCTGACTAAAATTTTACATTATTGTATTTGTAAATTCTTTGTCTATTATTATCGTACATTTTTACAAGTTCGTGTACTATTATTGCGACTCAGAAAAAGTAAAAAAACATTACGATTATAAAATAAACAATTTCCACGGGTAAAAATGGATCCGGCGCCCACCGGACGAGAATTAATAAGACTTTTATTCTAAACAGACGTACAAACACGGTGACTTTTGCATATTGCCGCTAATAAAAATATCAAGGAACGACGTTTATGGAAATAAATGTTAATTTTACAGGCGAAGAAAGTGTTTACATAAACTGCACCGTGTTGTAACGCTGCGATAGAAATTTGCGTAACCAGAGTATTTCTATTTGTTTGTCCCTCGATTGGTATCGGAATAAATCGAACTGCATTGTAGCAGATATGAAACAGGATGAGAAGGATCACCCCAGCAATACAGCTAAGAACGGGCCTAAAAATACGACCTATTGCCGTACGATGCTTCCTTGAATTCGAAAGGTCTGTTTTCGAAAAAAGGGAAAGAAAATGGAAAAACATCGATATGGAAAGAGTCTGGGGGCAAGCTTATTGAAGAAACCCGATGTTGTTCGCACGTTCCTACGAGGTCGTCGGTTCAGAATAGGTTAAGGCTGGGTTAAACCTGCACGCGCGGGTCCCTCTCCGGGAGGCAGTCGTCGCGGTCGGCGGTGGTGCAATGCCGCGCCGCGTCGCGGTGGAAACCGCCTGCTGCTGCCTCCACGTGTACTCGCGGCATTTTTTTATAGCGATCACCGACCTCGTGCAACTCGCCGCGCAGTAAGGACGTTGAGTTACATCACGGATTGCGATACATATCGCCTCTTCTAAGAGAATCTATCGCGATCTTTCTCTTCCTCTCGCGTGTGTAGATATTTTTTTTTTTTTTTTTTCTTTCCGTACACCTTCCGACCCCCCACCCTTTTTCCCTTCGCGCGACAATATGTACATAGGTATCTTCAAGGATATGAAAATACAATCGATCGCGAAAACAACGCCGCGAGCCGAAGTTCGCGGCCAAGGCGATGATCCGGCGAACTTGGTCGCTCGAAACGGCTCGAATTTTTCTAGGTTTTCTCGACTTTTCTTATTCTTCAAAAATCGCCGCTCGATTTTCGATTACTTTTTTAGGGAAATCTCGAATTTTACCAAATTTTTTGTGGGTCTAAATAAAAAGAAAATTTATTCACATAGACTATTATGGGGGGTTATTTTACTCTTTAAAAAATGGATTTTTTTTTGTTTTGTTCTTTGAAAGTCCAAACATATTTCTGTCAACGGATATGTATACGATGCACCTTTCCACAGTAATGTAAAATTTTTCAAAATAATTACCATGGTATCTCAAGCTCTAGTGGACCAAATGGTAACAGATTTGGAAAGTCTTCAGCATATGTGTATCTATCGTTTGAACTACGATTTTCCAAATTCGATGCTTTATACTATTTTTTAGCACATTACAGGCAAAAAAAAAAAACAAAAAATAGATTCCTTGAATTTGAAGTATTTCTAAATGTCTATTTTTTAATATTTTTTCAGTATTCTAGTTACGGCTACAATCATGTCCATACTGAATAACATACTTTTTGATTTTCCATTTTTGACGAGCAGAACGATCGGAATCATGGCAAATATGGAGACAGCTTCTTTTGAAGGGCCTCTATTAAGATTATCGTAACTTCTAAAATATTGATTATCATTGAAATACAAATTTATATATACATATACATATATGTGATCAAACTTTTTTTTTATAGTTTTCCCCGACATTTTTGATGAACGTTTTACAGAAATCTCGAATTTTGCCTTTGCATGGGTCTAAATGATTTTTCATATCAATTTAGGCTCGTTCGACATGTTTTTTCTTTTAGAGATTTTCACAGACAAACATGAAACGAGATTGGGCGATGGAAGCTAAAGTATGATCCCACCCATAGTAGCAGATCGGGCATTCCCTTTGCAGAAACCATAAACGAGCTGTATACCTCTCCACATTCTCGATTCGTAAACAATCGAGAAATTACGGAGTTTAATACTAATAGTACCAACGAAAATTAATTTCAAAGTGTTTGACAACCTCAGTTAGTAAACATATCTCGCGCAAACAGACTAAACGTAAGTGTTCCTACACCGTATCACGGTATCCCCAAATCTGATAGTGTTCGTATTCCGTTGTTTTTCTGATAATTTTTCGATAAAGCATCAAACGATCTATATTTATATAAAATTTATTCAGTCCGATAGATACCAACAAATTCTGGTCATTAAAATTCGGGACACTCCTGAAACATTTTAATAAACGAAGAAAATGAAAGCAAGTTTAATAGAGCATTCCGAGTTTAGCCCCGAAGTCTACAAAGAATTTATGTAAACGTATAAAAGTAATATATCCATTCGAATATAGTGATTACAAATACCGAACATTCAAAATTTACGCAGAAATTTCGATGGGCTGGACAAATACACCAGCTGCATAAACGTCAACATCACCCACCTGTGTAGTTCCTGTTAGATCATTCCACAGTCGCGATATCCCACACTGCGTCTCGTCATCCTTTAGATAATCAGCACAAATCAACAAAATAACTAGCAAAGATCGAAGGAACGAGTAAAAACGAATGCACGTGTCTTTTTTAAAACATGTCGCGTTCGTTTATCACTTCTTGCCGCTCGATACCGACGAAAAACTGAAACTTGAAAACCAAAGGACCCGCCTCAGGACACGGCCAATCGTACTGTGCAATGTTTACCGCCTGGCCGTGCCGAACAGCGACGGAAATCATCGATCATGGCCGAACCGCGTTGCTCTACCTTGCCCCACCATTCCGACGTACCCCCACCACCGCGATACCGACGGCGACCTACAATTTAGGGCGACTAACAATAAGTGCTTTCCGCAGCACGTGGAGGCAGCCGTCGTGGTTTCCGACGACCCTGCTGCGCGAGTATACCGCCGAACGACAGAGAGACCGATGTGCGTATCTCTCCGTCCTTTAGCGGGACGCCATACTATACACGCGTACGTGACGCCACAGCATTTTACGATAAATTTAGTTAATCATGGATTCATTATCAGCGGCCGAATATACACTGCTGTACGTACAGCTAATCGCAAAATTGAACGTACACGTGCATTAGAAATGTATTTACTTATGCTGTTATTCCCATTACTACTAGGCATCATTTCTAGAGTGATCTTTGGTATAAAATATTTACAATAAATGTAGATGAATACTTTTAAAACTGTCTATACATGCTTAGTCATTGTGGCGAGTATTATGTAAAAGGAATATGTTTAACGAAGTTAACAGTACCTACTTGTCCTATGCGCGGCAACTAGCCAACAAACCAATTTGTTGATGGAGGCTTCGTTAAAAAGTTATTAACAATTAAATTCAACAATTTCAAATCGTTTTGGAAAAATTATTTTCGGTTGCGGGGGTCAATTGCAATCATTTTTGGTGAATTGACATATCCCCGAATTCCCGCGCATTTTTGAGAAAAAAATTCAGTACGAGCGGAACTTCAAACGTTAATAACTTTTTTACAAAGCCTCCATCGACAAATTGGTATTCTTGATTTTCGTCTTATTTTGGCCTCTAGAATCCCCCATTAAAATTTTTTGTGGTAAATTCCGATACAAAATAGTCTACGGTTTTCTTTTTAGAAAATAATAAAAAAAGTCTAACAATAGCCTGTCTAGACTGATTTCTATTCATAACATAGTGTTGTTTCAATTCTTTTTTCGATTTCTATCGAATATAATCAATGATGGGATTGATACTAGGCGTACGGTATTAAAAAGAAATTATCGTTTAATGGCGTAAGTACACCGCACGTTTCGAGTCGATGTCGTATTAGAAATAAAATTTCTTGTCATGATCCAATTTTTCGGAACTTATCATAAAATTATCTTTTACAATATTCGGATAAACATATTTATTCGTAGTTTCTATAAATACGAGTTCTCCAACACCGAATAAATTCTCTATATTCTTCACCCTGTATAATTTATAACTATTTATTAGAAAGCATAAAAATGAAAAATATACCGAATAAGATATATTAAACGAAGTCTATTAACTAAAACTATAATTTATTTAATGACAATATACTATTTAAAGCTGTTTCTGATTCAGAGAAATATTAGAGTTTCTATAGAATTTTCAAGATTCTATACTTTCAAAGGTTTCAGGCCTTGAATCATGTTTCAAGTGATTCGAATCGTAGTTTAAGAAAACTTCGAATGGCTTCAAAGTTGAGATTCAGGATGTTCATTGTATACGCAGATTCAAAGCGATTCGAAGTTCAAATTTTTCGTCATACAAGCAGATTCAAAACGATTCGGTTTGCCATCGGTAATTACATCGCTATATTCTAACGTCGAAACCTAATCTGGAAGGTTGTTGAGCTGGCTTTTAAACGCACGTTAGCATGTAATCTGTCCACGGGCAGCCAAATTTCGTTCGACTGAGTCGTGGTCATGCCTGGGACAAGTGTCGTGCGTCGTAACGATTTTGCTTTCGAACGGAGGAGAGCAATGACCCACTGCGCGCGGTGCACGTGTGCTGGGTGAAAACCATGACGACTGCCTCAGGACGGGGCATTGGACGCCGCGTGCGCCGACGAGGACGACGCCTGCGGTGCGTCGATTTCTGTATATGTATGCGTACCGCCTCTAGATAGTGGTAGTAGCCGCGTTACAGACGACAGCAGTGATAGATGACAATGACACTAACTGCCGTATCTAGCAACAATAAAATTTTGCAGGTTATGGTCCATCAGGAATAATTTTAACTACGAGAAAAACGATTTTTACACTAGATTGTAAAAAATATCTGGCCATCTTACATATCGAGCAAATTTTTTGTAAAATTTATTAATTTATTTTACTACAATATGCAATAATTGTCAAAATGAAATATAGTGTATTAAAATAAAATATATACATGCTTATTTCGAAGATATAATACGACTCGTATTATCCTCTTTATAACACTTGAACGTGGTCATGTTACTAATATTGTATTTTGTTAATGATCATTTTCAATGTTCCCAAAAAATGTTTGATAACATCAGACGATAGTGGAAGTGTTTTTAAACGATGAGACATATTATAACGTAGCTATTCTTGAGTTTTCCTAGCGGAATGCCATCATTTGGTAAAAACGACTAGGGAGATGTATTTATAATTATAAAACGACGCGTGCAAATACGAATCGAATTGTTTGAATAAACGCCTATCGTTACTAGAAACGACGTAAGTCGAGAAAACCTAAGTCAGGGTATGACTGTACGGCACCCCTCGGACAAACACAAGATTTGAACATCGAATTTCAGCAGCATAATAATGCTGCGATACCGTCAAGCTGGGGTCCCCCTGAGCAATCTCCATTATCTGAATCTGCGAACGCGTATCGACGAAGGGTCACTATCGTAACATCATTCGTTATAGAGAAACGTAAAAAAAGACAGGGTATAATGTACAGTAGACCTCCATATTAAGAAATGTTAATATACAAGGTGTTCGGCCACCCCTGGGAAAAATTTTAATGGGAGATTCTAGAGGCCAAAATAAGACGAAAATCAAGAATACCAATTTGTTGATGGAGGCTTGGTTAAAAAGTTATTAACAACTAAATTCAAACATTTCAAATCGTTCTGGAAAAATTATTTTCGGTTGCGGGGGTCGATTACAATAATTTTTCGTGAATACACATACCTCCGAAATCCTATCCATTTTCGAGAAAAAAATTCGAGAATGCGTGAAATTTTTCGACGGAAAAAAACAATTTCAAATCATTTTGGAAAAATTATTTTCGGTTGTGGGGGTCAATTACAATCATTTTTCGTGAATACACATACCTCCGAAATCCTATCCATTTTCGAGAAAAAAATTCAAGAATGCGCGAAATTTTTCGACGGAAAAAAACAATTTCAAATCATTTTGGAAAAATTATTTTCGGTTGTGGGGGTCAATTACAATCATTTTTCGTGAATACACATACCTCCGAAATACTGCGCATTTTCTAGAAAAAAATTCGAAAGTGTGTGAAATTTTTCGACGGGAAAAAAAAATTTCAAATCGTTTTGGAAAAATTATTTTCGGTTGCGGGGATCAATTATAATAATTTTTGGTGAATAGGCATACCCTCGAATTCCTGCCCAGATTCGAGAAAAAAATTCACTAAGTGGACAAATTTCTCGGTGAAATTAAAAAATTTCAAATCGTTCTGAAAAAATTATTTTCGGTTATGGGGGCGAATTACAATCATTTTTGGTGAATAGACATACCCCCGAAATCTTGCGCATTTTCGAGAAAAAAATTCAATACGGGCGGAATTTTAAACGTTACTAATTTTTTAATAAAGCCTCAATCGACAAATTGGTATTCTTGATTTTCGTCTTATTTTGGCCTCTAGAATCTCCCATTAAAATTTTTCCCAGGCTACATAACAGTTATTATCCAAGAATCGAAACCGATATTATAACTGTTTTCGATCACTGCCCGTCAAGTTTATATAAATGGAATTCAATCGTATACATACATACAGCTGAGGTGGCGGATCAACGCGTTAAAAAATTCGTGGTTTCGCGAGATGTAATCGTTATAGTGCATTTGGATTCAAATTATAGAGGAAGATAGTAGTAGGCACGCTACAATGTTATATAACACGTTTATAGACGTATAACTTTAAAGTGTATTCGAAAGATATAATACGTCAGTGTCGTTCGCGTGGATGCAGATAAGATAGCCGTTTAAAATTGCAATCGCAATATGCAATTACACGACACATTTTGTTACTTTTTTTTTTTAATTCCGTAATGTGTTTGAAATATAATCTCGAGGAACGATCAACACATCGACAGCCCATATTCACGTGTAATATGATTTCATATCGTTTATTAAACTTACCGAGTTTGTTCGAGATCAATCGAGTATCTTAAACTGAATCAGCTGAGTTTGTTCGTATCCCTGTATTCATAGTTTCTTATAGTAATATTCTTATCGTTCTCGAGTGATATATAATATTTTTGTAATCTTTGTGTTCATGAATCGAGCCGCTGGCGTTACGAAATGGGAGGCACGTGGGTCAATGCGACTTACGTGGCTCAAATACACACAGTGTCGGGGTCACGATGAGATCGACAAAGGTTCCGAATGTTGAAGATAGAAAAGGTCGAATGACGGCGGTGGGGGCATGGACCAACTAGAAATATCAAGGGCGGGGCGGGAAGAATGGGTGGGGTGAGGGTCGAGGTAGCAATCAACTCTAGAGCAATGTCGTACCTTGACCAATCTCAACGCGACTTGTTTTAAGCTATGCCAGCGGCGGGCCTTAGAAGTAACTCGCAATCGTGCCGAAACCAAAATGGCAAAGGGAAAGGAGGACACACAGAACCTGTCCTTTTCCTTTTCATTGACCAATCGTGCTTATTCATGGACCCACGTGTCGATAGTTATGGCAAATACATGTACAATTTATATACATTCGTACCTTAACTTACGCCGTTTCGCACTTGTGTCATAACAATAAAATCACGTATACGTGACAATGGCCGTCAAAATGTTAGCTGTTATTATAGCGTGGTATTTGAACAAAAATTTGTAGCGAAGATACTGATTATTTTGTTAAAAACGACCGATGAATGATCAATTTCTTATCGTACAATATTATAGTATTTCTATATTCAGAGATATTATTATTGGTTGGATAATTATAACATTATTGTTATTTTATTTATTAAACAAATAATAATTGTACACATTGGTTGCCATCTGGTGTGATACATAAGCCTTATGGTTAGCAGTAACGTCAATTTCTGAACGACATAGAACTACATTACCGATCGCGAATGTGCTAACCTTATTATTTCTGATACTTATGATTTCTAGTACACGTTTGTAGTAAGCTTCTTCTACGTGTTTTCTTTACACGAATAAAAGTTTTTTTTAGGCAATGAAAATTACACAAAGAATAACGTCATGAAATATAGAAAACAAACCCAAACCTAACCCAAACACTATAAGTTCTGTTCGATCTACTACCCTGTATAAGCACCGCAAAAAATAATAACAATCACGATGATCTTTTAAATTAATCTTTAATCTAATCTAGTCTAGTCTAATCTAATCTTTTGAATTAATTTCTTGTTTAATATTGGACAGCAGTTCTTTGTTTATTTAATATTACATTACTTGAAAAAACAACGTATAAGTAGTGCATAGTCTACATAAACACATGGAAAGGGGATTAAAGTAAGTCGAATCGACATAGTCGTGTTAAATAGAAAGTAGAAAGTGTTTCTAAGGTCAATGACTTAGTCCCACGTGTAACAATGTATGCCACCAACTGCACTATACAGTCTATTGCATTTCAAGGTCGCGTGTATACGAACACGTTTTTGTTTAGCTTTCTCTTTCCAATATTGCATAATCCTAAAATTACATGCAAGAGATGAAAACCTTCAAAACGAACCGACCTCTTAAAATTAATAATGATCAATTTAGTCATATATTAGCCAGATCAGTGGTTCTTAATTTTTCTTTTCTATGACCCCTTTTGACATGGACGAAATTCATGAACCCCTTTTTCAAAATATTAGTTGAATTAATGTTTTTGAAACCAATGTTCCGTTAGAGGTTATATTGGACAAAATATGATTAAGGTGATTTACAATACTTCAGATGTCCCCAAATTTCGTTTTCTAAATCAGCCCTGAAATAAATGTTTTTGTTATATGACGTAGACGTGGAAATAAAAAATGCAGTTCAGTGACTCTGCAACTTGAAGTAGCTGTATTAGACCGTATCTAAAAAATAACAATTCGATACGCTAACATTTATCGATGAAAACTGTGTAACGATAAACTGCTGAAATGAAAATGTTTTTATTAAGAAGAAAAAAACGTTCCAAAAAACTTGAAGTCTGATCCTTAAACTCCGTGAAATGAAATTGTTGTGTGGTATTCTTAAACATGGCATTATTGGCCTGAATAAACGATAAACAACCGAATAGTTTTCTAAAAGAAAGGGTATATGTTTCATTTCATGAATTTTAGAGGATAGCGGGAAAATGAGCAACTGTTCATTGCAGCTTTTTTTCATTTTAAAAAGTAAATAATAATCCACTCGGGTGAAAGAGATTTATTAACTACAAATTGAAACATTTGTAATTTGTACCTCTTTTCAGAGAATTAAGTGAATAACTAAAAATAAAAAATATTCTACCGACTATATCAAAGGCTGCAAGAAGTCTGTACTATCTAATGTGACAACTGAACGATTTTAAATATAAAAATGGATAAAACACCATCGTTAATTAATCCTTGGAACATTTTATCCACTGTAACTACATTTGATGTAGGTAAGTAACATAAACTTCGAAGCTTCATAGGAATACGGTTAGCATTAAGATACGCATATTATTATTTTTTGATAATTTGATTGTATCGTTAATATTGTTATTAGGCAGTAATACAAGATCTACAATATGCATGGACAATAACACTAATCAAAGTAATGGACAAATTGTGACCGTAGTTGCACCGTCAACTAGTCTTTTAATCGGATCGCTTATACAACAGCTTTGCACGCTTTTCGAAGGTGATAAAGCATCCAGGAACAAATTATATATTGGTAATTCTCATTTGTTACTAAAAAGGATTAAATTCGATCTGTTTCTCTTAATTTTAATTATAACATTTCTTTTTAGCAATCTGCGATAGACTTCACGAATTGAAATTAATCGATAGTTCCTACAATTTAATGGAATTTGATACATTAAGGGGACAATATCAACAAGCAGTATACCAGTTGATCGCGGTTGCACGTACAGCAACCGGTTGTGAAAATTCACTGCACATTTCTAAGTATAACGTTTAAAATAAATCAGCTTTACCAATGTTTCGCGCAAATAGACAATGATCTTTATACATTTACTTCAATACAGTCCGTTGATGACAGGTTGGTCCAGGTACTACAGAGAATTTGAAGAAATAAGTTTTATTGCTTCCGGAGGATTTGGTAATGTTTATAAAGCCTTGCACCGTCTCGATGGTATTGAATACGCAGTGAAAAAAATAATAGTACGTTCTGGCCGAGTTAAAAGTATTATGCACCATCTCGAAGAAGTTAAAACTCTTGCTAAATTAAATCATACCAACATAGTTTCGTATAAAGGCGCATGGATCGAACCAACATTACCGCCAGCCTTTCTACAAAGTTTACCATCTACAAGTCATTCTCCGAGCAAACTAAATTCTGCGGATAAAAGAAAAAGCAGATACAAGTCATGTGCAAATAAAAGCTTTAATTCACAGAGCCAATCGAATTGTAATAACAGTTGGGACAGTCAGACTAGAGAGCAGTCGGTATACAAAGAAAACTACGAACAGGATAAACAATTAAAGCAACATAGTAAAAAGATAGATTACAAATCCGGTAGGTACATTCAAACCAAAGATGAACACAGATTTAATGAACTTAATACCACAATTAATACTATAGGACATCGAATAATCGAAAATGTTACCGAAGAAAGCACGGAGAAAACTAATTCGAATAGTATATCTTTCAGAAACGATAGCAATTGTAATGATAATGAAACAGAAAACGGTACAAACTCTACCGATGGTAGCGATTCGTGGGAAGAATCTAATAGCAACAACAAACTTTGCTCATACGTACCCCCAGTGGTTTGTGCGAATTCTTTATCTAAACCTTACAATTGAAAATTTTTAGATAGAATTTAATTTTGATTAAAAAAATTTCTTTTTGAAGAATGAACAGTACGCAACGTTGTACATTCAAATGACCCTTTGCGAAAAAACGCTTCAACAATGGCTCGATGAAAGGATTGAACTTACTTCGCAGACAATGATCATTGCTGTGTTAACACAAGTTCTTTGTGGTTTGGACTACATACACTCCTGTGGAATTGTACATCACGATATAAAGGTAGCAAAAGAACAATGGATTTGTACTGAATGAAATACTCTAGCAATATCTTTTAATTTTAGCATCTAGCAATGGGCAGAAGTAAAAGTACTAAAGTCTATGTTTTACGAATTCCTATATCTTAATACTTCGCGGTTTAAAACATTTTTAATATTTTATTTGCATAAACAACGATTAATAAATTACAGCTTGAGCTATCAGTGAATCGAAACATTACTTTAGCGATTATTGGATACGTAAACGTTTTATTCTATTTCAGCCAAGTAACATATTTATTTCAACATCAAATCGACTTCAAATACAACTAGGCGATTTTGGATTGGCTTGTCCATTGCAAAGTGAAAATCGTCACTCTATACTTGGTACACATATGTACGCTGCACCGGAACAACTCCAAGGAAAATGCGATCCTAAAGTACTGTTTTTTCGATTGATTTTTTAAGATTCCAGACTAGAATATTGAATGAATGTTTACTATTCCAGAGCGATATATACAGTCTAGGAATAGTATTTCTAGAATTGTTAGTACATACAGAAACTCATATGGAGCGGATCGAAATAATTCAGAGTTTGAAAAGAGGTCAAATACCGACAACATTAACCGCTACTTATCCTAAATGGGTATACCATTAAAACAAAATTTGATAATTCTGGTAAAAGGAAAAGTATTTAAAGATAAAACTAACTAATTTTTTTACAGGCGCATATAGTAAGCCAATTAGTACAAACAGATCCTAAAAAACGGCCATCGACCAGTCAACTGTTGCAAAACTTGAACGAGGATAAAGACGTGACTATAGCTCAATTAAGAAGCGACATTATAGAGAAAGACAATAAAATACAAAAGCTGGAGGAGAGAATCTCGATGCTAGAAACACAAATTACTAAATATAATATACCATTAAACGATACATAAGTTTTTATGTTGATTAAATCGAAACGAGTTTCTAGAACAAAAATGTATAGTACAATTTTTTCTAATATAAATTATAAAACCAGTACGAATTTGACAGTATATATATTTAGTTTGTACATTCATCGAAAAATTAAACGATGTAATAATTACACATTTCTATTCATTTTTTGTTCGATAATTAAGTCGTGCGTTTGTTAAAAAATTGCACCTAGTGTTTTCAGCACTATGAGTATTCGAATCAGTTTCTGCATGCAGTATTACAAATTACTAATGTATTACTATTATCAGTTCTAAATTTCGTGTTTTGTGTTGAAACATTGTATGTATAAAATATATTATTTATAAGGTTTTCAACTTTCCTTAAACATTATTTAATATAATAGGAATACATTGAAATATTACAAATTTGTTTAATAATATGTACATATATAAAAATAATTATTTTCTATATTATGTAAAACTTTTATACGACACGACGCTTCTGTAAATATTTGTTCAATAATTCTAAACACTAACCCATCTTGATTTAATTTATTTCTTCATTTTTCCTCGTCTTTTATTATAGTATCTAGTAATTCTTTAAGTTGCATTCCTGCAATTATTCTAGTGAATGGTTTCTGAGGTGTGACGCATTGTTCAGTTAAATATCGTACATTTGGATAATTCTTTAATATATCTGCAGGTATATTATGTAGAAGACCATCAGGAAACACACTGTTATTTATATTAAATGCTAATAATATCTGTAAAATGTAAAACTTTTTCACTCAAGACAATGTTAAGGTAAAAAATGTTTTCTCTGATATATACACTGTTATTTATACTTTGTTAGTAATTATCCTGTGCTTTTAAATAACTGACCTTACATATTGCATAATAATTGTGATCGCTGATTTTGTGATCACATATTTCAATGGGAGAATATACTAAACAATCTGTGCAATTCAAGTTTTCAGTATTTTCTTGTAATCGGTTCCAAGTTGTTGATTCTTCTAAAAATATATTTACCAAACTACTGAATAATATTATTCGTTCAAAACTTAACATCGCTCCGCATATATATTATATTTGATTAAATACGGTACGTTAGATTTGCAATGCCATTACCTTCGGATAAAAAATTTTTATCAACAATAATCATATTTTCTAAATCCACGAACTTTGCATTATTATTCGAATCGATGGCTATATTATCGGCTGATACGTCGGTTAAATAAAACCCAAAGTCATTGTCTCTATAAGTGAACATGTGAGCAGCATTTAAAATACTTGAAGCTATTTTAGCTCTGAGTAACCACGGTTTGTTATAGTAAGATGTCAACGGTAATCCGATGTATTCTTCGATTACAATACGTCCGCATGCACCCAAATATTTTGGTACCGGCCAATTTTTGTCCACAGATAATATCTATGAACAAATCCATAATATTTTATATTTTATTATGGGAGATGTTCTTAAAATTGATGGACATTTCATATCTATTTTCTTCTACTGTTCCTATTCAATGTCCGTGTACATAGCATTGCCCAAATGTATTCTATTCAAATTTTAAACGAGTTAGGACATGACATGGTATTTATAATTTATATTTGGAAAGTGAAAGAGGGAGAAAATTTCTGCTTTTTCCTACAAGTATCCAAAAGACCTAATTTATGGCTTTTATCTATTAAATATTCTAAATTAATTTAAATACCTGAAGTATGAGAGGCTCGGGATTAAGAACTATGGACGTCCAAATATTAATATCAAGTATTTTGGAATCAACGTGCTTATTATTAAGATATATATGCTGTAAAAGATTGCTTAAACGTTGTGTATTCGGACAAACTCTTAAACGACTCAAGTTATCCTTTGTAAAATCTAACGTGACTTCTTGTACAACAAGCTCGTAAAAATTAATATTCGTTTCATTGTACAGTTTCTCTAAATCCCTTGTACAAATATGAGCAAAGTTCTTATTTTCGCAAAGCATTCGATCGAATTCATTTAATTCGGTCGAATGTGCCAACTTTTTTAACAGAACCTTGTTTCCATCAAGGAACCCGAAAAATACATTCTTTACCCCGAAGAAGTAAGAAAATGCTGAATAGGAATCGTACGGTGTGATATCTACTTTACGAATATCGTTACAAGCAGAGGTACCAAAACATGCTGGACATTTATGTAATTCGATCAAATGATCTACGTCTGGTCGGAACGTAATAATCCTGGACCATTTCAAACCGATAAAAACTGTCACGAAGAATAATAACTCCCATTTTTTAAACTTTAGAATGTTATATAAATATGATAAAATCATAAATCTGCACTTTTTATAATTCCGTACGTCACTACAAACGTTAAATTATTTTTCTCTATTACGTTTACTTGTTAGGTTAGAACGTTGATAAAAAAATAAACAAAACAAATCCACTAAAAATAGAGATGGGCGTGCTAAATCACTAACTGTAGGATTCGTTTCCTAATGAATACTGAGAGACGATCTACTATCATAGGCACGTTGTTTAAACCGGTATAATAAAAACTGACTTCGTGAACGTTAACAATGTTTATTGTATGACTATCAAGTTCACCTCTGTCCCAAACAGTGTAGCCAGATTTGGCATAATTCAGTGCATCAACGACGACACTAGTTACGACGAACTTCCTTAGCGTCTAACGGAAACATGATTCGTGTAACTTCGGGAAATCGAGAAAGAAGGGTATTGTGAGCCTTTCCTTCTTGATCTTGAACAGTTGAATTTCGAATCTCGGGCATTTTTACATTCCGACACATATAGACACATAGACAAACTTTATAATGAAAAAAAATGTACACGAAAATACACATTTAAGACTTCCTAATTATGTTTTAACTATTGAAAAAAAAGTTATTTTTACTATTCGTATGAATGAGCATACGTATACATATGTATATTATTAATACGATTGAGTATAAACAGCTGATTAAATTTACACTCAACACGTGAAAAATAGACTTTGCTCATATTCACGTTCAAAGGAACCAGAGTTGTTCGTTCTGATCACTGTTTGCGAAAGATCTTTGCAAACCAGAATTCTCGATCCTGAATGGAACGTTTATTTTTGTTGTTCAGTAACACAGAGTAACCGAGTTTAGTAAAAGATGTTCAAGAGTTGTTCCGTACCAAAGTAGTTCGTAACACGAAGAATATGATTTTATTCATCTTGAAAGAAACCAGAGTTGTTCCTTTTGACAGCTGTCCTTGAATGATCTCTTCAAACCAGAATTTGACTGTGCTGCGTAGGCGCCACTCTTCTTGCTCGACCATCTTCGATCTTGATTGAAATTAGAGTTGTTTTTGCTGATCGCTGCGAAGGATATCAGGATTTTGACTAATAGCTACGTCCGACCACTCGCGGAGTTTTTACAGGAATGACTCTAGAGCGAGCGTGCCCTTACTTATAACTTCGACGTCGATCCCCACCGCTGGGCTCCGGACCAATCAGCAGCGAGTAGCTCCGAGTCCCCTGGCGCGCCGTACCAATCAGTGCTGCCCACTGGTAGTTACTCGTCTACAAGAAACAATAATATTAATTCATATAATTAATATATGCATTGAATTTACATGTTTATTTTGTTTGATTTTTTTATTTTTATATAGATAATACTACGTTGGGTTGTTGTTATTTTTCATTAATTCATATGATTAATATATGTATTGACATTTTAATTTTTATATAGGTAATACTTCGTTGGTTTTTAACTGACTCACTAATCAATAGCGATCACAAATCACTCGTCATTTACAAATAGCAATTCTAGTCATCTCTAATAAAGACCAATGCTCGGGACTGCCCAGTTCCATTATTATGCAGAATTCGTAACCAAATTACTTACTAGATTTAACTTACTAAACGTTAAACCGGCTTATACCCCGTTTCCAAGCAACGTTTGGAATCGTACGCGGTGAGCAAGTTTACGAACAATTTTTTAATCACTTTTCGAGGCGATAGAGTTTTCGAACGAACTTGCCGCACCGACGTTTTCGATTTTACAAACCAATCTGATGCGATATAAAACGTTCGTATTCGATGGAGTACGGTAGCTGAACGTTTATTAGAAGCATCATAGGAGACGTTGTTTCAAGTGAAGTACAATATTTATGTGTCAATAAAATTCGTAGAAGGCGCGACGTACTTGACAGACTTCTAATTAACCGAAGAAGCGTGTTTATTGAGTAAGTAGCCGAGTATGATTTTCAGGCGATGGAACGCCCGCGCGTTTCTGAGGTAACCACAAATCGGAGTCGGATATTACTCGAACATTTTCGAGTAAATATTTATCAAAAATAACTGTTGGAAACGTTTCTTAATCGACTAATACATATAGACGCTATCTATTTGTTTCGCACGGTACAGTTTTTGCCTGTACAATGTGGAAAATTTGTCGTTATTTGTTTGAATAATCGGGTAATTAAATAACGAATAAAACAATAATTTGATCATTAAGTGACTACACAGCATATATCTAACAAAATTATTTTAATCCTCTCTTTTTGCCAACTGTGATGTTTGTTTTTTCTTTGAATTTATGATGTTCATTGTTTATAAACATCAATTTTTTTTTTTAGCTACATCAAAAAGTAAGAAGAAATGTTATTGAATAATATTAGTTCAATCGTAATTTGTATTTCTTCTATAATACAATTTGAGACACAGATTACATAGAAAATCTAAATTAGGTTTTCTACATTCGTAAAAAGCATTAAATACATATTACGAAAGAGTCGGATAATCGAATAAATACAAGATGCTTAAAAATATGAACAAATTATCTTAGACTACAATACTAGTTATTAAAAAGTAGCAGCAATCTGTTAAACCGTTCTATATATATTTATAGTTTTAACATCGTTTATATTTTCTACATTCTATTTAAAATCTTTGTACAACGTCTCTATAAAGTCAAAATCTAGCATAAGCATAATATATTCCCTTTAATTATATAATGTTTTCGAAGCACACTAAAACATATATTACGCATAATTTAATAATAGTGATAATGCTTGCTGGTATTCATAAATCTGAGGATACATTCGTACGTCCAAAGAAGTAAAGAACACAGTTGCAAATAAATATTTACCACGTGATATTTAAAAATGTATTTTTTGTCAAAGCATTCTCTGAAGTAATTTAATTCGCAAACGAATCTAATTTGTAAATATATATTGTTTAGTTTTAAAAAAATTATATAGCGTTAGTTATGTGTAATGCTGAATTGAATTTTTAAACAAGTTCTCGTTGTATGTTGTAGGTATGAGGCGCAAAAGCGAAAGAAACAAAACCAAAGGGACTCCAGAAAAGGAAGTCGAAAAGCCAACGAGAAAGTCAACGCGTAGAAGTGCTAAGCGAATGCATTCAACATCGCCAGAGCAGGAAACTACAGATGAAACAGCTAAAAGTGTGAGCAGTAAAGATATAGAAAAGAAATCGACCGTGTTAATTCACCCAAGAAGGGAATTGGAAACGGTGGAAGAACACAATGAAATAGTTTCATCGACCGAAACGGATACGAAGACCAAACCGCAAGAGAATGAAGAGGACAACAGTGGTGGGTCAGTTTGGAAAGTGGCAAGAGCCGATGCATCGCCTGGCGAGATACAGAAGCTGAAGTTATGTAGACAACATAACATGTCAGTAGCATCGCCTGATACATCATTGAGTAGGAAAAAATCGAACAAGTGGCAAGAAAGTGGTGAGGGAGTTGCAGAGGAGGCTGACTCGGCAGACGAGCAACTGGTTTCTTGTACAAGAATGCTCAGTAGCGCTGAACAGCCGAACGATCCCTCCTCTTCATACCCAGGTCAGGACTCCAACGAAGAGGTAAGTGATAGCAAGGAGATCCTGCCTGAAACCACTTCAGCCAACTTGTCTGACGATAAACCAAACATAGATCAGCAAGGTGAATCAAATGAGGCAAATTTCCCCAACGAAAACGCTGATAGTGAACCCATAAAGTCGAGTAGTACAACCATATTGGCTCCTAGTTCAAACGGCAACCATTCATCCGAGGAGATAAACGTTATACCAAAGGAAGAAAAATCTGTGGACGATACCAGCGAAAAGACAGCGGAAGCATTTAGCAAAGACACCGGTATCAAAACTATTCATAAAGATACGAGCAGCGACGAGGATGATAATGCGAAAGGAAAAGATTGCGAAGTAAATTCGTCGTCCGAATCTAACGACGAGATTCGTACGAAAAGTAACAGAACTAGTGGCAGAATGTCATGTGCCAGTCGCAGAAAGCACAGAACCAAATATCGAGATTCGTCTAATTCCGACACGCCAGACTCGGAGGATGAACCTCTTATTAAAAGAGATATTGAGGTAGATTCTTATGTGCAAGAGGAGAAAGTTAGTACAAAGGATTCTCACGAAGAAAAAGATCATTCTCAGTCACCGAAAGCAAAAAGCAATTCCATGTTGAATAACGTGGAGATAGAGACGGAACATAACGAAGGAAGCAAACAGAAATTGGACAACCTTAACGAAAAATCAGAATATTCGGTATCGACAGCAGCTCTGTCGGTGACTCACAAACCCGTCAAAGTAAACTTAAAGAGATCGTTGTAAGTATAAATTGCGCAGCAATTTGCTAACGGTTCTAACGATTACTCGTTCATTACAATTGCATATATTTTGTTTCAGCTCTGTAAGAATGACAACGGAGAAAAACGATGTGAAAAAGGACGATACCGATGCAAATGCAAATAACGAGACCAGTATTCCAAATCAGGTTCGTTGTTTCGAAACGATTAATCAGAGATACAATTTATCAAATGGTCTCGAAAGATGTACGCTGCTAATTAATCCTTTAATCATATTTCATAGGAAAATCATGATAGTGTCGAACAAGAATCAAAATGTGTTCCGAGAAAACGTCGATGGGGCATTGCGTTATCTACTGACACCGCACCTTCATTTTCGATTTCTACGGATTCGCTTAAAGTAATACTTTCGCTCATAACTTAGAAAGACTTGTTTCATTGCAAATACACGCAACCGTTTCTAATTTATAACGCGTTGTAACTTCGTTAATATTCATACAAACATTCATAACTCTGAATTTGCGGACATCGATTGTACATATCTTTTCATTTAAATAGGTTACTCTGTATATTTACATGGTTATTGTAGATTGTTAAGAAATAATTATGAGTTTTGTAGTTGCAAGTATGAAATCTGAAATCCATAAATCTAGAGTTAAAGCCCTGTAACTATACTTTTAAAATGCGTCGATACATTTAGTATTGTAATTAGTGAAAGTTCTAGTCTTTAATGCCTATATGTTATAGGCATTGGTGCCAGGAGCGAGGCCATTGTCAATAAATGAGGTTCGTCTATCGAAGGACGACGACGAAGACAGAGATCGTTATCGTGCTGGCGAAAAATGGTACAATTCGAACGATGGAATGAACGATAATAAGTCCGGCGATGAAATTCTTATGCAAAAGAACGGCACCGCGAAAAAGGCGGATGGAAAGATCGATAATCACATAGGTATATAAATAGTTTAATTGCTCCCTTGGAAGTACATCGTGCAGTGATTATTTCAATTCTGATTTGTAGCAGCCCGACGAAAGATATCGATTGTGAAAGAGACACCGCACGTTAAATCCCCTAGTCCACCAGCTACGAAGCCCACGAACATACTTCTAATTAAAAATCTGGTTCGTCCTTTCACTCTGAATCAAATTAAAGAGCTCCTTTCGCGCACTGGCTCGATCGTTGAAAATGGATTTTGGATGGACAGAATCAAGTCTAAATGTTTTGTAGAGGTGCGTATACCATACACTCGTACATAAAAGTATTGAAACGCTTACATTTACAACATTCAACCGATGGGATATATACGTCAAATCGAAGCATAAAAGTGTAAAATGCTTCGGTTTAACATACATATTTTATTAATTGAATATTATAAAGTGAAGTGTTACATTTGTATTTTTATGTAAGGTTTCTATTACATTTGACGATATGCCCAAACAAATTATAATTTTACGTTGATTGAAACGTAACAGTACGCCAATGAGGACCAGGCATTTGAGACAAGGCAGGCGCTGCACGGTATATCCTGGCCTGTTTCGAATCCAAAAAGGCTTCACGTTGAGTATGCAACCAAAGACGATATGGAATTGGCACGCGAGTTGTCGAAAGATCAGTCCATTCCAAGAAAAACGGAACCGTTTGTGCCGTCGGATTCGTGGCAACAGGATTGGAACCGCGAGGAAAGAACAAACACAAAGGTACTTTCATTCTGATCGATTCTTTCTTGGAAAAGTTCGAATAAAAAAGAATTGTTCCAGTAGTTCACCGGTCGATAAAGTTTCTCTTTGCTTTTTTGTTAATCTGTATATTTTGTGAATAATAGGTGATGGTAGTCCGAGAATGGGACCTAGGTAAAGAAGATGGCCAGCAACACATAAAAGAAAAGGAGCGTGAAAAGAAGGATCACGATAAAAAAAGGAGGCAAAGGAGTCGGAGTCCCGCGGTGGAGGCACATCTTCCAGCCCCAGCTCGTAAATTTAAAAAGAAAGAGGACGAACCACCACCGGCTAAGCTTTTAGACGATCTCTTTAGGAAGACAAAGGCAACGCCGTGCATATACTGGTTACCACTCACAAACGAGCAGGTGCGTCGATTTTGGGATACCTTGAGTGAGCTACGACGAAAGATAGGCAAATCTACAATTTTTAAATTTTCTCATGATTTTCGTTTTTCTTACACGATAAGAAAAAGAAACGTCTGCCCTATGCATATGAATATTAGCCCTTTACCCGTTCAGTTTTACCCGTTTGGTCAATCGTTGCAACCAAAGACTGCAAGAAACACGCAATAACTTGAACGTTAATAATAATTAGTGAAAAAAAATTAGAGAAAAATTGCCTAAAATCGACACCCCTAAGTGGGAATATTCCTTTAAGGTAACGTATCTAAATAATTAAAAAAAAAAGTAACTGAGAGTCTTTGGAGCGATTTAGTAAAAATTACGAAACCGGCAAGGGGTTAATAGTCAATGTTGACCCGTTTGTATAACCGTAATTGTTTGACAATTTTACGCGGTTACAGATTGTAGTGAAGGAAGAAATGAGAAGGCAACATATGGCGGAACACGCTCGGAGATTAGAAGAGATGAGACGCGCCGAGAGAAATAACAGGGACGGCCGTCGTCGTCGCAGCCCGAGAAAATAGTTTTCTTGATTGTCCCACTATCGATAAACGTACCTTTCCCTCTTTAATGCAAAAACTCCGATTTTTACCATTTCCATTTCAAGGCGGTTGAAGATTGCAGAACAGAAAAAAAACAAGACAAGATTCTTTCTTTTTAAAGTCGACAAACATTCTAAACGTGTTCTTAAATGTTTGGTTTCTCAACCAGTTCAACGTTCGATTAGTTTTGCAGGTTGTTTTACCAATTGGCGTTTCAATATATCGCGTTGGAGTGTTAAAGCTTCTTAGTTTAGAACAACGGTAGAGTTTCGTTCCGTCGAAGGGCACGCTTCTTCGGGTGTCTTTTACGTTTCTCTTTTCTCATATTTTTTTTTTTTCTTCGATTTGTCGCTTCGTTGACGAATTGTACAGATTTTTTGCACGATCGAGACACGTCCTGCTTCCCGATTTCCCTGTTCCCATGAGTTTCAGCATTAAACTGTACTTCTTACAGGTCAACGTTGACTATCCAACAGAGCGGCGTAACTATAGAACGAACACGACGGTGTTCGCATCGTCTAGGGGACACGCATCATATTCTACAATACACTATAGCGCGATAATCGCGAAACGAGCCCTGGAAATCGAAGGATCATTGAACAAAAAAAAAAAAAAAAAAAAAAAATAAAAAAAAAATAAAAAAAAAATAACCTGTCCATGTAGAAAAGAACATGAAACTTAGCATTCGTAATAGTCGAGAAATACAGTTTGTCTTTTCACGGGGGAAAAATAAAAAATAAAGCAAAAACATCGAAATTCGGCCGAGTCGTCGGAATCGACGACTAAAAACGCCGAGATGACGAGACTGTCGGAAGAAGTCGTCCCCACGCATCGTCGGGAATATTTTCTCTCCCTCGAATCATTATCAATTTTGTTTCGTCTATTAGTAAAGTAGCCTGACTTTCTTGAGTTTGACATGTACTACCACAGACTTGGTAGTAGCATATAAAGTTTTAGCGTTTCTCGCTTCCACGGAGCAAGGGATCGCACGGCTAGAAACACGTTTGTACATAAAGTATGATTCGATATTCCGTGATATGACATTGTAAAATTATCAATAAATGTAAAACACTATATAGGACATGTGCGAAAGTACATTTTGCCACTTACTTTCTACGATACCATATTTACAACGTTTGTTACTTATCCTCCAATAAGTTCGAGAGACGAGATTTACAAGAAAAAAAAGCATACGTGCTTAAATGGTAAAACGAATTTATTCGTAACGTTCAGTCTCGTGTTAATGTACAGGGTGTTTTCGAATTTAAATGACCAGCCTTGAGGCACGAATACAGGACCATACAGGTTTTGTTCTCCAAATTCACCTTGTGGGTGACTCAAAAATGAAGTAATAGATAAGGTTATTATTTCGGAATAATGACTTTACATTGAATCTTATTTTTATCGTAGTAGCGTAAGAAAACAAGCTTTTCAGAAAAGCTTGATTTGCAATAAGGTGAATAGAATCTGCGAAAGGGTTAATTTGGAATTCACAGCCTGTAAAGTAAAGAAAGTATGCTTGCGAACGCCTCGTTTAGGAAATATTGTTTTCTAAAGTTACAGGACTTAGGAATTAATGACTTAGAAACATCTCTGTTTTCATGATCGAAAGTCCCTCATTCGTTTATTATCTATTATCGATAGATTTAACACGCTGGACTTTCTGTTCTTCTTACTTGATATTAACAGGGTGAATCTCGCAACGTGACGATATCAAGTAATTAGTAATGTATTTGCTGTATAAAAAGAAATGTTGCCTGGTTTCCAGGTAGTCATACAGCACCTTGAATTTTTTAAATAGAATATTTAATATTTCCTCAGATCTCGATATAAAAATTTCTTTTACGATGTCGCATTCGCACCTTAAGTCTAATAAAATCATACGAGTCCGAAACACCCTGTATATCTGTATATTTCTCGATGCGAAGTATCATTTTTTTTCTCCAAGCATTACAATATGTAATTGAGAAGGAACCGTTTTAACGAGGAAAATGTTGTGATACAGAACAGATCCGGGGACACGTTCACGGTGCATTGTCGTGAGTAGAGAAACGTCTACGTGAACTTATTCGATTTTTATTTATATTAACATTATTAACGCTAACGTTGTAATTGCTTTAACTTACAAAATTCACGAATTACAGGATGTGTGCATGTCAGCCATTGATTAAAAATATTTCAGTCACAAAATACTATCGATAGAAAAATAAAAAAAAAAAAAAGAAGAAAAATTCCAGTTCAGCGTCCAAATTCATTACCAGTGTTTTTTTTTTTTCACATTTCGTGTATATTCGTCCTGCGATCGAGCCAAACTTGTCCGACCGTTATTTGTGAAAATTGTCCATATTTTGAATAGAAACTTGGTACCATGGTAATTGTACACCGTCTGACATTCTTTTTCTTTTTTTTCCCCAAGCGTACAGAAACGAATACTCTCTTTGAAGTCTATAAAGAACAGTTCGACCGAAACAACCATCGCAATATGTATATCGATAATATTCGATAAAATTAACATTTCGTTAACCATTCGCAATAATCGCCTTTAAAGGGTTGTAAATACTTATATCGTGAAATAATTTGTATTCTTTATAAGTGACTATTCAAACACTCAACAAAATGCCAACCGCTTGGATAGATCTGCCAGTTTTATGGCGCGCAAATAAATACAAATATACATTATAAGATGTGTATTTATACTAGCCATATACAAATCTAAAATCAAAAACAATTGTTATCAGGGACTAGATAAGAGTTCATTTTCGGAAGATGTACACACTCGAGTCTCTTTCGCGATCTTGATCGAGTATAACAGTTTGTAGGATCTTTCGTATTTAGAACAAATTTATTAGAAGTTACTTCATCGAAGAAAATAATTTGTAACAAAATTGATAAAATTATTTAACATTTTTTTGTGTGACCAAAGTCAACGAAATGTTAATATATTTGTAACTAAAGAAAGTATTATGCAAATGTATGAATTTTATTATCGAAGTATTATAAAAGTTTAAATTACGTTATCGCGTATGGGTAATCGTAACTTTGGCGGTTGGCAAAATGTTGGCGATGGATTCGGATTAAAATATAATGCTAGAACGTAAGACCATAAAGGATTCGATCTTACTAGTACGGTGAAACGTCTGTGTATATGTTACAATTAAAATTTATAATCCAGAATGTTCGTAAAATATTTGGCGATATTAAATATATAAGACAGAGATGTTTTCTTATTTACATTGTAAATTTATACTTGTAATTATGCGTTTATTATGATAAACAGTATCTCTAATAATTAGACATCACGCCTGGATTACACAATTTATTTGTAACATGTATACATGTAACCCTTGTAGCTTTGATACGTCTACCACATTATCGAAAAGGATGAATACTAAGGAATATATAACAGTGACTGTATTGATTAATTCGCAAGTCAACCAATTACAAACTTTCTCTGTATTTTCAGGTAACAAAGCAAATGATTAATGGCCTGATCCGTGGCCCCTTTTATGCACGCATTTCGAAGCGGAAAAAATTATTCAGACGCGTCGGCAAACAAGCATTTTGATATCTTGCGCGATAAAGGCAACACTTTGTACAAATACTAGTCCGATTCTTTATTAAATTTTTGCTGTAGCGAGATCTTTTTTTTTTTTAATAATTTATAGTTTAATTGCATAAAAATATAGATTAATATTTTGTGGCCACAAAGTAGAAGCTTTAAATCTTTTTGCAATGATACACTCGTGCATAAAAAGGGCCCGATGCTCGTGTATTAACATTTTTCACAAAATTAAAGTTCACATCATTCATCTTTGTTATTATTTACTCATACCACATTCATTTTACTTTAGTATCACCGACTGATACGTTGATCGACTTTTACAACACTAAATCTTCCGCAATAAATGCAAGATTTTGTACAAATACTAGTCGATTCTTTCTTAAACTCTTGCTGCAGCGAAACTTCTTTTTTTTTTTTTATAATTTATTGCAATGTAAGTCATCGTTAAGCATTAGTCAACTAATTGTTGTTTTATAATTTATAGTAATTTACGTTCACTAAACAGTAGTCGAAACTTTAATCGCATAAAAATATAGATCAATGTTTCGTGGCCACGAAGTAGAAATTCGACACTTTATTAATCATTCTGTAATCAAACTAAAAATGATAATAAATATAAAAATTATAAATTAAATTATTTCGTGGCCACGAAGTGGAAATTGTATATCTTTTTGAAATACTACGCTCGTGCATAAAAAGGGCCCGATACTCGTGTATTAACATTTTTCACAAAATTAAGGTTCAATATCATTCATTTTTGTTATTATTTACTCATACCACGTTCATTTTATTTCAGTATCACTGGCTGATACATTAGTCGACTTTTACGACACTGTAGATCTTCCGTACGAACCAAAAGCAGGCAAAGAAACCAATCGAACCTATTAAACATACGAAACATATAGTCTTAATATCAATTTCAATATATTCTTAATATTAAACTGTTGCTTTTTATTCGAGTTAAAAATTTTTACCTGTTAGGAGAAAGAATAAGTAAACCATAATGCAAGTGTAGCCGAAATAGAGGAACGTGGACGTAGCATCTTCTATGTCCAATTTAGTCATGAAAAAGTGTATACAGTATAGTAATAAATAAAAAGCGGTAAAACCGGATGTTCGGAAACTACGCCACCACCAATGATAATCCTACAAAAGAAAAGATTAATGTAAATGTACACGTTTGATAAATTCGTGTTTTATCATCGATTCGAGTAATTATCTACCTCCGCGCAAAGGTGAAAATAGCAAAGTAAAATTGTCGTTTCCGAGCATGTGATAACGAGGATGAGAAACACCAAGAAAAGGAACCCAAACATATAATATACTTGACTTGACCTGGAAAAAAGGAAAACAAATTTATTAATATACCAGGAAATTGTACTTTCATTATCGAAATTGTGAACATTTCATATTCGTAAAAGAATACAAATACACGATAAAATGTCTTCATAATTCATTCGATGCGATCTCAAATCAAACGAGACGATACAGCTGTGTAAATTATGGTTTTATTAGCACTCTATATCATTCTTGATACGAGCACTGTTGACAACAATGTCTTGTAGATCATAAGCGTCAACAGAATCGTTTTAAAATAACTCGGGGAATTACAGAGATTTCAATTATTGAGATTGTATCGTTTCTAGTTTACCTTTTTTTTTTATACTCACCACAGTGAATTAAGTATAAAGAATAATTGTATAAATATGCATCCAAAAGGTAAAACTCCACCCATTATTACACCTGGTATTGGTTGCGTATAAAAATTCTGTTCCGGTATTTGCCTAGGAATTTGATTGGTTCTCACAGGATGCTCCAGAGGCTGCAATAAAAATTCGTTCCTTTTTTCCGTATAACATGTTCCAAACCGTTTTAATGTTAAAAAGAAGAAAGATCTGAGCTGTTAAGTTATTGAAAGTTAAGAACTGTAAATATTAATATTTGTCCATTTAAGTCTCTGACGTTTCGACTCGTTTGTTGCTTCGATAAGAGAAACAAAGTTATAAATTACCCTTTTTCTGAAGCCGAAGTAAGCACCAATGAATGTTAGTGGAAGAGATACTCCGAACCAGAGTGCTAGAAGTGCGATTAGAGTGCTAAATGGTACAGCAGCTGAACTTCCATTTGCCCAGAATACCAAATTCATTATGAAGAATAAACTGAACACGATTCTGTAAAATACGGATATTTCGACGTATTGTAAATAAAATTAAAAAAAACATTTCCCTAGATTTCCCATTAATCTGTATATACAATCCATACACATGAAAATTCATTCGATATAGGTTCGATCGGTAAGATTACTATTGACTAAATAAATTTAATTACCCAGGGCTCAGCATAGACGTGAGCAGTACGTTTGACTTCCATTTTTCACCTCCGAAACTCTTGTATATTCTAGCAGATACGTAGCCAGCGATGGTCCCAAGACAAACGTACAAAACCATGGCACACGTCATCAAAGCTCCTCTGTTCGCGGGAGATAAAAATCCCAAGCAAGCGAATGCTGCGTAATTTGGTAAAATTTTATTAAATTTCTTACGTCGACTATCGTTTAAAAACTTACCAAGCGTGACGAGCGTCATACAAAATACTTGGACACCAGAGCCAAGTAAAACAGAGAGCAGCATCCCCTTTCGCGGGGGTCGAAACACATCACCATGGACCAGTTTCCAGCCAAACTCTTCCTGTGCGTCTTCTCCTGATTCTATCTGGAAGCAAGCCTGCGTTATTGCAACAGAGACACGGAAGTGTCGTAGTTTTACGACGTAAAACTAAAGATAAAAGTGTCATTTTTCCTTCTTAAATTATTTATAGAAAAAATAACAAAATTATGTTGTCGATTACGAAGAACGACATTCCTTTAATGTACCTGATTGTATCGTGCAATATCTTTGTGCAATGTTCGAAGCATTATCATGGCCACCATACCAGAAAGGAACAAAATAATTATTAACGAATTAAGAATACTAAACCACTGGATATTTGTGTGTGGCATAGATTCTAAAATATAATCCCATCTAGACGACCATTTGATCGTATTATCCTCCTAAAATTGAAAATACAAATGATAGTTTTTCAAACGAAAAATTGATGGAGATATTTTATTACGCAAGAGCTTACCAGAAATTTTACGGAATATGTATAAATGACCTCTAATTCTTTGTCAACGGGAAGTGGATCGTGTGGTATATCTAACAATGCTTTATTATCACAATTAGCAACAACATCATGTTTTATACTTCGAGGAACCACTTTAACAGCTATTAAATGTACAAATACGAAACTTAATAAAATGTAGCGTTACAAACAATTTGTAATACAAGTGCAGAGTTTCAAAGTTCTTACATATTATACGTCCACCATTTTCTTTAAATGCAGATCCCCACTCTTCTTTAGCACCACTATGATACGTAATTGTAAGGTCTACATGATTAAATAGGTAATAAGTTTTTGCTTTTTTAATTGCGCCCTGATAAAAAAAGAATTTATTACTTTTATTTAGTACTGGGCCTTTCGGTTAAGTTGGAATAATATAAATATTTTTAAAATATTATTTATGGAAAGCATGTCTTGAAAACGGGGTTCCTTCATTTTATAATTCGAATATAATGCTGACGTGTACTTACATTAATGCTACAAGTATCCTGTTGAGATCTTGTTTCTCGAAAAAAACAACCCATAGGAAATCCAGTGCTGCAATATTGTCGTCCATCCTCTAATAGATAACACCACGTGACTGGCATATTATCTACGAAATGATCAAAACACCGATGCCAAACTATGTCTTTTAAAATTTTAATTAATTCTATCGTTTAAATCTTACCAACTATCCAATGATGCTGGTAGCTGAGTGCCATTCCTTTTTTTAAAAAGTCCAATTTCTTTTCAGACTCTTTGTCTCCTCCTTTGTATGTTTTTTTACAAGCAACCACACATGTTTTGTCTTCCAGAAACCTCAACTAAAAATTTACAAATAAAATTGATGTTTACTACTACCGTTATGCAAATTAATGTGCATTTTACACGTAAATATTTTCAATCCCATTGCTATTATTTATCGTGCTATAAATTTTATAATAAAATAATATTACGAGCAAAATCAAAATCATACCTCGTACGGAGATGGCCTTATACGTTCTCCGAACACAACCTGTCCCAAATTTTCGACAGGACTTTCGCTCTCGTCGGAAGTGCAGAAATCAAAGCTGAAAAATGTGGATCGCGTTAATTTCACATTTTGTAAAACCGAGCAAGAATATAACAACGTTTCTTTATAAACTTTGTAAAAACTTACTGATGGTATTCGTACGGTATTACATACTTCTCGGTGTTCAAACGATTTACATACAGTTTAATTTCAGCCTAAATAAGGAAAGAAGAATACACAGTATGTTAAGCAAAACAGAATAAGTTACATGTTACATGTAATCTTAACATGTAATTTTAATAATATTAATAAATTATAATTAAAATACAAATTAATACTTTTTGTTCGTTTCATGACTTTTCAGATATTGGTGACAAAGTTTCCTATCGTAGCTTATACCAAACGGATAATGAAACAATACTACGCAAGCATAACTTACTTTAAACAAATGCATACACAAAATACTATTATCATTTTTAACATAAATGTTGACCAGAGTGTCTAGCAGGGAAACTTGACATTACGAATTTAACTTAAAAAAGCAAAGCCTTGATCATGCTAGGATTAAACCTTTCGTGGCTCAATTTCGACACTGAAAGTCACATGTCACGAAAGGTTACGCTGAGACACGTTCGAAACGATTAAAAACAGTAATTAACGTTTAAAAAGAGGGGGAAAGAAACGAAGATTAAATCGCAGAAATTGAACGGAACAAAAAATTATAAACGATCGGCGATAAATTCTTATTGCCTCCGGCTATATTCGAAGGAAAGAAGAGACATAATCAATGCGATCATAACCAATTTAAAAAATGGTTAAGCACTTTTTCATATACGCACTTTGCATGATTCCGAGACTTCTTCTTTCTTGCAGTAATTCACAGGAGCCAAGCCCGGCAAGTAGAAAGCCGATACACGATAAACTGTACACGTCAAAAACAATAGCCATGGGAAAATTATTTTCGCCATTGTATCGCTACTGTTCGTTGATTACTAACTATTTGCCTAATGCAAGTATAAGTATAAGTCAGATGCTACGTGAAAAACATCGAACACTACACTGCCATAATACACGTCATTGATAACTGACATTGCACACAGATCGGTAATATTTTCGCGTGGCAGTTTTACACTCGACACTAGCGTAGTCTTGTCGCAAACCGAGTTTTCATAGAAACCGTTACATAATTCCTAGGGATGTACGTTTTAACTGAAACTCGGATCTCGGATACGCAGTGTCCTGGGAATAACGAGACTAGGGACATTATAACGTTTTTGTTCAACAATAACGATCGTATATTTTTTCGACAAATTATTACTTTTACTTAGGCAGTTTAATGTAATTCCGACTTCTCCATAATTATATGAGATTCTTACGAATACTAAAGCTATAGATAAGGGGAAATAACAGAGGAACTAGTTTATTTGAAATACAAAATGCGATTAAACTTTTTGTCTAATAATTATTATAAAAAAGAGTAGGCTCAAATATTGTACATTTAAAATTAATTTCTTCGCAGGCCATCGGACAATACGATATCATTTCAGTAGACATATTCACATATTCGTTAAATTAAAAAACCAGCTAATATAAAGAGGCGCGGTGTCTCGTATTTGTTATTGTAAAAATTCTAAATTTATTTAAATTCCTCGGGAATGTTTCATGTACATATAAGACGTCGCGACCGGTCGTTTAAATGCTTTTTGTGTTATCACATTTAGCTCTCACGTTTTATCGGAGTCACAGACTCCAAACAGTATCATATAAAAATGATAAATATTTGTTGAAATATTCAAAGTTATATGATAGGCAAGCGATACGATATTCAGTCTTCACGGCGTTTGTAATATAAATATCGCTAAAATGAACATTTTTCGCCTCTTTGTTTACAGTTTATTCAGTTCAATATTATTTATCTTCCGAGCAATTAGGTGAATTTTTAATCTATCTCGAATGTCTAGCTCGTATTATGCAACAGTAATGCCAGCCGTTTGGAGGTAGTTTCTTAGGTGGTTCGCGTTGGGCTCCGGGATTTGACCAAGAAGGTTAGGCAACTGTCCTGGTGACAATCTTCCTAGTCCTTGCGCCAAATGTAAACGCACGTCACCAATAGCTATTTCATTAAAACGTAACTGTAAAGTAAGATGCAACTGAACGAATATAATAAAATACGCGTACTTGCGGCCTTACCTTCTAATGGATCCTTCGGAGCATTTTTTGCATAGATCAATTGACTATATCCTACTTGGTATCCGGGCGTATCATCAATCTCTGGGAATATATTGTCTTCCGGTACGGTGCTCTGATCTTGCGGGAGTTCGAAGAATTCAATTAATGTTGCTAATAAACGCGGATAATATGAGTTGTACGGACTTTCTAACATTGCTGGGCAATCGATCAATAAATTTGAAATCCCGATTGCGGTTACTTTTTTCTCAATGTCGCCCGATACCTTTTGCAAATCTGCTATTAATACACGTTCCATGACCATACCGAACATTCTGAAAAAGGAAAAGCAACAATTATCACTGTAAACTGAACTGAAAGTAACTGTGCTCAAAGTAACTTACTGAGGTTGTATTTGATCGATGATTGTAACCAGACTAGTTGAACCGTATCTAATAATATAGTACGCAAAAAATACGATCAAACCCTTTACAAACTTTGTCGTCTTCGATGATGAGAGTCTTTGAAAAAACAGTACAAAAATTTGTTTCATATATGGCTCCAATACATTCCTGAAAAAATTGGATCAGTGTCGATAAAAACGTTGGAGAGAAACGATGCACGATAGTAACATCTTACACTTACGGTGCAAAATGTTCAATGATACTTTGCAACAACAGGAAACCTTCGTGATCATTGACTTTCGAAGCGATCAGTTTCTGAAATACTCCTAACAGACCACTTATCTTTTCTTGCGCTACGATGTGACGTGCACCGTGACTAATAAACGCTCTCAATAATCGATTTAACGGGTGAATGTTGGCTGGACGTTCGAACAGCACGGACGATAGAAGACATGGAAACAATACTAAATACGGTTCCGGTACGTCCTGGGTCGTTCGTAACTCCAAAAGCAGAGCAAGAATTTGAAAAACATACGGCATAAACTCTGAAAGGAATTTGCCCGATTAAAGATCATAAAATTCAAGTTTAGATACTTATGTCAACAAAATATTTTACCTAAAACATCTTGCTGCAAAATCCCCTGGAAAATCGGGAACAATGCTTCCTCGAAAGACGCGACTGCCACTGGATTCGTTTTACAAACAATCCTGAAAACGTTATTAAAGATGTTACAGTCTTAGTACCGATGCAAATTTTTCTAGTTTTGTTCTCGTCAAATGTATAGTGCTTACTTGATCGACAGGCCAAAAATTTCGAAGAGATAATGATTGAAATTTGGACGACTAGGATTTCGGGATACGACGGCTAGTTTTTCTGTGAGCTTCGGCAGAAGGTCTGCTAAAAATGGTACGACAACCTCTTGCAAAGTACCAAAGCTTCTCATAATAGCTTTCATCACGTATTCGTTCTCTTCTGAACCAGGTATGTTCAAACACGCGAATAAACTCTTTAGTAAATTCGGTGCCAGTGGCGATAAATCGTTTCCTTTGACTCTGAAATAAAAATGTTACAATCGTGAATAAAATGTGTACAAAACAATTCCGATATCGATTAAAGTATTGACATTCTCACATAGGAAAATTATCTGGCCCCTTGATCGCTAGTATTTTTTCAATCGCACATGCAGCGTACGTATGAACGACAATATTCGTAGCGCCCAGGTGCCTAATTAATTGTGGTAAACTTCCAACTATCATTTCCCTTGGTAATATTGATCTGAAGGTCATAATAAATTTGATTGCATCTGCTTTAAGTACTGGGAACTCGTTTACTGAAATGCATTGTTAAAAATTAAGAGCTTAAAAAACGTTTCGAACATTTGTATGAAATTAATTTTGCGCACCATTCGGTTTGACCAATTCGGGTTCGATATGTTGCATCGCAAATTGTGGCAACGGGACTAGTTCGCTGGTCTGTGTGACGCCGTGTTTTTGCGTTTGAGCTTTGCTCGCACTACTAGTTACTAAATAAATTGCAGCATCTTTACTTCGCCAATTTTCGGTAGGTTTATCTTCGTAATTTTGTAACATTACCTGAAATCAATAGAATAAAAATACGATGATACACAGGATATTCTACGCAATTGAGAAAAACTATTTTCAGGCAAAAAAAAAATGTAAAAAGACGTAACTGCATCCCTTTTTCAAATGAAACTTTATAATCTTTATTGGACCATTCTATATATTTGTTTAATCTTCTAATAGTTATAACACATTAAAGTTTACTTTACCCCTATAAATTTGTACCTGTATGTACGCGCCAAAAATTTCCATTATTTTTGCTTCGAAAGACTTTGAAAGTACTTTAACCAAGTCACAGGCAGCGCGTCTCCTTGTGTCCACATCGCTGCCTTCGATATCACGTCTGATGTACTCTTCAGGATTGTCTTCGAATAACTCGTTATCCGATTCTGTTGATTAAATTATTTTTTACTATAAATCAACAATACTAAACGTTTGGAAGAACGTAAAACGTGTTTTATATATACCACTTTTAATAAATACCTCTAAATTCCATATTGGGTATTATCACTTTCTCGCAAATACTACTTAAAGTAGTCGGGTTATCAAATAGATGCCTGTATTGTACACGATCTGCCACTGTTACTAAGAATTGTAAAGCATTCGAAACTAACTGCAAAGGTACAGAACTTTGTTAGAAAAATTTTAATAAATATGCACTTATATTCGATCCACATACAGAATCATATTTCGGTTGTTGTCCGGTAGATGTTAACAAATTCCACACAGCAGTTACAAACAGCGACAGATACGATTGGAACTCCTCGTCATATTTCTGAGCGTAAAGACCAATATTATCACAGACTTGTGACTTTAATTGTTCAATAACTCCCGCTTCTTCATTGTCCTATACATACATAAAGTAATGTAATGAATATTGCTATAGAGATAAACGTAAAAAGAAATTAATATGTAACAGTACTATAGATTGTAGAAAAGGAACATTTGTGTTTAACAATGTGTGCAAATTCTTCATCCAAACATCCATATTGTCCTCAAAAAATTCCGGTAAGTCCTAAAAATAAAATAAGTATTATTTATTTAGATTTAGAAAATGGTATTTATTACGATTGGAACATCGCTTATTTTACTCACTTGAAAGTTAAGAGAATAGAAAACTTTACAAAGTATAACCAGTGAACTGTACACAACTTTCAATGCATCTACATTGTGCGCATGTACTTCCGTTAAATTCATAGTAGCCTAAAACACAATATTCAATATTCGAAGAATTATATTCTACAACTCTATTGCAGATTCAATAACAATATACTTACGACAAAGAGATCCGTTAAAGGCTTGGCAAATTGATCTAGCACAAATTTTATTTCCGTCCATAGAATCTCACTTTTAAACTCGTATCTATATCTCTTGAATAAAGAATGTGCAGTATGTAAAACGCCGTTGATAACATGAAAATCCCCGGTATTGAATTTCTCGACCATTTGGTCTATAAGCTCTGGCCATTTATTTGGAAAATCGTATTTGCCAATAATTGATACAGCATCGGATAGCTGTTTCTGGATAGAATCGGGGGAATGCAACATCAAATTAATGATCAACTTTTTTATAGCTTCTCTATCTTGCGTGTGTATACGATCCACGGAATCTTCTTCCTGTTGAATGTAAACACGTAAAAAAAGCAGATCTTATCAATGTTATATTAACGGGCAAAATAAATAATTACCACTTTCCAATTGCGTTTGACATAATTTTTAAATGCAACTGCACCGGCGATTCTAATCGTTATATTGATTTCAGACTTGTCCACCAGGTGCAACAGAAGCAACGGATAGTTTTGATTCACTTCAACAGATTCTAAAAACTTCTCGGCTATAGAGTACAAAAACAGAAATAATGCACGAAAGAAACACTTTAGATGTTTGTAACAAGACCTATCCATAAGCCTCTTTTCTCAATCTTTTAATTTATTACAGTACTGCAATACATCCATTAACCCTTTTACGCTTATGATCATCAAAATATGATGTAATAACTCATACAATATCTCCAATTATGACACCGTTCATGGATTAACAGAGGCAGTTAAATTAACGAAAAAAAATATTAAGCAAAGTGAAAACTTGTTGATACCTACATGCTATCAGATTTTTTTCTAAACGTAGATCTGTTTAATCGTAAATTGTGAACATACGTTATAAATGAAAAACAATTCAACCGTAATATTTTGCGTGTAATCGAGAAAACTAACTTGTTCGCAGTTGCGTAAAAAGCTCAACGATTCTTCCTTTTAAAATATTGATGGTAAAGAGGTTAATATTCACCTGGTCGTCTGACATTTATATCTGGGCTAAGTGTATGCTTTAGATATTCGCTGAGCGTGAGCAAATTATCATCTGTGAGTTCCATGTCAGCTTATTCTAAAAATATCGAATTCCTTTGACTCAAAAAAATACTGAATCTTTGAAAAATAATTTTCAAATACGCAATACACCGGCTCCCGATACATTCAATTTTCCAACCAACAACCGTCGCCGGGCGACACTGGCTGGCGCTCTCTGCAACAGTTTACGCGGGAAGATTTTTTTGCAAAAATAAATTAAGCGGACGATGCAACAGTTACAAAACACCTACATATTATTTATAACCAGTTTACATTGAACTCATAATACATAATCATAAACATAAATTATTTGTAACAATTGTTGAGCACCGCTTTCTTCTGTTTTATTTTGTTCTCCAGTTTTTTTAACATACGTTGGGTAGACTTAATTTTGTGCAGTATATTAATGTTATTATTTACCCTGCAAATAAAATTGAAAACAAACAATTACCGAAATAAGTCTTTACATTGTAAGAACAAAATATTATAATATCGTTGCACCAACATTATGTCGCGCAACAAGATATTAATTGTTAACATATCTCCCGTGTCTCCGTCAGAGTTCAAACAAATCGAATAGTGTTCCATTTTTAAACTTTCCAATTCTTTCGACCGTATAAACAGTTCGTCTTGTATTTTGGCGTATTCCTTTTGGTATTGTTCTATATTTCCCGATAAATTTTGAACCGACTATAAAATAGATATTTTGTCAGTAATTTTTTAAAAATAATCAAAACAATATCCTTGCAAATATGACATATATGTTATCAAGCTTACATATTGCACGTGTGCATCGACAAAATTATCCTTGTAATCCGCACATTTGATTTGAAAGTTTCTCCTAAAAAATTATACAATTCCACAATCAGAAATATATTCGAAAATGAATGTACAAATTTTAATTCTATTTACAAATGGCAACATTTGTATATACAAAAATAGTGTAATTTAAAATATTCATTAAAAAACGGAAAGAACCATTGTCCGGAGGAAAATTCTGCTCTTTCTAATTTTAAACTTCTCAATTCCTGTTGCTTGAATTTAGATAGTTTTGTTAATTTGGAAATTGCTTCTCTAATATGGGCCTCTTTCTTTTGCAATTCACGATATTTAATTTGTCCCGCCCATATATTCATCGATAAAACAGAAAAATGTGATTCCAAGTAATATCGATTTCTTTTATATTTGTTAATCGAATCCTTCAGTTCCATAAGCTTGAAGAATCATTTATTTATAAAAATCATTGCTTATCCATTCTATTTATATATTTTATATATATGGTAATAAATCGAACATCGATCCTAAATGAAATTATTACTTGTTTAATTAAAACATTAATTCGATCCACTTTATTGTTGGATTCTCTGTACAATTCTTCCTCGTTTTCGCCCGAAAATTCAGCCACTGTTTCTTTTTTGTTTGCTAATAAATGTTGCATTCTGTTATTGTTAAAGAGCATTTGCGACTTTCGAGTCTTAAAAATTAAAAAATTTATTAGAAAGATGCTCGACTCGAAAAAATTACACATGGTGCGACCTCTCGCGGGGCCTTGAGAAATTAAATACTGTAAACACTAAACAATTTCGTTTTGAAAGGTGTAATTGTTTTATAATTCATTCAAATGCAAAATATTGTAGGTATTTTTACACATGGCTTTGTAACAAAAAAATAGTACATTGAACCATAACCGACTCTATAATGAGAATAATTATAGACTAACAACATTGTAACTCTGTGTTCTATGACTTACTGTTTTATGGACTGTGGAGCCATGCTAAGCGAGCTACGAGAGTTTGATTTTATTGTTTCTCGTTCAGCATTATTAATTTACTTAGAAATAAATGTTCTACTAAATGAAATAGCAAATAATATACCTTTAAGTATAATATTCGTACGTTTTGTAGGACGTATTCCTCCTGTTATTGCTTTAAACAAAGCACAATAAGTAAGAGGTTGCTAATGGGGGTCCGGTCAATAATGGGGTTACCTTACGCCAAATTTTTGGTTCAAGTTGTCTCTAGATACCTTTATGCGTTTACTGTTGGCTATTAATATACAATTTAATTAAACAGAAGTTCAAGTAAAACCACGTTTCTGCGTATAGTTTATAAAAAGCGTACGGTTGACAGTGTTGAAACGATGCAAATCATGGCATTGTACCAAACACGTCGAACAATCGAATTATGTTTAGCCGTATGTTCGTTAATTAATACGAATGCGTCATCAAGCGAGTACCATTTACGGACATGAAACTATCATTCCCGATTCGGGACCAGGATTAATTTATATAAACAATGAATTTGTACATCTAAGTTGAAACTAAAATTATTGTACTTATTATTGTACATAAAAAATAATTTGTTTCCAAAACAGCTTGTTTATCGGATCAAAATTCAATAGAATAGGAGCATTATTGTTCGAAAAATGTAAGCTGGTAACAAACAGTATCAAAGCATATTCAAACTAAAAAAACGCAACTACATCGAGATACAAGATTTGTAATAGTCAATACTACTATCGCGTATTTGATGACGACTTGAACAGTTCTTGTTTTCTTAAATCATAATAAACGTTCCGTCCATCAGGATCACCCAAATTAAATTTCCTTGTATCGCTAAAAATGACTATACCTATTTTCTCATGCAATAAACGTGTCTACGGTCAAACCTCAACCGTGTTGCTTTATACCGTTCCGTTAAAGGAAGCCGTTGCTTCGATTTCCTGCGTTTTATGTGTTTACATTTTTATAAAATGCGACGCACGTTTCGTAAACTTATTTACACTTGCGTTTCTTCGGCGATTTGTTTTGCAGTTCTCTTGGAATTCGACCTGCATATACAGGGTGTCTCACCCGATTTTGACATCTTGATTTTCTCGCTATTGTTACTCGTAACAAAAAATGTTTCAGCGGAGGCTTGAATGGTATCGAGTGGAGCATATTCCGATGTTATTAGTTTTTTCGTGAGTGGACGCGTAAAGGTCATATAAAGGTCAACTTTGTTTTTTTTAAATGGAATGAGGTATTTTTTAATACATCGATCGATTCAGCTGGACAATCGTTATAAAAAAGTACTAACTATGTAACGTCGAAATATTAGTAGTTCAGGGGATATTTAAATTTAAATAATTCTAAAACACCATTACTGTTGTACTAGCCTAACGTTGGTAAACAGAGCCAACGTCGTAGTGCGGTAGTTATGATGCCTTAAGAATTTAAATAATTTAAATTGAAATATCCCCTGAACTACTAACTTTTCGACGTTACATAGTTAGTACTTTTTTATAACGATTGTCCAGCTGAATCGATCGATGTATTAAAAAATACCTCGTTCCATTTAAAAAAACAAAATTGACCTTTATATGACCTTTACTAATAAAAAAACTAATAACATCAGAATATGCTCCACTCGATACCATTCAAGCCTCCGCTGAAACATTTTTTGTTACGAGTAACAATAGCGAGAAAATCAAGATGTCAAAATCGGGTGAGACACCCTGTAGTTCGAGGTTTCACGGTACTTTTAACTTTCTGCATTTTAGATTTTCTCGTAGATTAGATACGACATAACGATTCCTATTTAATAATCACGCGATATCGTCGATTCTTGTTTGAATGTTCTATACGCGAGCGTTCAAATATTTTCGTGCACGAGCGTGTGTATCTTCGTTAGGGTACGCGTCTAGTGTAATTGACGTTCCGATGAACGTTTAAAACGCGTCGGCGGTGTTTCGTAGTCGTCGAGTAGCTGTCGCGAGAAGTGCATCTACGTAGCTTTCCCGTTAACCGCTCGCCGGGATCTGATAGAATTTCAATTAGCCAGTGTGTCTAAAATCGTGCACGGAACGGAACACTTTTCACGCATCGATCTAATAGGCGAAACATGTGCTTCGATGACTACGATTATATTTTTCCCAGCGAATGCTTTATAATTCACAGTGAGTCACAGATAACTTGTCTTTTATAACTATTCTACTACACGTCTGTTTCTTTGGTCGTGACAGTATATACCTGTGAAATATTGTGTAAAAGGTGTGATCATCGTTTTGTAACGGAGTTGAATAATATTTAAAAAGGAAACAATTCTTTAATCCAGTGCTGGAGCAACGAGGATCACTATAATATATAAACTGGATATTATTAATAGTGTTATTCCCACTATTCGCCTGTATATTTTGAATCGAGAGTAACATTTGTAAAAAAATTATTTCACTGTTTTAAATCAAATTAACATATAAATCGGTATGTTATTAACTGTATTAAAAAAGAAACTATATGTTGGGATATATTATTTTAATACAGAACTTAAATATTTCTTTCCAGTTATAAGAAAAAAACATTATATAAATATTTATCGTGTTGCTCACACCTTCTCGGGTTTTTGATTATCTTATCATCTCTTATCAGCGTATCATTTATAATACACTCGCTATTGTCTCGAAAAGCACGTATCTCCTCGTGCCAATTTCGTACAAAATAAATTAACGGTGTCCTTATAATTTTGAAACATTCTTTGGTTGTTTCGACGCTATTTCTAGATATTTTTAAATGTGTTGGCGCCTACATGCGTTCACGCGTTGAAAATATGGAAAAATCATCGGAGATAAGTTTGTTTGTCTAATTAGCATAATCGATTACACGACTACCGCAAGGAAACCTTGAAACGGTTGTTCAAACAAACGAAGCATAAGGATGCGTACGTTGAAAATGAAAATTATTATTATAAGATATATGTTAATATTCTATTTTACGACGTCATTTATTTTTCATTCATCGCCCACGTTATTGTTCATTGTTTACGCAACTGGCGTGGTTAAATTGCGATTCGCGCGATCGACTGTACCTCGTACTTTTTTAATTACGCGTTTCTGAAGGCCAATACGAGCACACAGGTTCACGAGCATACTCAGATTATGTCATCGCTACTTTACTTGCGTGTCTGTAACCTATTTACGTAAAAGTAGCGTTGTACAAATCTTCGAAGCTTGAACCTTAACAATAGATTTACGGATAACGATTGCAAATACATTTATTAAAATCTGTCAAACGACAACGCCTATCTTCAAACAGAGAAACAAATTAGAGAAGGCGGTCTCGGTAAGATTTAATAATATCGAAAGAGGAAAGTGTTCGGCGGCGTACAAAATGAACAGTGTTACTTTCGTTTGCTTTTAAAATGTTCGTAACACTTTTACTTTAGAAGCCTTTTTCATATTTCCAACACGTAGACACATGTAACCGCTACTTTCGAAAAGCTATACCTGCTTAAAATAAAATTTTTATACCTCGGTACGAACTGAACGATTAAATTTACTTTAATAAAAGCCACCGTTGAAAATAAATTTATATTTTACGATCAGCGATCGAACGATCGTTACAGATTTATCTTTTATCGATATCGAATTACTGTAACGTATTTTCCACGCGTAATTCTACGAAGGCCATGCTGTGCACTGAAAGAATTAAAATGATTTGTTGGCAATGAAAAACCTTTATTTTCTGATTTAAAATTTCTTAAATTTTGATTTTTCATCAAATTTAATCTCGTTTCGTTATATGTGATCGTCTTCGGTTTGTTAAATACAACGAATCTAGAATTAATGTAGCGCAACGTATTCTCGAGAAAATGTATAATTAAAAAATGATAGGACCAGGTGTGGAATGCGGAAGGAAGGGCGTGGTTAGAATTATTTGATGCGTCGTGTGTTAAAGACACACCCTCGATCAACCTACGCGACTATCTATCTTTTCATCTCGTAATTTTATATTTTACGTATCGTCGATCTTTTTGTACTTTCGCCAGCGTCCACAGACCATCGGACATTTTGCTCCTCCGCGTGGAAAAATGACAATTCAGGGGTAAGACCACTGTAAAAAACTGAAATAAAGAGTTTTTTTTTTTTTATACACAGGGTGTTCGACCACCCCTGGGAAAAATTTTAATGGGAGGTTCTAAAAGCCAAAATAAGACGAAAATCGAGAATATCAATTCCTTGACTGAGGCTTCGTTAAAAAGTTATTAACAATTAAATTCAAAAATTTCAAATCGTTCTGGAAAAATTATTTTCGGCTACGGGGGTCAATTATAATCATTTTTGGTCATTACACATACCCCCGAATTGCTACCCACTTTCTAGAAAAAAATTCAAGAAAGTACTGAAATTTTTCGGAAAAATAGAGTGTTTCAAATCGCTCTAAAAAAATTATTCTCGGCTGCAGGGGTCAATTAAAAGCATTTTTGGTGAATAGACATACCCTTGAAATCCTATCCACTTTCTAGAAAAAAATTCGAGAAGGTGCTGAAATTTTTCGGTGAAAAAAAAATTTTTGATATCGTTCTAAAAAAATTATTCTCGGCTACGGGGGTCAATTACAATCATTTTTGGTCATTACACATATCCCCGAAATCGTACCCACTTTCTAGAAAAAAATTCGAGAAGATGTGAAATTTTTCGATGGAAAAAAAATGTTTCAAATCGCTCTAAAAAAATTATTCTCGGTTGCGGGGGTCAATTATAAACATTTTTGGTCATTACAAATATCCCCGAAATCTTATCCACTTTCTAGAAAAAAATTCGAGAAAGTCCTGAAATTTTTCGGAAAAATAGAGTGTTTCAAATCGTTCTAAAAAAATTATTCTCGGCTGCAGGGGTCAATTAAAAGCATTTTTGGTGAATAGACATACCCTCGAAATCCTATCCACTTTCTAGAAAAAAATTCGAGAAGGTGCTGAAATTTTTCGGGGAAAAAAAAATTTTTGATATCGTTCTAAAAAAATTATTCTCGGCTACGGGGGTCAATTACAATCATTTTTGGTCATTACACATATCCCCGAAATCGTACCCACTTTCTAGAAAAAAATTCGAGAAAGTCCTGAAATTTTTCGGAAAAATAGAGTGTTTCAAATCGTTCTAAAAAAATTATTCTCGGCTGCAGGGGTCAATTAAAAGCATTTTTGGTGAATAGACATACCCTCGAAATCCTATCCACTTTCTAGAAAAAAATTCGAGAAGGTGTTGAAATTTTTCGGTGAAAAAAAAATTTTTGATATCGCTCTAAAAAAATTATTCTCGGCTACGGGGGTCAATTACAATCATTTTTGGTCATTACACATATCCCCGAAATCGTACCCACTTTCTAGAACAAAATTCGAGAATGTACTCAAATTTTTCGGTGAAAAAAAAATTTTTGATATCGTTCTAAAAAAATTATTCTCTGCTGCGGGGGTCAATTATAATCATTTTTGGTCATTACACATACCCTCGAATTTCTACCCGCTTTCTAGAAAAAAAATCGAGAAGGTGCTGAAATTTTTCGGAAAAATAAAGTGTTTCAAATCGTTCTAAAAAAATTATTCTCGGCTACGGGGGTCAATTATAATCATTTTTGGTCATTACATATACCTCCGAAATCTTACCCATTTTCCAGAAAAAAATTCGAGAATGTGTGAAATTTATCGATGGAAAAAAAAATTTCAAATCGTTCTGGAAAAATTATTTTTAGTTACGGGGGTGAATTACAATCATTTTTGGTGAATAGACATACCCCCGAAATCTTGCGCATTTTCGAGAAAAAAATTCAGAACTGGCGAAACTGTAAACGTTAATAACTTTTTAACGAAGCCTCCATCAACAAATTGGTATTCTTGATTTTCGTCTTATTTTGGCCTCTAGAATCCTCCATTAAAATTTTTCCCAGGGTTGCCGAACACCCTGTATGTATAATAATATTTAATGTTATTAACCAGATCATTAAGTGTTAAAAAAAAAAAATATAAAAAACACGCCTCGGGAGAATGGCTCCAGCGTCGTCATTTTGCACTACTTTTTTTTTTTAACACTTAACGACATGGTTAATAACATTCTTGAATATTATTATCCTCTTTTCCACCAAAAAAAAGAAAAGAAGCTTTATTTCGGGTTTTTACAGTGGTTTTACCCCCTAAGGGGGTAGATATACTACTCCAGAACGCAATTTCTTGATTGTAATAAAATACAAAAAGATTTGTGGTAACGGAAAATTTATTCCATTATTTATTTTCAAGCAAAGGATGCTAAATGCCGAACAATCGCGAGAAGATAACAAAAGCCAAACAAACATTGCAATATTCTCAAGAAGTGTACGTTTTTCTAAAAAGTAGTAGCGTGTACAAACATAATTGACAGGAAAGTGCGATGATCTCAGTTTTATGAGGTCGAGTGGTTTCACAAATTAGGAAACATAATTCCATCATTTTAATTAAACAATTGCCCATCGTCGTAGTGCAGTGAATCAGACGGAAACCATTCTTCTGTGGTCGCAGTTTTAACCGCATTGATATAAATGACGATTAAAATTATTTCGAACACTTAGCATACTATCCTTATAAAGAATGCTTTGTTCTTTTTAAATAATTACTTTAGGAAAAAAAAAAACGTTCCAAGCTCTACGTCTAATATTTTATAAAATATAAACCCATGTATATTACTAACGTTCGACTCGGAATTCAATTTTTTGTAAATTAAATTCACCGTTAAACCCTATTGAACATTTATAGAAGGACGTTTATAAAATACAGTTAAAACGAAATATTATTGAAAGTAGTCAGTTAAACATACATATTTTACAAGTTGAATCGTAATAACGTTTGAATGGTTTCGTGTATGAGTGTATCTCAGACCCATGCACGCATATCAATGAGCCTTGTTGATAGGAACTATCGCACTCTTTTCTTCCTGTACAGTCGAATAATGTAGCGGATAATGGAGTTGGCCGGATTACAAATAGATAACTAGCATCGCTGATAATTAAAACTGGACTGGATTCGTAGACACAGGACATTTACTTCCTATACATGATGCGCAATAATAAGGGTAAATAAGAACAAACATTCTTTAAATTTAAATATACAGTAAACTCCCGCTTAATCGACCTCTATGGGACATGATCTTTGGTCGAATAAACGGATGATCAATTAATCCGAAATTATACACCAACATATTATAATTGTCAGTTGTTAATAGATGAATACTGAAAAATACATATTCCATGCAAAAGGAATAAAATTAATTTTTATTTTCCAGAAAATAGTAAGAGACAACCCCTGCACAGGCCAATAAAAATCACAACAATTGGCGATGGCACTGTCGGCAAAACGTGTATGCTAATCACATACACGACAAATGAATTTCCCTCAGAGTATGTGCCCACAGTGTAAGTACTAATCGGGGAACGTCGTTTACCTCTGAATGCAATGTTCTCAAGGCAAAGTAAACTGTGTTCGCTCTTAGGTTCCAGACTGCGATTTCTCTGAGACCAGTCAACTTTCTGTGCTTCGGTTAGGCGCGAGCTTGCATTTCTAAAACATTAAAAGAAATTCAATTAAAAGGTTTCTTTTTTTTTTTTTCAAATGTCTCAATCTGTTTTCCTTAGTTTCGATAACTATGCAGGAACCATATACGTAGACGGGCAAGAATACGATATGACTTTATGGGATACAGCCGGTCAGGAGGATTACGAGCGGATCAGGCCATTATCCTATCCAAATGTAAACAAAGTTCTTTCAAGTAATGGTTTCCAATCGATATTCTACTTAATTTATAATTAAATTTTATTTTCAGACCGACTGCTTCTTGATCTGCTTTTCAGTGAATTCTCGCAATTCTTTTGAGAATGTTGTAAACAAATGGTATCCAGAAATTAAGTACCACTGTCCAAACACGCCTATAGTACTCATTGGTAAGTATTTCCATTATTCATTTAAAAATAGTTCGAATTTACTTTTAATGGCTTTACACTTTCGAGGAACTATATTTTTAATAAATATTGTTCAAAAGTAACAATATAATGAATTCTTTTTTTTTTTCTTCTAATAGGTACGAAAGGAGACCTTAGAAACACAGAAAATGTAGATACAATTTCACTGAAAGATTGCAACAAGATGAGAAAAAAAGTTAAGGCTTACAAGTACATAGAATGTTCTGCTTTGAAACGCGACAATTTGGAAGACGTTTTTGTCGAAGCAATTCGTGCCGTACTAAGGAAACCATCGACTAAACTTTGTTGTACATTTTGAAGATTAAGTTACAAAGTAATATTTATAACTATCTGTAATAATTTTAATATTTAGAAGAAATATATCGTTCCAAAGACTACAATTTCTCATTATCTTATTTATATAAAAATTAAAAAATATTCTGTAAACGTGAGATGCTTTTTACATGATTATTTAAGTCAACGATACTCGGTGTTTACAGTTGTTATTTTGTATATACGAAACTAATGTAAATACCCAAAACGAAATATATACAACTTGTACCACGTTCATATTTGTCACAATTATTAATGCAAATATTTTATTAACGTTTAGAAATGTTATTATAATTTCCTTATACATACAAAATTGAACATAGGAAGTCAGTTACAGTTTCGAAATTTCAACGTCCGAACGCGCCATCTGAGATAGGCGTTACTTTTTGTTGTATTATTTTACCATAACCACCTCTTCCACTATCGAAGTCTGATCTATATTCGTCTCGTACCTGTAAAAATAGAATTTCGTTAATAATCATTTTAATGGTGATTTTGTTACATCGTATGCCCAGTGATAACAGATTTTCCTGTACTTTTAAAAATGCACCAATTAAGAGTCGAAATGTATCGTCTTTCCACGAGAAGAAGGCACAGCGTGTTTACATCCCCCACTCTTGCTGCAGTCTGCTGATTGGCTGTCACAGTCACTGCGACAGGAGTGGGGATGTAAACACACTGTGCCTTCTTCTCGTGGAAGAATGGTATCTAATGTTGTTTTTTATATTACTTTGAATGTAACACTTCAAGCACTTAAATTGCACCTCTACAAAATTACTTACGGGACAACCTAATATATCTCATACACTAAATGTACTAAAAAATCTAATATTACATACTTGTCCGCCGGTCTTTCCTCTTCCATATTGTCTACCTTCGATAAAGCCAGCGTCCCAATCTGTCCTGATTATTCTGTCATCCAGTCGTGTTCCATTGATGTATCGCATACAGTTTTCAGAATCTGCTCTTTGGTAATATTCAACAAAACAAAAACCGCAAGGAGTTTTCTTATATTTATCTAGACCCATTATAATTCTCCTGATATCACCACATTTTGAGAACAACTCGTATATTTGTTCCTCTGTTGTGTAAAAGGAAAGATTTCCAACATACAAAGTCGTGGAATTTCTTAGAAGTCTATCCTGCTCTGCTCTGGAACCCTAAAATGAAAATAAGTTATCCTAAGTACAAATGACATTTGATAACACGATGGTTTTGCATTAACGTGGACAAAATAAGCATTGAACGGTATTATTTTGATGAATGGTTGAAAGAACGTTGCTTTGGTTATAATATTGGGGCTTCATGTTTTAAGTCAATGGGAAATATTTTAATATTATATTATACAACGAACCTTGAAATGTTGGTCACGATACGAACTTAATTCGACAGAAGGTGAAGTCGATGGAACCACTTTTACTGCAGCCATGTTAATTATTCTTACAGAAATTTACGAAAATGTTTCCTACACGTAGGACCTTCCATATCAAACATTTCTAGATCGCCATAACAACAAAAGCGCCATCTATCAACGAGGAAAGAAGAACAAATAAATCAAGATGTTGTTCGAGTTGCCATTTTAACCTTTCGCGCTCCACTAGCGCCGTTACGGCAATGTTTCATAACACGAACACAACTTGGTTCAAATTTAATTTATAGTTACTTTTCCTAATGTTTACGATGGCGTCATGACGATGTTGAAAACAAAGAATTTAAAACTATGTCGTTCTGGTTTAAATTAAATTACGAACCCTGACTAAATTATATTGCATAACAGTAAAAATGTATTAAAAATGTGTAACGAATCACAAAAATCTGCAGTTTCCAAGCTATCGAAGACCGATTCTGATTCAGGTGTTAAAAAGAAATGTTACCAATTACTTTTCAGCTGCTTCAAAGATAGTCATAAAAAACGGTCTAAAGAAAACGTTGATTATGAACCTAAGGAATGTGATTACATTGTTGAGAAACTTATAGTAAAACGTGTACCCTTTATCTTCTTTACGATACCAGAAGATACTTTAGAGACAAAAATCGATGACTGTAGCAAGGATACTAAAGAACCTTTAACTAGTGTCTCAAAAACTCAATCACTTTCGTATTATACTGACAGATTAAATAGAAATAAATCTACGGAAATTCCTAATAAATATTTACACTCTGATGCGAACATGACTGCATTCCATGAAGAAAACAAAAGTACATTATCTACCAATTACGATACTAGGATTACCAAACTAAGAAATACTACGAGCAGCATGCATCCAAGTTTGAAAGAATGCAAAAGATCGTGGAAAGATACATATATGGATAAATTACAGGGCAGCGATCAAAGTAACAAAACATTTGTTGCTCAACCAGTCCAGGACATGTTTTATAATTTTACAAAATTTAGACAAAAAATTATGGATTCAAATCGATTGAACGTAGAAGATTATAATTTAAAGTATATGGATATAAAGTCACAGAGTAATGATAGACTGTTGCATAATCAGAAAATAGCTGCATACGAATCGAAACTTCTAGCCAAAAATATTCTGAACACTAATCAATCAAATAGAAAATTAAGATGGAAAATAATTGTAAAGCATTATAAACCTGAAACACTGCATTATTCTAAAGGTTCTCGAGAAGCTGATAACTATTTTAATACAAATTAATACAAGACGCACAAATGTTGCAGGCTGGTACTTAAGCAGAGGAGCAGGCAGTTTCTTTATGGAGTTATGGATTATGGTGCCGGTCTGCCGTCTAGTAACACTGCTCTAAACCAGTGCCATCTATTTACATAGATAGGTTATATGGGGTTATGTTATCGAACCGAACAGTTTGATTTGTTGTACCCGGTAAATAGTTGCTTTTTAATACTGCAATTGTTTACGAAAGCCTAACCAAATCATAATTATTTTCTGATTTTTACACGGTGAAAAAAAAACAATCAAAATGGTAAGTGATAAGCAATAACGCAAAGATATTTGTAAACCGTTTGGAGCTTATTGTTAATTGTTATAACCTAAGAAATCACAACTAAATAAACGTTGAAAAAATTGAAATTCTACTTATTTCTTTTACAGACGATCGGTAAGAACAATAAGATGCTGCAACACATAAATTACAGAGTCAGAATCATTTTACAAGATTCCAGGACCTTCATAGGCACATTCAAAGCTTTCGATAAGCATATGAACTTGATACTTGGTGATTGCGAAGAATTTCGTAAAATTAAACCAAAGAATACAAAGCAACCGGAGAGAGAAGACAAACGTGTATTAGGTTTTGTACTCTTAAGGGGGGAAAATATTGTTTCATTGACCGTGGAAGGACCTCCGCCACCGGAAGAAGGACTGCCCAGAGTACCTATTCCCGGTGCTGCGCCAGGACCTGGCATGGGTCGTGCAACTGGTCGTGGTATGCCTGCAAATGTTGCCGGAGTACCTGCCGGATTGCAAGGACCTGTTCGAGGTGTTGGTGGCCCGTCGCAGCAGATAATGACACCGGGAGCCAGGGGTCAAGTCTCTGCACCTCCGCAGATGCATCCTGGTGGCCCTCCACGTATGCCAGTTGGAGGCCCTCCACCAGGGATGATGGGTCCACCACCTGGGATGATGGGTAATTCAATTTACAAACACCATATTATTCTTTCTTTAACTCTTGCAGTCCAAAGCAAAATCAATGCTCAGATCCAGGAAGAAGTTGAAATTTCTTTTATTTGATTGCAGGTATGCCACCAGGAATGCCACCCATGGGGCGTGGAGGTCCACCAATGGGACCACCAGGAATGAGGGGTCCACCTCCTGGTATGATGCGGGGTGGGCCACCTCCACGTCCATATTAATAATTTTTTAAATATATTACTGTATCTGATAATAATAAAAATCCCCTTTGTAATTCTAATATCTTTTATCTCATCCCTGTACACTCGTTTAAACATTAATTTAATAGATAGTAATGAAACAACAGGAGCAAGTGGAATTTCTGAATTTGAAACAGGATTTGTGCATAAGATGTTATTAGATACTAAACCATTATTATTTGCTAATTGAATACAAATATCTGATCAGCAAATAGCAAATGTGGAACAAGTAATCTACAGATGAAAGAATACTAAGAAAAGAAAGATGTTAAAGGCATAAAAATTTGATTTCATAAAACAGTTATAATAATAATTGGCAGTAACATAATTACATGTTTTTTGAGCAGTTTGTATAGGCAGTTTATTGTTTAGGAGACTATTGTAATTTTTTTCTTAAATCTAAGTTTTGTATCGAATATAATATTATATTCGATACAAAAAGAAAAAGTGGTTTTTTCTGTTTATAATAAATGTGTAGCTACACATTTATAGTCATTTAAAATTTTCTGTTTATGTACAATAGAGTAATCTAAAAACTTTAAAATAGGGTAAGTACAACTATTTAGAAATTTACAAGAAACAATTGCAATTCTTAGACATATAAATGTTACTTATTATTACCTGGCTTTTAGAAAATCCTATTTACATCTTACATATATTTACAGCAGTTTAATGATACAAAGCATGAGCAATTGTCAGAGACAGAAACAAATTTCTCCGCTTAGCGCTAAAAGTATCATATACAAAAAACTGTGACATTGTTAACAATATTTCATAACACATATAAAATTAGCAATGATATTTCAAAATATGTGAGAAACGATGCAATAATTTCGTAATAATTATTCTCCGAGAAAATATACAGTTTATTAATATTAAAGGTATCTTTGAGATCGCTGTCTTTTTCCTTCATTGTTTTCATAACTGTAATATTGTGTAGGTATGGAATGGTAAATTATAATACGTCATTGAACGTGTTTTCTTTTGTTATACAGAGTGAATCAAGAGAAACAAAACATCTGAATACCTTAATAGATTTTGAAGATACAAAAAAAATTTACGAAACTGAATTTACATAATTTTTTTTTACAATTTTTAACATCATTAAAATTATATTTTTGTTATTTATATAATGTAACTAGTATCGAGATAAATACAATCGAATGACATAATATGACCTTGAACATAGAAAGTTACAAATATGCCATAAAAATCTTATCTTCGTTCAGTTATTAACATTCGAGGACATTATTTTTAACAATTTTATGTAACTTTCTTTGTTCGAGTTGATATTATAATATAGTATTGAAATTAGCTACAATACAAACATATAGGTTCATAAAAAAATGCTGATGACCTTGAGACTGAGAAAAGTTATGTTCGCTATATTTACACAAAACTTTTAAAATTCTTATATATTTTTTTTTTGTATCTACAAATTGAATCGAAATGATTTTAGGTATTCTACTTTTTAAAATATATGTAAAGATATTAAGCTTGAAATCGGCATAATATTTTATATTACGAATGCAAAAAATATTATTAATAGCGGAGTTATATCGTTTAAAGTAAAATAAAATATTTTTTGGGTTGAAACGTGTAGCTAGAAAACACCTCCTGTATTGAAAAATATACTTAAAAGAAGGTTTAATACGATACTGTCAGTATCGATGTGTTAATTTTATTAAATGTTAAATTGCCAGTAAATTAAAACTGTTACGTTCGTAGGGTGACTGTAAATTTATCAGTCGTTACTTAATTATAAAATTTAATTTAATAGAAGAGGAAGCCATCCATTTTTTTCTGAAAGAATAGTTCTCCTGTTAAATTCAGTAATTCAGCGAATTTAATGATATGTACCACAAAAGGTTTTTATAAACAATTACAATTATCGATTTCGATATCACCATTTTGTCGAGTACTTCTCAAAATAAATAATACGCACTGAACAAAAGTATAGAAAAAACTTGTAAAAAAATATTTATGACATGAAGTACAGAAATTGTAGTTAAAAAACAATTTAAACGGTACAATAAATCATATAAATTATTTAGATCGTATAAAAATATAAACGATATTTCTTAATAATGAACAAGTAAATAATTACATAATAAAAACCATTAAACACAACTTCGTTAATGTTGAGTATATTATACGTACTCGTATTATGTAATTTAAAAGTACATATTCATTTCCTTTTAATTTCGTACAATTTGAATAAATTTTAATTGATTAATTAAAACTTCTGCATTCGCATATATTTCTGCACCCTTTTTTGTAAAAGATAAAACATCGATTCAACGTAGCAGTGATAACGAAAGAAAAATATATAAAATGTTCTTGACCAAATTACGGAGTTTTAATAAAGAATAAAATAATTCTTTATTTTTGGTCTACCGATGGAAGAAATATTTCAAATTTACTACATAAATGACAAGTTTACAGACACTGTTTAATTCTTCTTTGAGAAACTCGAGTTCCTTGGATGTATTTGAATTCGCGGAATATTTTTGCACATAAAATAATGTTATTAATTTACAAAATGTTTTCAAAGTAATAATGGAGTTAGTTGTTCCTGTTACATGTACTTTCTTAGTATAACAACATCGTAATATATTTTCACATTTTCAAACTGACCTTTGCATCTCATCTTTAACAGAATTAATTACAGCGTCGGTTTTTACAATTATCTCTTTATCTTGTACATGTAAATCACTATTACTTGGTTCTTTCGAAAGACAAGTGTGTGTATTTTGTATCACAGTCTTATATTCTGAGGTAAGAATATTAGATGATTCAAGAAGATGAGACAGAGCTTTGTTCTTCTCCAAAACATCCTGCCGAAGATTGAACATAATGGTATTACCGGACTGAAAAACATAAATCGTAGACTTTTACAATTATAATTGCTTTTGCAAAAATTTTCGTTACGTAGGAGAATATTCTATGGCTACAATGAAATATTGAAATGAAAGAATGAAAGATTTTAATGAAAATCGATCAAACATGTTTTTACAAGTTTTGCTCCCCATTTGCAGATTATACAAATGATTAAATAACATCCAATGGAAAGTTATTATTTTGAAAATCTAGTGATCTATGTATGAATAATAGTCGCTACCTTTACGTTGGACGTTACAGGTTCCGTATGAGATGAGTTTGTTGACGATAACATAGTTACAGCTTGATCTCCATTGTTAAGTGTAACATGATGCGGTAGGACATTGATAGAAGCACTATGTTGACTCGTGACACGTAAATTTTTCCCTCCCATAATTACTTTCCCCAACACTTCCTAAAATTTATAACATTCCTTGTACTTTATATTCAAAGTATAAAAAAATTTATTTATCGAATATTCGTTTACTTACCTTGCCTGCGTGAGAGAGAGTTACACCTTTGGTTTGACCCTTTTGTATAACGATCACGTTCGTTTTAGATGCTAACTTCGTATTAGAATGGTGAGATATATTTACACTTTTATTAGAATTTAGCGTGACACCCTGAAATATTAGAAATAAAATATTTCTAAATTCAATCTCGATATCAAAGTCGAGCAAATTTTATTTCTAAATAACGAATAAATGTTTTACATTTTTTGAAATACAATGTTTTAAAATTAACTTCCAGAGTTATTTGGAAAACAATCTATCTCGAAATAACATCGTCATTTCATTAAGTATTTCATATAAAAAATGATTTAATATATTTTCAATCGAACGATTTATTTGCCATTTTACGAAATAAATTTCGCCTAGGTCTACTTCATAGTTTACATTCACGGTTTTTTTTTATCGTACCATTTTGGCAGTGGTTTGATTATTGAACGTCGTAGGCAATTTTTTACAAGTCAGCGTTGTAGTTTGCTTAATTTGAGGTGGTCCTGGTCCATTTGATACAGTTGTACCAGGACAAACAGTCATCAGTCGATGTGAATTACCTAAAAACAATTAAAAAAATGGATGAGCTTGGTACAGATTCTGAATCGATCTGTCATCAAGTAGCAGTAACATTTACTTGAAGTAATGGTTTTAGTTATTGGGGATTTTACATTAGAATGTATCACTGGCACAACACGTTTTGTGTTGCTAACAGTCAAGTTTGTATTCTCAGTATTTGCTGCCTTCTCTAAATTATGGGCCGACGATATTTTTGAATCTGAAATAACGCAGGAAATTAAGCCAACTAGCAGAAATATATAAAATTGATAAAATATATTGCGTTTAATAGAAAACATAAAGGAAACCGTATCGTACTTAAACTATCTTGCGTGGATGTATCTTGCGCATCAGGTTGCAAGTTGCTTCCAGATACACACGACGCGTTACTGGACATCAGAATTGCTGGCCCAACTTTTGTGCTAAGTTTATTTTGGGCAGCAATTATTTTTCCTTTAGTTTTCGTAATACTTGCACTAACGGGGACCACAGCATTCATAACATTACCGGATGGAACTGCCAAATGATTATTGGCATTTTCTTGCACCACTGATTCCTTCGAATCTGAATTTAATATAATTAATTTAAATATATCATACTAAATGTATTACAAATGTATCAAAATTAAAGTTATAACAACCTGTGCATTCCCCGCAATTAACATTAAGCGGTATTATCGTAACATTTTGATGTTGTAACGAGTTCGTTGGCATTCGTGATAATTGAATAGTATTTTCGGGAGATCCTTTCTGCGTGGCGCCATGATTCAGCGTTCCTATCGAATTTGACGAAACTACCAAAACCTGTATCACATATTTTCTTAATAGTTTAGAACAAATTTAAGTAAACGATCCGTTGATTCTTATCGATTTACATTACCTTGTTTGGTGGTGCTGTTGGAAGCGGAGACGTTGGTTTACGTTTTTCAGGAATAGCACGTTTTTCGTTCACATCCAAATTATTGTTTTGCTTATTCGTTTCCTTGTTTTTATCCAATTCAGTGTCCTATAATATATTGCAAAAAATAAAACGACTAAAAAAAAAAAAATAAATAATATCCTTACAATGTACCATAAGTATATAACCGATACCTCGTTCGATACGCTCTGATCACTGAACTTGTCTTCATTAGGTGGAAGTTCATTATTGCTAAGTAATTTCTCTTGTACTTTCGTCTTCTCAGGAGATTCGCTTCTGATTGCTATTGAAACAGACACACGAGTAATTAATTTTTATCCCGTACATAGTACACAAAAAGAATGCCGTATTGTTAAATCTTCTTAACTTACAGTTCTATGGCTGTACACTATTTTAATAGACTAAAACCACACATTTACCAAAATAGATAATAGTTTTCCTTAAAACCTTTTGCATTCTCTGTTTTTTCAGGAACTGGAAGATTCCTTTTGTTTGCCACTGCAGTTGCAAGGGATATGCTATTTGCTAGCGTCGTAAAAGCAGATCGTGCCTTCAATCTTGGTAAAAGTGGAATAGTACGACGACCTTCGATAGTCCAATCTGTGCCAGTGTTTGGGCCATTTAATCTATGTTGTAACAAATTATTAATATTCAATCACAACGTCCGAGTTTTACTTTGAATATTATAATATATTTAGTATGCAATCGCTTACTGTTCAGCTATTGTTGCTAATTTCTCATCGTTTACCGCTCTTCGCACTTCCGCACGATGTCTTTCATTAGAAATATGCAGAACTTTAGCAAGTTCTTGTAATAATTTCTGTTTTTCATTAGTAAAAGGGCCTTGAGCACGTAAGACGGATACCATACTTCCATAAGCATCTAATTCTATATTAAATAAAACACATATTCGCTATATAAATAATACAGAATATAAATACACGCAATACTTTAATCTTTAATTGGTATTGTGAGGTATCGTTGCAACCCAGAGATTACATTTATTTTATTTGTAATTAATATTGTATTCTATCATTTTGAGTAATCAATTGTGTAAAATAAAGACAATTATAGAAGGAAATTGCTGATTTTTATTCTTCAATAACATATTTTGGGAGGTTTAAATGCCCTATGATACAAGTTACATTTTGAGAATATACAATTTTTAAAAATTCTAATAATGCTGTGAGCATTTGATTTATATTATAAATCCGCATAAATATTTTTTGGGAACTTAACAATTAGTCTTTTGGTTTGTTAAAACTAAACTTATTGTTTCTCTAATATTAATTGTTGGACATTACCTACAATCGACCATAATTTGTATTTAAAACAATATTATTGCCTGTACAAGAGCATTGCAATATATTCATCATTTTAACGAAGGATTTCTATTCTATTTCAAGGATATGTTTTATTAATTATTCATATTTCTAACAATTACTACAGGTCTGGAAAAATTCAGTCAACTTTTAAATTACAAGTCTAGATACATAAAAAAATTTGTGACTCTTAACGTAATGTTAGACAACATGTAACACAATCCACAGTAAAAAATCGCTAAGAATAAGAAAACGGTTTGTGATATTCTAATTACATTTAATAATAAATGGATACATATTCGATATCAATAAATATTAATATATTCATAAATTATGGTCGTCAAACACAGTTCTTCAGGTTTCCATTTTCTATTTTTCAATTATGTAAATCTCGTGTACTACGATACATAATACTTATTTTAAAATTGCGTTATATTCTCGACACATATAACTGTTTTGAGACTGTAAAAGACTGAACGTTACTAAAGTAAAAAAGCGATTGTTTGAAACTTAACCTTACCTAAACATCGTAAATATTTTCTGCATTCATCGCGAGTCATCGTTTCGTGTCTTAACGACCACATGGTTGCATATTTCGATCGCTATAATAAACGTGACAAAATCTGATCACTGTTTGTAAGCTTTTTCCACATTTTCGACGTTTCGTTGACAGTATGGTAAGTTGATGATGAAGTTGTCGTATAATTACTCTTATTGTAATTGTTTTTTATTGTAACGTTGGTACTACTACCAGCAAAGTTGATAGATGTTTTCATAGACTGGCTAACCTGAACCCTTTGCTCAAGATGGCGGATCGTATGTTGATGTTTTATACAGCGACTCTAGTACATACGAGCCATGCTAAATGAGAGACAATAAAGCTACGAGAATCCGATTTTCCACTGGAGGGACAGAGACACACAAATACCGTGTGCACTTTTTATTACGTTAGGTTTAATGCACAGTCTGCGCATGCTTGACACACTACCCTCGTCGCAACCAATGAGAAAGCAGCAAAGTTCAAAGGAGCGAAAGGCTTCTTTCGCTGGAAGCGTCTCTTTGTTTATTTTTATTTGGTAAGTATTTTTGAACAATACCTAGAAAATGTCCAAGGTATTCAAGGGCTTATATTCCCATTATTGTCCCAATTTGTCTATTCCATTGTCTATGAATACTACATTACTTATGTAACTTATGAACAGCAAATACTTAGCAAATCATTTGATATCATCACGTTACGAAATACATTCTGTATATGAATCTTTATTATTATTAACAACACGGAAAATATTGAGGAAACGTACGATTAAACGTGTTGTACGAGCGACACATTTTTACAAATATTGTATAATATTTCCAACTAAATATACTCTGCATGTATCAATACTTTTTCCCATTAAATGATAAGCGAATATCATAAAACTGGTGAATCGTCAGAATCAATATTTAAGCGTTTCGAAAGTGCTTGACAAACGTATTTGACCGGAACATTTAATACTTATATATATAAAATGATTGGAAGGTGCTCTACCGATCGTTGTTACAACAGTTCTAAGTCTGTTTTCCATCGAATGGACTAACGTAGAAGTAACATTTGGATCTATCGATTGTCATATTTATTTCTAAGTCGAGACTTTGCGGTCACATTTCTTGACTATTTTTACGATATGCTTCGAATCATTGTCTGATCAAGACTAAAGAAATACCTCGTAAATTCAATTTTAATACACTGTCTTTGAAATTTTCCTGTAAAATTTTACAGCCGAAACATGTCTGTTATATGAGGACCAATCGATCGCTGATCACAATCAGTCGGTTCACCGTTTATTAAATAAGAAAATACGAGAAAGTTTGATAAATTCTTTAATATTCCATACACCGATTACTTTCGTTATCTTCTGTGTGCCATGGACGCCGACTCTATACTCGGAAATTCTCGTGGGTGACGTATAAAGTCATCCGTAGGCTTTTCCTCGTCTCAGTCGACGAACGCCAACGTCCCTGCGATCTATTTATCCGTTTAAGATCGGTATGCACTGTTTCGAATCGCTCGTAAGAAAAGTTGAACCGTGACCGCGACTAACGAATAGAAATCGACGAAATCAACGGGTACAGAATAAATAGGCGAATAAAAAAAAAGAAAAGAATCACGGGCGAAAGTTGGTGATCGAAAATGCGTGTTACCGCGACGTTAATTGTCGCTTCGATCCTCGTTATTTATTTCGTCGATTCCAGTGTCACGCCTGACAAAGGTAAGGGAAAGTGATTACAACTATTAAAATAACCACTGGTCAACAAATTGTAAACAATAGTTTGTACTCTTTACGATTATTTCATTCGATACTTATATAAATAACAAAATAAATCGTGCGGAACGATATTAAATATAATGACGTTTTTTATTTTTATTTTGAACGTTGATCGATGTATGAAACAGGTGTAAATAAATATATAATGTTAAAAGTAGTGTAAAACGTATGGTGTTATTGCACCTGCGGCGCGTTCCCATAACATGTTTACGGTATTGCAAACCAGTCCTCATGCAAGTTGACAAGAAACCCGGTAACGGCGTGCTCCGAACGATAAATCGTTTCTGCAGGTCATTTAACTTGAAATGACTATTTTCGTGTTTACCAATTGTGGGAACGGATCAACGAATTTAACCGTTCCAAATAATCGATTTAAATTTCCAGTAAAGAATGCAGTACTCTCCTAAACTTAGAATTTTATTTGAGCAGGTATTGAATTTTCCATAAAAACCATTTCCTTTCATATTAAAAGGGGTTGGACCCCTCTGGGGCCCTTTGTATACAGGATGTTCGGCCAACCCTGGGAAAAATTTTAACGGGAGATTCCAGAGCCCAAAATAAGACGAAAATCAAGAATACCAATTTGTTGATGGAGACTTTGTTAGAAAGTTATTAACGTTTAAAGTTCCGCTCGTACTGAATTTTTTTCTAGAAAGTGGGTAAGATTTCGGGGGTATGTGTAATGACCAAAAATGATTGTAATTGACCCCCGCAACTGAAAATAATTTTTCCAGAACGATTTGAAATTTTTTTTTCCCATCGAAAAATTTCACACCTTCTCGATTTTTTTTCTAGAAAATGGGTAGGATTTCGGGGGTATGTGTAATGACCAAAAATGATTGTAATTGACCTTCGCAGCCGAGAATAATTTTTTTAGAACGATTTGAAAAAATTTTTTTCGTCGAAAAATTTCACACCTTCTCGAATTTTTTACTAGAAAATGAGTAGGAATTCGAGGGTATGTGTAATGACCAAAAATGATTGTAATTGACCCCCGCAACCGAGAATAATTTTTCCAGAACGATTTGAAATTTTCTTTTTCCGTCGAAAAATTTCACATCTTCTCGAATTTTTTTCTCGAAAATGCGCAAGATTTCGGGGGTACGTCTATCCACCAAAAATGATTGTAATTGACCCCCGCAACTGAAAATAATTTTTCCAGAACGATTTGAAATTTTTGAATTTAATTGTTAATAACTTTTTAACGAAGCCACCATCAACAAATTGGTATTCTTAAATTATTCCCAGAGGTGGTGAAATACCCTGTATATGTATACATAAATCGTTAGTTTAAAAGCTATAATTTAGAATTGATGGTGTAGATATTTATTTGTGAGTGGATCCCTGAATATCCCAAAACGAAAACGAAATTATTTTCTTAAAACATTAGTGTAATTTGTGAGTCCTGTTTATGTATTTTTCCACAGACCTGACAACGAGTCTTCGCGAAGCATGGGTCGACGACGATTTTTCGATTACATTTTCGAACATAAAAGCGAAGAAAAAATCATCGGAGGGGACGGTCGAAACACTTTTGGCTGTGAGATTCGGGAAATTCAGGACGAAAATAATGCTGATGCTCGACAGACGAACGAAACGAGGTGAGAGTCTAGATCTATCCATAGATTTGTATCTTCTTCTATTTATAATGATCTTTTTCTTAAATTAATGAATTTTTCGAGATAACCGTGTCCTTTCCTTTGGCGAATTAATTTGTTCCAGTGATCCTCGAGGGCGTGAACGACGATAGACGTCGAATTACCGAGCAGATTACCGTGGCCACTCTGGGCACCGATGCACCGTTGAAGAATATAGTAATCCTGGTGCATCAGAGTCAACCAGATGCAAGGATCGATGTTTACATCGATTGCGTCTACCAGGGCGTGTTACCGCTGAGGAAAAGTTTCAGGGAGCTAGAGAACGACGAGGACTGCTCCCTCGTAGAAGCAGTGAGTATTTTTCAAAATTAATTACCTTCCAACGCTTCAAGTTCTTCATCATTTTATCCTTGGTTATCCTGATACGAACGATCGTTCTCGAGTTAGCAAATGAAAATGTGAATACTCCGGAGAAAGTATGTACTACAGTTATATTTATTGTTTTCAAAGGAAACTAGAAATAGTTACTACTCGAGTTAGCAAATGAAAATGTGAATACTCCGGAGAAAGTATGTACTACAGTTATATTTATTATTTTCAAAGGAAACTAGAAATAGTTACGAACGGCGTTTAAATTTCTTCCTCTCTTAGGGAGTTTCACGGTTGATACGGACCACCGATGACGTTAGAGATCGTAGGATGATGTCTTTCCAAATATGGTTGGTCAGACCAAGGCTGTTTGTCTTTATTACGCACAGCTGCTAACTCGCGTAACGCATTTAAGCATGGAATTGATTTCGATTCGCTTAGAAGTCATCCATATTGAATATTCACGGCCCACTTTCCTGTAACCGCGATCGAGATGCACACATATAGTCATACGCGAACGTATAGTTGAAAAAAAAGGGGTTCGAAATGTTATAAAACAATTAGAAGGAACTGTCGATGAAATACATAATTAGACTGCGGATCTTTATGCAAATTCACATTTTTATTAATAGAATTAATGAAACCGGAGCTTCGCAGAGGGCTGTCTCAACCCCTAAATATGATAATTCGTATCTTACTTTAAGTATTTCTTATATTTTTGCATAGTAAATGCATTCTGTAGTTTTTTGAGGATTAAAATTTCCCATAAATTCATAAACATCCGTAGTCTATACATAATACATGAATTTCGATGGTTTTTATCGATGACTTAATTTAGAATGTTTGAGAATTGTTTACATAATTAGAATAAAAGAAAACATTGTTCCTAGGTAAACGTACTAATGACTAAATGCATGTACAGTGTTCATTGTACACAGTCATTGTATGCGAAGGGTTTAATAAACGAAATTCTAAAGTGGTCGTGTGTTCAGTTTAGGGAAAGAAGAAGCGAAGTGAAGGTGCATCGATCGTCGTCCGTAATCGACGTGCTGAAGCTAGAGGGCTGTCCCAATAATGTTGATCTAGACGCGTTACCGGATCACTCGAAGGGCAGAATAGAAGAATCGTCGGAATCGATGAAGTCGAACGAAAGACAACGTAATCGTTTTCGATTAAAAGATCGTGGCCACGATTTGACCGTGCGGTCAAGTAAGTTCGAGGATGATTACGAGTTGGACGATTTCGACGATTCGGATCGATACGAGCACTTGGATCAACGGGACGGCCTCCAACGATCTCGTCGTTTCAACCATGACCGTCGTTCGACTCGATTGGATCAATCGAATCGGTACGATAAACGTTTTATCGAAGGCTATCGTAGCAAACATTATTCCACGGGTGACTCTGAGGTCGATCAGTCGGATCTGTTGAGCCAATTGGATCATATGTATCAACGGACGCGATCTGAGGATTTCCAAAGACCGCAGCGTATGAAATCGGGAGAAACCAATGAAACGGACGAAATGAATTTGTTGAATCAATCGACGGCGTATTACAAAAGGGTACCGAGGAGGGGGGACATAGGGATCCAGAGTTTGGACGAAAAAAGTAATTAGTCTGTTATCGATAACAATTTTCTATTTGTTAGAAGCAGAACAGTAACTGATTGAAAATTTTCATTGTATAGTTTGCATCACCGATAGTCAGCTGGGCAAAACTCTGAACGAACTGATCGCTGCTACCAAAAAGATCTGGAGAGAAATAGAGTTGAATGTGAGTAATTAAGATTTGAAAGTCTCCTCGAGCTTCACTGTAATTAGTTATTAATTATTAAGCAGGTTAGATCAGAGCTGTAGTTCGTAACGATTTATTTAACTTTTCAGAGAATGGAAACGCAACATCTACGACAACTAATCGAAAATTGCACAGCTTGTCGCGCACCACTCGGTGAGTGAAGTATGGCTGTATTGAAATAATTATTAATTTGTCAAGAAAATGTTCTTTGTTATTTCTTTCTCTGGTCTACGCACGATTCTCCACGATCGAAACGGTTTTAATCTCGCCACAGTTCTCACGAGTGTACGGATCGACTCCGATCAATGTATAAAACGGCCTTACGTTGCAATAAATGTCTGATTCTTGCAAAATTTAATAATGTTGTGACTGTAATTCTCGCAAAACATTTAACGAACCGTGTCTGGCGAAGTAATGAAAGATTACAGCGTCTCGGAGAAGATACTGTTGGAATATTGAACCGTTAAACGTCCAAGGTTTCGATTTTTAACGACTAAAAACCGGAAGAAGATGTCGTATCTCCTTTAAACATCTTCGAACAGTGAATTATGAAATTATTGGCACAGGTAAGAAGCGATGGAAATACAAAGTATACAAGATGTAATAAAAGGTTCCTTAAAACTATAATTTATAGGCCACGAACTAACAATACATGAGAAGTGATAGGAATGCAAAGTGTGATACAACATTTTCCACGTTTTTTACATAAAAAATATAATGTTCAAGCTATAGACGATTCTTAACACTTTGACGGCCGCTGTCACGTATACGTGACTTCGCGAGCTAGCAGGCGTTGGCCACTGTCACGTGTGTGTGATCTATTGTATCAGCCACCATTTATAATTCCTTGTAATAATATTCCTAGCATCTTCATGTATCTCACTTTGGTCTACAATATCAGTGATGAAGAACAGTCTTCGCATGATACGTGCGGCCATTAAAGTGTTAACGTTGTCCTCCCAGCTATCCTTCGTTCCTCGATTTCAGTAAAAGTTTCAGGCACTGTGTGGATAAGTGTGACGTCGCGTGGGACAGAGTTTGTAACGTGTGTTTCGTAAGTAAAGAACATTACTGTAATTCCACAGTTCCACCGCCGACTACGACGCCCGCCCCGCCTTCCACGTGCGATTATAAGTCGCCTTGCTACCCAGGGGCTGACTGTCGCAACACACCGCGTGGCCCACTGTGTGGTGCCTGCCCACCAGGTTACACAGGTGACGGATACCGGTGTACCATAGTGATCGTTACTTGCGCGAGCAGTCCGTGTTATCCCGGTGTCCGTTGTTACGACCATCCGGACGGTTACAGGTATTTCTTCTCAATTAAAAACAATACCATACACTCCGCCCCTGGCTCGAATACCCTATTTCCGGCTGGTACCGGAAATTGTAATTATTACCATTCGATAGAGTTGTTAATATCTTAAATAAACCACTACGATTTTCCTTGTTTTCTGTGCCTCTGTTCGGTCGTTTCCACCGCCGAATAATGAATCTATACATTTTCCAGGTGTGGAAAGTGCCCTCTCGGTTACATTGGCGATGGGAAACGTTGCGAGAGACTGAGGAACAGTTGCGAGACCAACCCTTGTTACCAAGAAGTACAGTGCGAATCGGTCCTTTATCCACCGTATTACAGGTAGCATCAGTACTGTCAGTGCATCATAGACTAGCAACAGTGAACATTTTCAATGGCGTGATGGTAATGGTAATTGTAATTTTTAGATGTGGTCCTTGCCCAGACGGTTACGTGGGCAACGGTTCGACGTGCGTACACGTGAACGAATGCGAATTGGCACAACCATGCTATCCCGGAGTACGCTGCATTAATCTACGTCCAGGTTACAGATGCGATCCTTGCCCGTCAGGATACAATGGGACCATGATCGAGGGAGTTGGGCTGGAGGTCGCTCGAGTTCACAAACAGATCTGTCAGGATATAAACGAGTGTAAAAATAACAATGGAGGCTGCGGTCCGTACACGGAGTGCATCAATACGGAGGTAACTGATTCTCTATGTTCGAAAAACCTCCAGAAAACTTGCAGGTAGACTAAACGTTGACCAATGGTGAATCAGAAGAATTCTAAGTTTCCTCGTATCTCCGCAAGAATAATTTACGAAACAAGTACATTTGTTTGTCTTTGTTCCAGGGTTCGTACAGATGCGGACCGTGCAAAGCGGGCTTCCTGGGGAACCAAACGGTCGGCTGTCATCCCCCGCACAATGTCTGTCCAGATTTGACGACGGTCTGCGACGCGAACGCTGACTGCGTCTGCATCGATGTCAATCAATACGCGTGCAGAGTAATTGTCCCAAGCATTCTAATCGGGATTCGGAGACTGTTATGCTATCGAGCGTTGGTTGTTCGGGTAACTAAAACGATACGATTTCCAGTGTCGCGTCGGTTGGGCTGGAAACGGACTGCTGTGCGGCTTGGACAAGGACAGCGACGGTATCCCCGATAGAAATCTCCGCTGTCACGATCGGCATTGTCGCGTGGACAACTGTCCGTTGACGCCGAACAGTGGCCAGGAGGACGCGGACCAGGATGGCCAGGGTGACGCGTGCGATCCGGACGCCGATAACGACGGCGTGTTAAATTCGTCGGACAATTGTCCCTTGGTCTCGAATCCGAATCAAGAAGATAGAGACCGCGACGGGCCGGATTCCGTTGGCGATGTCTGCGATAACTGCCCCTTGGTCAGAAATCCAACGCAAGAGGACACGGACGGGGATGGCCTTGGCGACGCTTGCGACGACGATATCGATAATGACGGTAATTGTAAAGGCGTGATTCCACTGAGGCAACATGTAGCATGCGACGAAACACAATTTTATTAAGGCAACATGAAATCGACGTTATGTAGACACTTGACATGTGTATTTGCTACACATTCATTTGTTTCCTTTCCGAAATAAAGAAAAGCGGGATTATTTGATCGAACATGTCGAGCAATGTCGTCAGTTAATGACAAGTAGCATGCTACAGGTCGCATAGTGTTACCAAACTACATGTGGTATGTTACAAGTCGCATAGTGTTGCCTCGGTGGAGTCATACCTTTACAGAAGGCTAAAAATCACTGTCCTGTAGTATCGAAATTAATGAAACAAATCGACCGGTACAGGTGTCGGGAATCATTGGGACAACTGTCCGAGAACGGTGAATCACGATCAAGCGGACTCGGATTTCGACAGGATCGGCGACGCCTGTGACAACTGTCCTTCCGATCCGAACACGGATCAATTAGATCGAGACGGCGACGGCGTGGGCGACGTATGCGACAACGACAATGACAGGGACAGAGACGGCGTTCAGGACGACAGAGACAATTGTCCCGATGTGGCGAATCCGGGACAGAACGACGACGATCGCGACGGTATTGGGAACGAGTGCGATACGGACATGGACAACGACGGCATACCCAACTATCAGGACAACTGTCCGTACGTGTACAATCCGGATCAACGGCACAGTCATCGTAAGTTCATGGTTTGGGGGGATCAAACTGAAATCCTGGTGACGCTATACCGATTGCAGACGAGAATATTGGCGACGCTTGTTACAACGACAACGACAACGACACCGTGATAAACATACACGACAACTGCCCTAATAACAGCTTGATCTGGTCGACGGACTTTAGAAAATACGTCACGATCGCTTTGGATCCCGTTGGCACCGCTCAGGAGGATCCAATGTGGAGGATACACAACGACGGCGCGGAGATACAGCAGCTCGTAAACAGCGATCCTGGAATCGCTATCGGTACGGGAAAACTTGTGCAACAAATTTAAGTAATAGACTCTGCACGTGTTATTTCTATCGACAGGCCCGGATGTGTTCAGCGACGTGGACTTCGAGGGCACGTTTTTCATCAACGACGACGGCGACGACGACTTCGTCGGTTTCGTGTTCTCCTATCAAGACAATCGTCGATTCTATATCGTGACCTGGAAGAAGGGTCAGCAGCCATACTGGATGCCCACGCCGTTTAGAGCCGTCGGAGATCCTGGGATCTTTTTGAAGCTGGTCGACTCGAGCACCGGTCCCGGCGAACTTCTCAGAAACAGTCTTTGGCACAACCAGGACACACCTAATCAGGTGAAGATACTTTGGCGGGACCCGAAGAAAATTGGCTGGAAGGAGAACACACCGTACAGATGGCAACTGCTGCACAGGCCTAGGATCGGCCTGATCAGATTCAGGCTTTACCAAGGCAAACAATTGATGGCTGATTCCAGAAACGTTTACGACTCGACCCTGAAAGGCGGTCGACTGGGCGTGTACTGCTTCTCTCAGGAGAAAATCACTTGGTCGAACCTGCTGTACAAGTGTAAAGGTAAGCAGAATCGAGTTAACCTTTATCTTAACTATTGTTCAGTACTACCGGTAAATAATCGAAAAAGCTACTAATCGTGACTCCAAAATTTCAGAAACGGTACCCCAATCAATTTGGAACGAGTTGCCAGCGAACTTGAAGAAGGAAGTAGCTGTGGATTAGGCCTCATCCCCCTCACTACGACTTCTAAATTTCCATATCGATCGACGAAACTAGGATCTTTATTAAGTTGTATAAATTTACAAGTTATTCGTTACTTATGGATTTCGATAATGAACGGTATTCCGCGAGTGTTTCAGATAAATACAATATAATTCATTTACCGCTTTCAAGCAACAAATCCAACGCGTTAAACTGTTTTAAGTGGAGAGTTTAATAAAAAACAAACCCCCCAAAAAGGTCCATTTTCCAAAGCATTCCAAAAAATTAACGTCTACGAATGTTCTAAAAGAGAAAAGAAGGAATCTGGAATGGGGGAAGGCGAAGAGAGAATAGTAGAGAACGAAAGAAAAAGATAGTTTATGCTTATTAATCGTTGACAGAGAAGTTTTTATTCCATGTGTCGAGAGAAGCGTTATCACTTATGAGATGACCTAACGCTTTCAAAACTATTGGACTCGCGTCTAGCGATCGTGATCGAGAACGAAACTTATCATCTACGTCGATATTTACACTAAGGAACATGTGGAGCTTTTTCAAAGTTACAGCAATTCCAATCAAACGAGAATTCGTTGGTTAAAGGACATCGAATTGTATTTATTTTTTTTTCGTTTTTTTTTTATAATGCATTAACCATCGAAAGAGGCCCAATCATGATCGCGGGGAGCATCTTAAGCCTTAGAAATTTTACATCGTAACATTTACACGATACTCGTATTTACAAATGAACGTTAATTATTGAATTATCATAGCAAGATCCGAATGGAAAATCAAATAATTGATCCGACGACACTAACGGCTATTAATTTCTCGTAATTTCGTTCGGATTTTCTTTCATGAAAAGCAGATACTGAGTATATATATATATATGTATATATGTATGAATTTTTTTTTTTTATCGAAGAAGAGAATGTACGAGGGTTGTTTGATAACCAAGTTGTTTGGTCTCCAACGACGCCATTTTGACAGCAATGGGGGGGGATACAAATTCCAACCTCGAATGTTTAATCTAAATTGTAAAACTTTCGATTTCTCGTGTAACTTCGTTAAACAATTGTTATTTGTCACGAACTCAATTAGTTTCTAGCTAGTTATCGATCAACCATCGTATATTTGGTATTCGTTTGTGAAAAGTAGATATCGAGTATATGGATACTAATGAATTTTTTATCGAAGAAGAAAATGCACGAGGGTTTATTCATAACCAAGGTCTCCAACAATACAATTTTGCGAGTTCAATTTTTTTTTAACTTCATTGCGTAACAGTATCATTTATGACCAATACAACTCCAATTTTTTTTCCCCCAAAATTGAGGGAACGTCCAAGTTCGAGTTAAAAATAGACCAGGAGAAAATGTGAAAAATAAATGTATACGTTTAAAGTGGAACAAAGTTTCGAGACGAGTTTCGTTAATTCCTCTAATCTCGAACACAATTTGTAGGATTGGAGACCTTAGTTATCGATCGAGTCTCGTATAGTTATTATGTCGTAGGCGAGACAAAAGTTAATCGATTAGATTGATCGTATAAACTTCTCTAAGTTCTGAATAGTATTCGTTTAACACGATTCGCGTGGAATAAATTTGAAACGAAACGCTCGATTGCAACAGGTGCATTTCCGGTTCGCGCACGTTGTGGCAGTGGTCGCTCAGAGCTTGATTGCTAAGGCAGTTGAGCGTTGTTTGAACAAAAGGAGCAATTAATCCTCTGCCGAAGAACCTTCTTCGACAAAGCTTCGAGTCTCGTTTTTCGATTCGTTCGCGTTCGCTCGCCAGTATACGAGAATACATACACATAAATAAATTTTACATTCAATTTCATTTTGTGAATCCCTTTGGGATTCGATACCACGTCGATTATTGTTTAAATATTGTACATTATATTAAAAACTATGTAATTACTAATTAAGTTTTAGTCTAGAATCTTTGCTCGCTCCTAGACAACATTCCGACTACGCCCTTGAATACAAACGAAATTAATAGGAAATTCGATATCGATATTCTGTTTGTCTTGTAACGCTTCAAAACGAATTTTGACTTGCAAGATCCACTAGATGGTACTAGCAGAGTTCCCAGAATTGCCCTAAATACTATTGGTTCTCGAGAAACACGAATTTTTCTAAAAAAAAAAAAAAAAAAAACACGATTTCTGGCAGAAATAAGATCAATAAAAACGCTAGGAAGTTCCATGCGGTTATTAACTTTTGCTCGTAACTGTATATCGTTCCCAGCAAAGTGTTATATCGTAGCACTTAACGATAATGCAATAAACAGTTGGGATTTTCATTTTGTATCGACAGAACATTTGTAACAAACGAGTCGATGTTCATTTTACTCGCCAATGGAACTTAAAGCGTTTCGAGTAAAACGTACTCGGTAATTTCATTTACTTAATTCTATTAAGTATCCTTTTGATATTCGCACAATTAAAGTAACTTTCAATTAAATACATACTTCTGTTCCCTTTATAAAACTACGTATACTTAACTATGTAGATCACATTTGACGAAATATTAACAATCTTATCATCGAGGACTGGCGTCCCCTTGACAGAATGTCGATTTTTATATTAAATGTCGGATAAATCAAAGAAATCATAACCAGACTGAATTTTTGTTCGATACTAGAATTATCAAGCCCGTCTAAATAACGGACACTTCATTAAGTGCTGAAATCAACAATGTTCGAACAAATTAAAATACCAAAAACAATAAATTAAAGGTCCGGTTACGCACCTGATCAGTGTAAATTTTTTATCGATCTCGAAGACACGAAACTCTACAATTAAAGATTTACGAAAAAGGCAAGGCACTTGGGGACTTGCATTCGATAAAATATGTCTAGATCAAGGCTTGGAAAGGTTTCGAAAATAATTGTTTAAAATAATTATACGATAAAAGTTCTCGAAATTGTTACGAAGAACTTCTATTCCGAAGAACTGTTACAAAGAACCTAAATAATATTTGTCGTTTTTGGCAGTCAGATTAAATTTCATTAGTTTTTATGTAGAACAATTATTTTGTAACTTAATAAATTTTTGATTCAAAACATAGGAAAATTGAGTTAAAAAAAATAACGAGCTTGATCTTTTATCTTAAATAATTTTTTCATTTTTCTATTTTATAATATTAATACATAGCTTAGATTTGATATTTTGTCGAATGTTGAGAATAAAAGTTCTTAATAACTGTTTCGAGAACCAAAACTCATATTAGAACAATTTTCAAGTCCTGGTCTAGATACGTGTTCTGAAGCTGTTAAGAATTATTAGTACATATCGATTTGATTAATGTATGTAGGTGGCGTCACTAGCGGCTGTAGTAAATAACACTAACTATGCTTCCTTACTTTACGTTCTTCCCTTTTTCTTACGTATATACAAGGACGATCTACCCATTATAATAAAATCTTTATCTTGCGTGTTCCATCGAGCAACATTATTTACATATTACTATCTTCAGTGCCCCCACGAGCCGACTGGTTATGGGCCCAGGGACATCTTCCATTTTTGATATTCTGGTTCCTTTATGCGGCGCACAATGATCGATTTCACGAATCTAGATCGTCGAAACTGGAATAATGCACACTTAGATCATCAAAAAGCCATTCATTGCAGGCACAAACCCTATACCGATAGTAATTGGTGCAGCTGTGTCAGAAATAGACAAATAGAAAAAAACGAGAAGTACGAAACTAGGATTTCTAATCGGATACAATTATGGAACCTAATTTTCGGAAAGAGTTTCCGGGAAGCCTCTGAAACGAATATCTGAAAATGTTTAAAACGAATTATTTATATAAAAAACTTCTAACGATCTGTAATCGAAAATCAATCGATGCGGGAGTATTGGAAGAGTTTATAATCACGTTTGTTATTAATAAACAAGTATTTGAAGACAGAAATACACGAAGACACCATTACAACTTATCGGAATTCAATTTTGGAGCCAAATATCGACGCCACCTAGAAAACTTAACGAGAACATAATTTTGGTTCACACGACAAAGGAAATTCTATTTGATATGTATGTGAAATTTCAAGAAGATCCATCGATCCATTTTGTAAATATCATGGAAGCCACTCAAAATGATAATCTGCAGAAAACATGCAATTGAAATTATTATATAAAAATTATATCGTGTCGTTTGAGAAAAATTTGTCAATCTTCAATCTACAATTATATAATAATCTTTTGTTTTAAAAATCGTCTAAAATCGACGTCCCCAAATGGGAACTTTTCCCTTATAGAGTTAACGAACGTGGAATAAAAAACGAATCAAGACTATGAAGCGAAGGACAAAATGAAACTAACCTTTATTCGTAACATTATAAAGGAAAACTCGTATTGTATATCATGGATTATACCAAAACGTCGACGAACAATTTAAAATTGTCGTTTTACGATCTCCATCGATCTAAAAAACATTTTTCCCCCATTTTGAACAGGAAATACGGTGACACGGTTGTCACTGACTACGTGAATGCTAATTGGGGAGATTTGCTCGATAGGAAGTCGTATACTGCGTATGTTTTTGAATTGACCCAAGGTCCTATCCTGTGGAAAAATCGTAAGCAGAAAACTGTTCATCCACGTCGGAAACGGAGAACATGGCAGCGTCTGATGCTTGTAAAGAAGCAATTTATTTAAGAAGAGTCTTATTATTGTTGGTACTCCTCGAAGGCTCATCGCAATTCATATTGACGATCAGAGTGCTATAAAAATGGCGTGATCGCACCGAACATATTGACATCGAATACCACTTCGTTCGAGATGTTGACAAAGTACACTCATCCACGCAAATATTCGAACGCTTACGTTTATAACATTCAATCGATGAAATATGTATGTTAAACAGAAGTATTTTGTATGATACATATAACAAAGAAATCGGTTCTAAGACTACATAAGTGAAATTAGAAAATAATTCAACTCTTATACAATATATATTTAATTCTTATTATATGTATCATATTCTATTAAATGTTTCGGTTTAACATATATGTTTCCTTAGTTGAATGTTCGAACATTTGTAAATGTTCAAAAACACTTCTGTGTATGAGTGTGGATCATATTGTCATATTGTCAAAGTCGGATAATGGTGGCTGATGTGTCAACAAAAACTTTGCCAGGTGTCAAGCACAGAATATTATGTGCAAGTAAGTATTATTGAACTTTCTTCTTTGTATCGGAATTAGGGAAATTGTTAAGAATTGCTATTCTATACTAACCTGATGTGACTGTCGCCATGATTTCTCAGCTACTTCTAATAATAAGCAATCGATTCTAATTCCTGTTATAATGGAAACATTTTTTCATCAGATTACTGGAAGTGTCTGAAAAATCTTGGCGATAGTTACGTACCACAGCCTGATGGGTGGCGCCCCTAGTGGCTGTAGTAAATAACACGAACTACGTTTCCTTACTTTATGTTTGCCCTTCTTTTACGGACACAATATATTCATTTGAAAACTATAAATCCAGATGCCTTGAAAACAACACATTTTTGGGAAAAATGTTGGACACAAAAATTTCTTATTAAGCATTCAACAAATAAAAAATAAATAAGATATATTTCCCCCTTCTGAATTAAGGAATTATTGTATTTAACATTTCTGCCAAGAAGAAATATTTGGATTTAAAGTTGTCAAATGAACACCCTGTGTAAAAGGATGTCTACTGTTATAATGAAACCTTTATCTTATACGTTTCATCGAGCAGCATTATTTACTTATTAGTATTTGCAGTGTCCCACAAACCAACAGAAGCAAGTCCCTGTGCCACTGAAACAAACTCAATATATTTTCACTCGTTCTTGTATAGATCGAGTACTTGTAGAGACACCACAAATTCCTTCTCTTGACTATTGTAAATTTTACACGTGTCTTCGAACCGTGTCTTTACTGCTTCACTTCTTCAAACCATAAAGTTTCTTAGGCAGTTTGTTTCTTGGAAGTTTAGTGATTGCATCTTTCAGTAAACCTTCCTTTTTCAGGCTTTTATCGTGGTCCTAGTCACGTTTGTAATCATTTCTAACATTGATCATAAATTCACGAAACAAGGGAAATCCAATTTTGAACACAAACTCATTTTTACACTCAAACATATTGATACTTCTTTTACTTTGCTATTCCTCATCGTTGATAATTGAGTCGTTGAAAGCAAAAATGATGCAAGTCAGTTATTTGCCAATTATGATTTACAAAATGTTAAATTTGGATTGCAAAACCTATATCTATCATAATTACCTTCCAAAAAGGAAAGGTTCGATACAAAAATGATATAAATCAAAAGAAAATTGAACAGAATGATAGTGTACCTTCAGTTTCGGGGGAAATACAATTATTATTTTAAATTAAAACTTAACAAGTGGTTTACAAAAGAGAAATATAATTATTTTCGATATTACTGTAACTTACATAACTTCCAATTCATTCTTCATTATCCAGAAATTAACTTCTTCGACTTACACCGCTTCAGCTTTCAGCGGCTTCATTTTTTCGAGAAGAGACGTTTCCGAACCCACAAATAACGCGTCTAGTATTTACATCCAAGTAACTTTCATTGCCGATCGAATAGCACATATATACGACGATTAAAAAAAAAAAAATCTTTCACCGATCACGATAAAACGTTTCCTTCGATTTATCCTAATCACTTTGATGTTGTCTTTTTCCTTTGATGCTAGTAGTACTATTGGAATTACTTGGCTTCGCGCGAGGTAAAAGTTCTGGTCACCAAGCCTCCGTGTACCTCACGTCGAACTCTTGCAACGCCGGCAGACATTTTTTCAAAGACTCGAACGTCTGAACGGACAGTTTCGTGCTGTTCAAGTTTAACTTCCTCAGGTTCGTCAACGCTGCAAACGAGAACACCGATATTTTATATTTATCGAACTACTTATTAAATAGTGAGTATTTTTACAGGACATTAGTAAAAATAGAGTATTTAACCCAACAGCACAGACGAGGTATACACATCATATATTCGGTAATGAATTTTTTTCTAGAAAATGGGTAAGATTTCGGGGGTATGCCTATTGACCAAAAGTTATTGTAATTGACCCCTGCAAGTAAAAATAATTTTTTTAGAACGATTTGAAATTTTTTAATTTCGTTGAAAAATTTGTCCACCTATTCGAATTTTTTTCTAGAAAATGGGTAAGATTTCGGGGGTATGCCTATTGACCAAAAGTTATTATAATTGACCCCTGCAAGTAAAAATAATTTTTCCAGAACGATTTGAAATTTTTTAATTTTGTCGAAAAATTTGTCCACCTATTCGAATTTTTTTCTCGAAAATGCGTAGGATTTCGGGGGTATGTCTATTGACAAAAAATTATCGTAATCGACCCCTGCAAGTGAAAATAATTTTTTTAGAACGATTTGAAATTTTTTAATTTCGCTGAAAATTTCAGCACCTACCCCCTGTCGATGTTTCTTAAAAATTCGTTTTTATTTTTAATACATTTGTTTGACACTATGGAAATGTTGTTTAATACTGTTTAGTAGGTATTCATGAGCTCTCTTTAGGATGTAAGGTCTGCTCGTATACTTCGTCTGAGTCAATAGTATTTGAATGGAATAGTTTTTCGCGCCAAATCAATGTTTTGGCGGTTGAAGAAAGAAGAACGATGTCGCATGAGTCGCATCGGCGCGAACATTCGCGAAACAGTGTGTGCCTCGTCTCCTTCTTTTGCCAGTAAAAGTGAATAAGTGTGTATGAACGGAAAGTGTGAAAGGTAGAAATTGGGTGCCGACAATTTTATCTTAAAATTAACGACCAGTGGATGAGGCTCGTGTTATCTGTCCTAGATTGCTCTCAACGTGTAGGAGTGTAGCTCGCGGGAATTGGCGGTGGTACGACGCATATTTTCTTTCATTAATAAACGATTGTTTTTCATTGGGATTTATCGAACGATTATTGATGTCTCCTTTCCTTGTTTCATTTCCCAACGATTAAGAATCGGTATATAAAAAATATGGTTTACACAACTCTATCATAAGATTCCAATACAATACTTCTGTTCTTAACTTACATAGTTACTCCCAATCGTATTCGTGCACTGTACGGTGCTTTATTATAAGTAAAAAAAGCTTGTTCCTTATAAATTATACTACTCCCTGTAAATCTGATAAAATCACATAAGAATTACGAGTGATTATATTAGGAACATAGGCAGTATTAGGTACTTTTACCCTACTTTACTTTTTGATTCATCCATAGGGTGAATTTGGTCTGTGAAAGAGTTAATTTGAAATGCGAAACCTATTAACTAAATAATGAACTTCTATGTATTCGTGGATCAAAGAAAATGACAAAATACTTACAGGTCAAGGTGGAGATTCCTTTATCCGAAACTGGAGTCTCGCAAAGATTTAGAACTTGCAGTTTCTGCAAATGTTCGCTGATCATTTGTAGACCTGCGTCGCCGAACTGCGTGGCCCACAAGTTTAGATATCTCAGGGCTGGTAATTTGATGAGTTGTTCGGCGCAAGCTGAAGTTACGGACGTGAAGGCCAAACTAAGGCATTCGAGGTTGCCAAGAGCTCTTCCGCCCAGGAGAAGAGCAACATCTGCGTCTGTAGCGCGTACTGGCAGCGTCAATTTCCTGGGCCCGCCTTTTTGTTGCTGTTTCAAACAAGAAACATTTTGAAAAAACTCATTTGACGTCGTTCAGAGATACAAGTAAGACCACATTTATGGCCAGTTATATCAAATTGTTTTGTACGTTTATGTATACGGTTCTATAGAGTCTTACAGTTTACTTACCAGTTCTTGCAAGTTTCTTTGTCTCTGGCAAAGAGCAACGTAACGATTTTTGCCCGACTCTGTCGACTCGAGGGCGTTGACTATTTGTAGTCGCGATTCCTCATTGGGTAGCAAATGCCATTCCAACATCAGACAGAGAACCTCTTGCGCGGCGTCGCAGCCTCTAACCGCCAGAAGTACACAATCGTCTCGCGCCTGTTTCATCAGCGAGTTGATAAACCTTTTCCGTCGACAGCAACACGCCAACAGGGTTGTTAGCTGATCGTTAGCAACAAAAGTTCAGTATCAACGACAAAGGATAGTTAGTCATATTACGAAAAAGCGAAGGATCAAGAATTAGAAAATTATGCAGTTAGATTTCGTGAAAGAAACGATAAGATGTTAACAAATGAGGAAATTCGTACCATTTCACCGAACAATTCGCCCTGATCGGGACAAGCTGGGCTGGATGGCACAGCGATGTGGATCCAACCAGGTCGCGGTTCCCTGACTGGAAGCAGAACGCGATGAACGATACACCTTGTATCTTTTGCTAAACGCTTTATCACGCACATTAATATCGTCTGTTGGACCTCTTTCATAACTAAAGCCTCCTCTGGGAACGGCACTGGTTGCAACAGAGCGCCCAAGCCCGGCCGCCAGTCGGTATATTCAGATCTGAAAGATAACATTTTAACATCCGTTTACATTCCACTTGTAAATTATAATTCAGAAATAATTAGTACATTACAATACTTACGCCACATTCAGGACCAACAAGTAGCAATTCAACGGTGGTAAAATCGAGGATTCCTCGTGCGCTGGTATGGAACGCCGGGCCATTTCGAACCTGTAATTATTAGGATTACTAATGATTGCAATCTTGAAGAAGATACGATAGTAATGTGTCTGCAGACACGTGTGAAAGATGGTTTAAGACTGGTGATTTTTATAGAAGAGATAAGGAAAAGGAAATCCCAGCCCAATGATTGAAAGCAAGTTGGAAAAATGCAAACAAAAGCAAGGTGTGGATATAGCGATACGCCTGTGAGAACTCACCTGTGAAAAATCGCGGCAACGCAGACGGAGACCAGATTGGGAAGCACTCTGGGATGAGGACAATCGCTTCCGGGCCCATGAACGGACGCAATATAATTCCTGATCGCCTGTTCGCCGTTCTCGCTCGTGTACAGGGCGGCCACGAACACCTGAAGAAGTTTCCTCATGTTCGGAGACTTTCCAAAGTCGACCGTGTGCTTCAAGCATCTGGTGATGGCTGGACTGACGGCGGAAACTAAGGACGACCTTGGATGCTGTTGAGCCAGCTTGGCGAGGACTCTCGCGAGGCAGGCCGGTAGAGCAACCTTGTCGAGAAGAGGAGACACCACCGAAAGGGCAGTCTCCGCCCAGTGTTTTCGATCGTTTCGATTTTGGAACGCCTCCTCGGCCATTTTCTCCGATTTCTCGTCCGACTCTTCCGCCGTCGATTCCTCGAGGAGCTTCGCCACGGCTTCTAACGGCGCCGCGGTGACCCTTTCGTCTTGGAGCGACGTCCACAGAGCAAAGTCCACCATCGATTTCAGCTCTTTGACCACCACTTCCTCACGCGTGTTTAACGATACTAGGTGCTGGTACTTGAAAATACTCCTCTGAGGATCAGAAAACCAGAAAAGGGGTCGAATACAGTCATGATATCGGTTTCGGTCTTTGAAACAGTTATAAATACCGAAATGATGTTATAACCGTAATTATGCTATGTCGACTCGTCTATTTACGAGGCAAAAATACAATTATACAACCGAGATATGAACCAAATCTTTAATTCAACGAGCTACGGTATTGTTAGAAAGTGGCGCTGCCGTGATTTAAATTGCACACGATTTTATAAGTGTCTCGGTTATTGTATGCACTTCTTCGGTCAATGCATTATACTTCGTTGGCTTTTCATTTTTGCTTCCAACAGATGTTTACTGCTAGTTTAACAGTTTGCTGATACGAAAACAATAATCGCCGGACAAGGGTGAATTTGATTTGAAAAATGTTGGATTTGAACGGGCACGTTTGTACGAATCACCCTGTATATTACTTTATGACGTAACGCTTACATAATAAGCAAGAAATTACGTCGTTGTTTCAATTGTTGCAAACTAATTATATAATTACTACTGGGAAAACTTTGAAATGTGTAAACTTGTGTCGGCCGTACGCGTTTAAAAGTTTCTCAATAATAATTACATAATCGGCGCGCAATAATTGAGCCGCAACGTCAAGATAATTCTTTACACATTATTTAAATATTACGTCAAAAAGTAACATATTTTAACATTTATGTATCTAGCTCGAACACGTGGTTGCCTCTTTGCATAATGTGGCTCGATAGCGCTGTTAATGTTACACTTAGGACACGTAAGTCACACCGAGCGTTAAAGTTATTATTATCAACGACAATTACAACTCTTTTATTATTTTTCTTTTTAGGTTTTTATACGAAAATGGAATTTCTGTGTTGTTAAAATTGACTCGAAATGGACCATCCTCTCCTAAGAAATCAAACTTGAAATTTACTGAACGGAAGAGTAAAAATGGAAGGGAAAATTGTTCGAAATGATTTACCTTCCATAGTATCGAATGATACCATTGGTCCCTCGTGTAAGCGTTATTAGCCTGGAGAAGAAGAGAACTGTCCGGCAAAACTATGCTCAGGCAATTTTTGTACGTTGGATCCCATCTAGCAACAGCGTACTTTCGAATGTCCGACATATTGTTGTACGGTATTGGCTGTTGAAAAAATCCCGTAGGCTGAAACAGATAATTTTTCTGTGCTAATTATCCGCTAACGATGTCTCAAGCTGGCCTGTTATCGGTACATTTACCTCGACAATGTTTCTTGCCAATTACTTATAAATTCAAATCTCGCGCAAAGTCTGATTGACTCAGCCGGTCTTCGATAATTGCCGATTCGAGAAATATTAAAATTGAATAGAGTTCGTAGAAAAAATTAACTCGATCTCTTTCTTCGAAGCGGTTTGCAATTCAAAAGGTTTTTCATTTTTGCATCGCGTCACAGCTGCATGCATTTGAATAATTGCGAGTCAAATTAACAGTTTTCTACTTCGACGTTTTCAATCCTTCCTATTTAACCCTTTGCGTTACGAGAATCTTCATTAACATAAATTCAATTTTGAGAAATTGAAATCGAAGTACCGTCTAATTGCGCGAAGATACTTGGAAAATACGCTTGAACAATGGCGTTGGTGATTTATAATGCATCTTTAAACGGAAGCGTATTTTTAAACGTTATCAAAACTCGCAATTATGTTAGAAACGTATAATCTTCGCCGCGTGACGTAGTTTGATAGTAAGGAGGAAAATAAACCGCGATAACGAAGCCACATTGACAAAGATTGGAATACAACGTCAACGTAAAATACAGGGTGGTGCTAAAGTAGCGACAGAACCCTTTAGAAGTCTTTGCGTTTGGTAAAGCGTTTTCAACAGCAACGTGGAAGACCACATTCTGTTCGAAATTATGCGAATTACTCTTCTTACTATAGAAGAGAAGCGTGGAAGTTGACGACTTTGGAGTCACGCGACATTTCCATTCGGTAGTGCTTTACGAAGTTGCTCGAGGCGTTTATTATCAAAATAGGAGTTAGAAAATTCTGCGTCGAGCTGTAATCGACGTGAGGACTGGCTGGAAACGAAATACACAGTGTCGAGTCCGGCTCGGCGTACGTACTTACACGTGCACGTGCACGAAAAACAGACAAAAGGGAAGTGTGGATGTGCGTATGCGTGTATTTCACTTGCGTCAAAGCCGACCCTGAGTGTGTCTTGCCGACAGCCTCAGATTACGTTCACATCGTGCAAAAGGCTGCCCGATTCATTCTTTTTTGTGACCACCGGGTATAACGATTCGTCCCGACCTGGTTACATATTGTTCGCCGGTGGAAATAGAATGCACGCCTAATGTCAACAAATTGAAGCTAATTGATCGACGAACGAAACAATCCAAGTTTGAAAGCAGCTACAGTTACTTGGGGTAAAAGTTCGCGATATTGCGTCTACCCTATATGATTTATCAAAAAATTATCGATGTCGAGGATGGGTACATTAAATATTAAAGTTATTTAACGTTCAGTCACGTGAATAAAAATTTCTATTAGTCAGTGTACGTAATATGATATAGTTATAGAATTTACACCGTTTTCAAGATAAGTGGACCATGTCTCCAGAAGCCCAACAAAACTTACAGTTTTCGAAGAGATGCAGGTGTCGTTGAGATAAAGATGGTGGGTCTCCCATCGTCTCAGGAACTTGCTGGACAGTATCTTCCTAACCAGAGTCTTCGTGTGGTTCAAGAAGCACACCTGGATGTCCCCCTCCTCGATGGGCTTGAATCTGGGCCCGATGGGGCCCGAACTGGGACTGGAGCTCGAGGAGCCGCTTGTGGGCGAACACCCGGCGCTCTGTCTTTCCAGATTCGGGCAGGATCTCGCCGCTGGCAAGCAGAACGTCGCGTCCAAGCTCTCGGGCTTCAGAGTATCCAACCTGGAACCTTTCTCACCCACGAAGGAGCTTCGTACGTCCGTCGAGGGCGATTCGTCGCTGGATCTAGGATTGATACCCGAAGACAACTGGGGGGAGCTGGTGCTGGTCATCTCCTGGCGCATGGCGCCCCCGTTTACGCAGAGAAAGTTGTAATAGGGCACCGTGGACGAGGAGAGGGCGGTCGCGGGACCCGCGGGACTCAAAGGCAGCGAGGATCCTTCTTCTGTCTCCGTTTCCGTCTCCTTCTCCGACTCGCTGAAATCGGAAATCGAATACTGTTATCCATTCAAAACGGTCATGACAGCCTGTAAAACGGTAATTAACAATTATTTTTAACACCTTTTCAAACCCTGGCCGAATCCATTTTGCAGAGACGGGATGTCGTTCTCCGACGCGGCGATCGCACGGCAGCTCCTCAAGTTCTCCTCCGGCTCGATGGCGTCGATCAGGACCGACGGGGAGGACTTGGTGAACAGGGTCGTGGTGCTTCCGGTCTCATAATCGTCGTGGCCGTCCACGGAGGACCCGGGCGACTCGATTCCGATCGAATTGCTACCCGGGGACGGGGACGCCGAGAGAATGGAGGACTCCTTGTCGCAGGAGTTCGAGGATTCGGTCGAGCGGAGCCGGAGAAGAAGCTTCTTGCAACGCCGGTTGCTGTAGGACCGCGGGGCGATCCGATCCTCGTCGTCCAACAGCGTCTTCTCGTCGCTGGTCTCGTCCATTCCGTTCGCGGTGCGGACTGGCGACGAATCGGGCCCCGGGGACAGAGTGTCCGGGTCCAGATAGTCAGCTTTGATGTCGGGAAGAGTGTCCGTGCTGCTGCAATCGGAGAACGACGGATCCTGATCGATGTACCTGATGGACGAGCAAGAGCTCTCGCTGGCCGCCTCGGATCCGCGTCTCTCGCACTTGGAACTTCCCGAGGACTTGTTTATCGGCAGGATCATGCTCATCGAGGACGTCTTCGTCTTGCTGGAGGACAATGGGGACGCCAACACGCGGGACGCGCGTGCAAACGGACTTTGGAAGCAGAACATTCTCAGGATGGCGGTTCGATTATCTTTTCTACTTCTAATTCAACGTAACACCTTTCCCCGTGAAACCGATTTTAACCGTTCCCTTTCTCGACACGACAGAGTTCGGGGGGAAAGCAACGACGTCGACGACGATGGAAATTGTACCGAATATAATACGTGGCTCGATCTACCAATTCTAGCCGTTCCTAGAATCTCTCGATCTAGCTTCTGCGAATCTAGTTCGATTTAGAAACGGTCGTTCACTGCACGGAAATTATTCGACGAACGATAGGAAGCAGCATCGACGATCGTGGTATCTTTGGTCGCTTCGAAAACACGTTTATCGCACTTGGATCGCCCCGAAGCCTCGGTGATCGGTCGAGTCATGCTCCTCGAGGGTGTCTTTGTCATGCTGGACGGCAATGGCGACGCCAGCATGCCGGACGAGCGCAAAGACGGCCTTTGGAAGCAGAACATCCTTCCAAAGGTGGTTTTCTCGAGAATGTTTTTGATCTTTTATTTGCGTAATACTTCGATTGGTCGTCCAGGTTCGTCGGTTCCTCGACACGGCGGAAGTCCTAATTAAAGGGCCCGGTGTTCCGCGGAAGTTTCATTTTGGGTCCACTGATTTTTAATCTATTCCTGATGTTTTCGTCAACACTGAATTTGTATCGGTTGCCAATGACCTGAAAAATTTATTGCACCGTTAATTTGCGTGGAACATGTTTCATAATAAATTACGGCGCATAGGGGAGACTGATGACGGTTGTAACACTGTAAATATCTCAAAATACATAGTAAATATTAACACAAATTTTAGGTATACAATGGTTCATATTGAAAATTGTTCAGCGTTATCTTTTTTTCTAGTTTTGTTTATAGGATATTTTACACAGGCGCATCAGATAATTATTATATTTTATTTTTCAAAATAGTCCCCCGTGACAGCAATACACTTAGTACATCTTTGATAGCTATAAAGTCTATTCGGAGCACGCGTTACATTTTTCTGAATGTTCGTGAATGACCGTCATCGGTCTCCCTTATATGTGTAGGTAGATGTCGATCGTCGGCAATTCTAACGTTAAAAAACCTTTAGTCGCTTCGAGACCGCGTCCATCGCACTTAGAAATCCTCGACGACCTCCCAATCGTTAGAATCATGCTCTTCGAGAATGTCTTCGTCTCTACGGAGGACAGAACACCTATGGTTCAATTTATTCGCGTTCGAGAAACTTCCGATTAGCGTGATACTTTTCACCGTGTTCACCGTGGTACAGTGACCCAATTTCCTCCTGTCCCTTTCTCGACTCGACGCGACAGAATTATAGAAAAAAGCAATTGGTCCTAAATACGTGCCCCGGCGTCTCGATTTTAATCGACGTTCCTAGAATCTTTAGAAGCGAGTCGATTAAGCTTCCGCGAATCTCGTTCGACCTAGAAACGGTCGTTCACCGCACAAAGCAATTCAACGAACCAGGGATTGAAAAGGTTTGGGAAATAACTGTTTCAAACTGTTCGATATCGGTTCTTACCGAAGCTGCATCGGAGTACTTGAATATTTAAAGTATTTGTGATTCAAACCGAACCGAAGTGGTTGATTATCCAAGCAGTTTGAATATTTCATCAAACTCGAGTAAATTCAATCTGTTTGGATCAATCATGAATGATTCTTGACTTTATGGAAGCTTGTCCAAATCCTTTCAAAGGGAACTTTATTGTCAAAATATAATACTGTTGTTAAGTTTTACTCAGCTTGTATTTTCAAGTACTTGGACTCCAGTTTTTACTGCGACAGTTATCAAGAACCAAAACGATGTTATAATTTAAATGATGTTATAATTTAAATGGTGTTATAACTTTTAAATTTAATTTAACATTCGACATTCTCAAATTGACGAGGCATTTTGATTGTATGCAGTGCAAAATCGTCCAGTAATATTCTATGTTATAAAAACGGTAAAATGACAAGAGAATTGTACAAATTAAGTTCTTAAAATTATTATTACCGTCGTGTCGTTAATAAGTCTGAATCATAACAAAAATATCCAATCAGAATTAATATATATAAACACGCACAATTTTCTTGTCATTAAAAATGAGTATAATTAAAATCGTCAGCCTGATCGGTACACGTGGAAAGTGCCTCCACCAGTTACAACACTATTTCGGTTCTTCGTGACTGTTTTGAGAGCCGAGATCGATATTACAACGTTTTTCAATCCCCGCGGCGAACGCAACAAGAAGCAGAATCGATGTTTAAAAAAACCTTGCTCGAAGACCGCGTCCATCGCGCGTAGAACTACCTGGCGATTTATCAATCGGTATCATGATGCTCTTCGAGGATATCTTCTCGTCGTTAGGCAGTTGATTTTGAAAACGGAACATCCTCCCGTTTGGGTTTTCAGTTTCTTTCCAAACTCGTGAAACTTTCGATCACAGCGTAGCACTTTTCTCCGCTCGACGACGGTGCCCGGTGGCCGTATCCTAATGACCCAATTTTTCTCGGTCCCCTTCGCGATTCGACGCTGGGAATCGAAGGAAATCGTCCTAAATACGTCGGGGCGTCCGGCGTCCCGATTTCGATCGGCCAAGAGTCTCTCGGAAACAAGTCAATCGAGCTTCGACCTAGAAACGGTCGTTCACCGCCTCCCCCATTCAACACAAAGCGATACGACGAAACACCAGGAAGCAACGTCGAACGTTCCAAGGAGCCCGTTTACACGCGGTTCGTGCCACGAAAAAGGTCAAACATCGTCGGGCGATTTTTTCTTGACGCGTTGCAACGGATCGCGGCACATTTTCGCACGAAAACTCGCGCACTGGCTCCGCGAACTCTGTCCTCGGTTCTCTGATCGTCGCTCTCTCGCGGAATAACCCGAAACCGACGCTTCTGCGGCGCGACGGTGTTCTTTCCCTGCGAAACGACCACGACGACGACGTGAATTTCGACGGCTCCGCGGCGGTTTCCACGGGCTCCGATGGCAGCCGAGATATTCGTCGCGATGCCCCCGCGAGTCGATGAACGACGAACAGAAAGAGCAAAGGAAAGAGAAAGAAAGAGGGAAACGGAGAGAGTGAGAGAAAGAGGGAGGCGTGTTTCCGACGTGACGCTTAAATGTCTGACACGATTGTGAACAAGCAGGTGGGGACGTTGGGGTTAAGAAGAGGAGAGGGCGTCGCGGCGCTCGGCGTCTCGCGGGCCGATCAATGACTAGTCGCGAGCCTGCTTGGAATTATCGCGCTTCTGTCGCTACCAGGCCATCGACGAATCTCCTAATTTTTATACACTAAAGTTACTAAAATTTAAAAAGTACACTCCATTACAAGCTGACGCTTCGATTCTATTGTCAAAGTTCAATTTTAACGGTTATATTTTACACTTGATTTTTGCTTTTTTTAACCATTATTTACATTCGTAATTTTGTATATTTTTTTCTTCTGTTTTGAGACCGCCCAAAGCGTTTCTGATCATTTTTTTTTAGCAAGGAAATGAACAACTAAGAAAGAATTTTTTGACGATTTTTAACATTGCCTTTTAGCATAAAAAATTTGGGATACCCTTATAATTAATAACAATTCAACGATATTACGGAAAATACGCAGAATGGACGTAGATTTTCTCACAACCTGCTCACCTTATAGTATCTGCCCGAGGAGTCGTTTTCTATTTTTAATTCCTTCTGAATAAAATTAACGCATGATGTAAGCAAAATGTAGATATTGATAAGGTAACGATCGAACGACGTAATCGACGACCCCCCCGGGGAAATACTAAAGATTTTTTTCCAACGATAAATCATTCCTCCTAACAGTCGACGATCCAGCTGAAAAGATACTCGATATTTAGCTCGTATTTGTTATTCGCGATTGAATTTGTCCAGCCCTGTCCACTGGCACAATTGGCCTATTTTACATATTGACGTTTTCCCCGCATAAACCGACCGGTTAAGGGCTCTCCAAATGTTTTCAAACGCGTTAACACGTCGACTGTCATGGTGGTCACTGGGGCCATCAGGGCTTTACCCACAATGTGTCTTTAAAACGCTTGTAATTTTGTAATGACGTCACTAACATTAGAAATATTACGAAATAACATTCTCCATTGAACTGTCGAATATTTTTATTCGTTATAACGTGGAATAAATCTACAGAGAAAACTGGCGTATCGATGTTAATGGAAAATGAATACGTTAGAATGGCAAAATATTTCCGTAGTCGAACCAAACGCGAAAGTATTTATGTATAATCACCGACACGATTGACCTACTTTCAAAAGAAACACATCTTCCTCTTCTGCCTCCAAACAAATCTCAAGCCTCGGTTTAACCTAATTCTATTACATAATTCGATGCATAGTTCTCGTACGAAACGCTCACATTATGGAACATTATGCGAATCGCATAATGAAACGATATCATTTCGTCGCTCCTCGCCAAGTTGCTATAGATATACAAAACTTATCAATTTAAAGTTACAGAACTCGTAAATATTATCTGTCAACGATGTACGTTGAATTTGATCGAAGTGTAGATCCAAGGGAATCGTGTTCGTAAATCTAGCGTTGAAAAATTCTGGCACCGTTTCGAAATCGATCGACGGCCCGATCGCTTCTATTATACAAAGAACGCGCGCGTTGCGACAGTCGGTCGTACGAAAATAAACTGTCGAACGAAAAAACAAATATAAAAAAGAAAGTAAACGTAACTAAAACCGTATATCGCCGTTCCCCCACCCCCCCCCCTTTGTGAAAACAAATATCACTGTTATTGGTTCATCGACGTTTCGCGATTTCTAGGTGGCTAAATCACCGGAGGCGATCTACGGATCCGACGGTATCGTTTTCGCTCGGCGTCCCGTCGCCTGAAAAGTACGGATTCGGGTCGCGAATGTCGCCCAGGTCATATCGGCTCGAAGCAACCGCAAACTCTGCTCAATCACGCGGTTAACGCTTCCTCGACATTTCGAATCGTTGACACCGCAACCTCGTGACGGCTTCGCGTGTATCGGGGTCGTACGATGCAGCTGACTGTTGTATACAGTCGCCTCGGAAAACACAGCAGTTGCATAGAAAAACTCATCGTACACCAAAACTGAAAACCAACGTGCACGTGATGCACGAAACAATTGGTAGTGTGAGAAAAAATTTGAACAACAAATCGAGTTATTTTTAGTAAGCTTTATTTTCAAGGTCGTATAAACTCGCTGGAAATAGAAAAAACATTTATTTACACTGAGTCGTGAAAAAACGTGAAAATTAAATTCTTCGTTTCCAGCGTCGAGGATCATAACGACGCCATCGTAAACGTAATTAAATCATTGATACTGTATTAAATCATCGAGGTGATCTCGTGGCGCTTAACAGTACAGCAGCAAGTTTTCTTTTATTTCTACAATGATTTCTGTGTTCTTTGAAGAAAAGTAAGTAAGTTTACTTTTCGGGGCGACTGTATCCGCGTTACGTCAAATGTGGCTCATATTTGCAAAACTTGCGTGGTCTCTACGTAACGGAAACGAACGTAAATGCTCCGCCCCCATCTATCGCCTTTGCCTTGATCGTAAACTTAGGATAACGTAATACGCGCACGAAAGCAGAATGGGGGCTGTGCCGGCCGATGCAACAGAATAAAAAAAAAAAATACACGTGACTACGAGAAGCCAAGTCATTAACGCCGGGAACAGGTTTTTCCTATCGTGATTCAACTTTTCATTTCGTTCTCTGTCGTAATACGAAACGTGATTCTCTGATTCGACGCGTTCGACCATTAACGCGTCAATTGCCGCATCAATTTTCATTTGGACAGCTCTTGACGTTTGTTCGAATTATACCGCGATGGATAAAAATTCTCGGTGATTTCACGGAGTGCTCGTCATTCTGTGTATTCCTAACATCGATGATATTATTGACAAATTTACGAGCAATGTTCATTTATTGCAAGCGTTTTGAAGACACGTTGTATGTTTAAAGCGTAGGTCACCGGTGACCACCATGCCAGTCAATGTGTTAACGCTAATAAAATAGATAGGAAAATAAATCTGAATTGAAATTTCGTAGAGATAAATACCACAACAAATGTTACATTAAGAAAGTATTTTATTCAAGGATTTTAACACTAGAACTACCGACAATTATAGTGTATTTATTTATACCAAAGAAATTATAACGCTGGATACATAAAGAAACGTATAATGCAATAGAAATGAGTATTTATTCATTTTCTACCAGAAAATTGCAGTAAATTTTCAAAGATTCAGTCAAGTCTATTTTTTAGAAATTTTATTAGAAATTATGACTGGATCATTTTGACTGCTTTGGTAGTTCTAGTGTTAAAGAAACTTAACGGTAGTTTTTTAGGAAAAAAGAAGAAAACAGACGTTCCAATTGAGTTTGGACGTTTTAATTTCGTCCTTATCTCGGATTAACGTTCGCCAGTGCCCGTAACATGATAGTTTGCAAAAGTAGGGAGAAATAACAAACGATCGACCATGCTATCGCTTTTCCCTGCTGTGTGACGTAACATCACGGAGAACATCCCATTGTTGTTTCGTATTATCGTTATTTTCCTTCTCAGACTCGTTTCAAATGAAAGTATTTCTATTTAAATCGGCCTGTAATCGTCCATGCTAAAATAAAGCATTTGAAATTGTTGGGGGGGCATGGATCCTGATTGTTAAAATCCATATTCTAAAAAATATTATTTTTCGACCCGTTAACACGGTGACCAGTACTTCAAACTTACAATGTGTCGTTAGAAATTCTGTAAAACAACGGGTATTGAATTATTAAATATTTTAAATATGGAAAACTGGCATCGCAATCCCCGGTGACAAGCGCTTCAAACTTGTCATGTATTTTAAAATCGTTTACAACGACAGCTTGTAAAATTTGAATAAGATTGCTGTAAAACAATGGGTGCGCTATTGAGTTATTGAACATTTCAATTTGAACGAATGTCTTATAATGTTTGTTAAATTAATATCACGTTATCTTTCTTTTATTAGTTGTTCGATTAAGAGGGGACTCTTGTGCAACAGGTTCCGAAAATTGATTCGTTTTTCTCGTAAATCAAATGCAGAATATTTCGAAATTAATCTCTTGTAATTTAGATCCAAAAATCTTTATTTTAGTTTTAATGTATCAAAGTACGAAACATGAAATAGTAGACCTATCTGGAACCTTCATCGAACACTTTTTAAACGCGCCATTCTTCAAAATGGAGTCCAGGATAACGGAAAGAATAATCGAGTAAAGAATAAAAAAAATTATTTTCTGATTGAAAAAATTCAATCGAAATTAACGGATAGTTAAAAAAAAAAATTCATAAATGTCGGTTATCTTTAGAGCTGTTTACCTGCGAATTCCGTCTTAAGAAAGCCAGCTTGAAATTATTATCCAAGTTTGATCGTGTTTCATTTATTCAAAAAATAGCATAATTAACAATTCTTTGCATCCAGATGCAAAGACACATTTCAGCCTAAATAGACACGCACAAAGTCGCGGTAAAAAGTAACGTTAACTTTGCATAATTATTGCTTCGGATTAAAAAACCGTAGTTTTTTTTTTTTTTTAGTATTTTTGATCGAACCGAGTGTAATTTCGTAGCACAGTGCACACATCACAGAATAATTTACCGAACAAAAATAATACTGGACGACGCTATCCTTTTTCGAGCGAATTTTTTAACGCTGCGCGGAGTCTTCGCGAAGAGAACCGCACGCGTTCGCACCGCGGCCACGACTGACATACTCGATAATAAGAGTGTACAAGTTCCCTTTCAATAAAACGTAAGATATCGCATCCAAGGTTACGCTTGGCTGCGTTTCCTTTCGCCTAGCAGAAAATCGCTACGAATTAAAATCATTTACAATAGAAACCATATACTTAGAAACCTATAATTTACAATGACGTGTATTAGATTTTGTTTAACGGAGAAATTGATATACTGCGTAACGTGTGTGAGAAATAAATTTTTTTTTTTTTTATTTTTATTTATATTTTCTTCGTACATAAAATATTAAATATATTTCAATGTTGCATTCTATGCGCTATAAAAAATGCATGTAAAAATATTTTGTGACGTTGTATCTCGTACCACGGCTGTTGTTATATCACGAAAACAGAATATGTAACCAAACGGTCTTTGCTCGAAGTTCTTAGTTAAACAGCCGCATATATTATGACGTACCGTTCCTCTCGGTGATTGGATTCCTCTTTCTGCTGTCGGTTCGAATTATATTTTTTCTGGAGCCATCCAGTTCTCTATCTCTTCGATTCTGCAATTAAATTATACGTTCACGCTTAAAGAAAAGTTTGCAAAATTTAGAAAAAATACATCAAAATTCCTACATGTAACTTCTAATTAATTATCTAACTTGTTACATCTAATAACTGTTAGTAAATGAATTTTAGGGTAGCAGATAATGCTCAGATATAAATAACGATGTGATAAACAAGATGTTTCAATATGAAATTCGTTTAAACTTACGTGCGGGGCACGAAGGTCAAATTTCTAACTCCAGTGTCCGTTATAAGGACATCATCTTCGATCCTAACGCCACCCGTGCCTCGGAATCTTTCCAGTTCTTCAGCAACGATGAATTTCGATTGAACCGGATCGTTCAAAGCTGCATCTAACAACTAACAAACACTCTCATCTTTTCTATGCGCAACAAAATATACACATGTCTTAATTATGCTTTTCACACTTACACAATCAATAAAGTAGCATCCTGGCTCGATAGTTAAGACCATGCCGGACTGTAAAACACGACCGGTTCTTAACTTTCTCAATCCAGGAGCTGCGGAACGTTCAGGATGCCCATCAAGATATCCACCGACATCGTGGACATCTAGCCCCATGAAATGGCCAAGTCCATGGGGTTGGAAGATTTCGTTTAATCCTGCCTTCAACATGTCGTCGACATCACCTTTTAATAAACCACCTTCCTTGAGCGAAGCCAACATGGTTCTGTTCGCCAGAATGTGCATGTCTGTCCAAGCTACGTCAGGCTTTGCAGCCTTCATTACTGCATTACGAGCAGCTAGCACCGCGTTATATATCATTTTCTGATCCGGTGTGAACTTTCCATTAGCTGGAAAGCTGCACGTTATGTCTGCTGCGTATCCACAGTAGTTTCCACCCATATCGAACAGGCTTACATGAAAACAAAAATATACTATTATATCTGAAAGAGTGCTCAGAGTTTTTATTCTTTTTAATATAAAGATCAAAGCTCACCACATATCACCATCTCTTATGACTTTATTGTTGGGAGCACCAGCGTGTCCATAATGCAATATGGATGCGTTATGTCCAGACCCACAAATGCAAGTGTAAGATACGTGTCTGCAACCTCCGATAGAGTACACATAATGCATGAAAGCTGCCTCTGCTTGGAACTCTGCAAGTTCTGGCCTCACTATGTGCATAATGGACTTGTGAGCGTCTGAGCTTATCTTAATTACATATTCCAACACCTCGATTTCTTCTGCTGACTTGATGACTCTGCTACAAAGAAAACGTAGGGTGAACACTTCTAATATCAATTATTCTATACATGACTTTATAACACGTATTAATTACATCATAATTTAATCCATTGTATAAAATTATAAAATATGATCGCTTATCGTCGTTATGAAATATAAATAGCAGCAAACAATTCTTAATTATTTTATAAAAAATTATTCAATATCGTTTACAAAACATTTTATTTCATACACAATATATTATATGTACAATTTGTCCCAAAGTAAACGAGAATTTCGTTTAAAATTTTTGTGCTTGTTTGTTACAAAGCACCCTCCACGGTATCTAAACTTTTTAACAAATAAGACGATAATTTATCAGATTGGTTCCAAAGATCTTGTAATACTAAATAGTCCAATGTCATAACACGAAATCCTAACTTTCTGAAATGCCTTTTCCTCATCATCTGAGGTCCTATCAAGTGTCGTGTATTCCTACAATAATATTCTGGTAAATAAATCAAAACCACTGTATTTATATCCTTTTTCAACCCGTTCAAGTCAAAGATTGGAGTTGATACCATAAATGGATGAATTAATATATCAAGAATATAGAAACTTATGACCGGTAGTCGATTCAGGATCACATTTTTACTCAATTTGTGTTCACCCCCCACTAAAGATGCTAATGGTTGATATATCATATTGACTGTTCTTCTGATTCGTGCGTCTAAGAATAATGGTTTCTCTATTCGATTTGAATACGTGGTCTTGATAAGCAAGTCTTGATAATCCTTACACTCTAAAGACATAGCTGCGTCTAATAGTTTCAATTTGTTTTTTATACGATTAAAAAAGACAGAATGATTTCTCAAATGAAGCTTATGAATCAACTGAGAGATAAATATCTTGTCCAAAAACTTTACAGGATACTTTTCTAGATACGTGCAGGAAAGAAGAATGTCGAGAGCATCGTCTAGTTTCAAATCATGAAATTTCACTAACAATATCTCATCAAAAGTTTCCCAAAATTTAACAGCATTCGGTGGTTGTACATACAGCACACCGAATGGTGTAAGAATGGACGGGAGTAAGTGAATTGGTATATTCATACTGTGTTTTATAAAGTATTCCCCGCATTCTGACAGAATCTGTTCGTTTTTGACCTGCAAGTGTTTACAATAATTCATTATAGTGGCTATTAAATTCGAGTCTTCAATTTGCGGTGCTTTAGATTTCAAATACTCCTGCAAAGTACTTTCGATTCTAACATCAATGTAGTCTTTTGCATTTAAACTACGTACAAAGTTTATCAAGTCTTTCTCGCTGGATGTGCTCAAACTAATGCTTGCCCACTTACTGGCACTAATCAAACACTTTGTTGCAGAAACATCATTGTGAAAACAATCCAGTATCTCTGCAATTTGCGTACCCGATAATTTTAACCAAAGATCAGAAAGTTTCCTCTCGAGGATTATTTTCACCATATTTTTACTACGGTTAAAGTATTTTAGCGATTTGAACAACGCTACTAACGTATGCGAATTAATTTCTTGTTCCTTGAGCAGGACACCTACCCATAAAGTATCTATCGCTTTACGATACTTAAAATCTTTGTAAGCGGACAAAATTTTTATTACATTTATCAACTGTGCAGGCGTGAATTTCCCATCCGTAACGCGACTCAAAGCTTCGTCGCATATCCAATCTCTATATACGTTCCTAAGTGGACTAACTTTATCTTTCTTCAACGTAATGAGTCCCTGAAGTATTATTTCACTGTCTTGACTATTAATAATTAATTTAATCAGCTGTTTCATCACGATATCTCTAGTAATGGTATCAACTTCCAATTGCCTGTTTCTCTGTGCTTTGTTAGATTTTTGTTTAGACCAATTGTTCTCTAACTCTATAACTTTCTTCAGCCCTTCCAAAGCAACCCTGCAATTAATTTCATGCGCGATCTTGTTTTCTAACAATGAATACACCCCGTCGACTGTATTGAACGATTGCAATTCCTGCAAGACCTCTTCTATGTCTGAATCTTTCAGACACTCGAAATCAGAGCAAAACAACACCGCGGTACCTTCGTTGGTTTCTATATCTATTCTCCGATTAGACGGTCTGTTTTTTATCACGGCGTTAGTTTGAAAGTTTGAAACACTTTTGTCATGAACCACAGGCTGACTGTTCTTCTTGGTATCGGGCAACTTATCAGAATTCACAGAAGAAACGTTTCTATTATTTTTACTGTTATATATTGCTTCGACGTCGTTCATTTTTCTGACAATCAACGGCACTTCTTGTATATCCGGTCCTTCTTGTACAAGAATGCTAGTCTGCGTTAGAATCTGTTGACCAGCAAATTTCCCAGAATCAGACTCGTACCACCGTTTTCTCAGTTTACAGATTACGACAGACGGCTGTTTATGCACACGCGTTAGAAATTTTGCCCATACATGACCAGCTAGTATCATCTGGACAGAGCATACAAGCATCTAATGAGATTAGGTCTAACGATAAATCCTTTGTCTTTGTTCTATTTATTATACCTTTCTAGATTTCAACATGAAAAGAACATACAGCGTAGGATAACTTTTACAAAATATCATAGGAATACTTTTAGTTTCTTTACAATACGTGGCGCACGTATTCTTTGGAACTACTTTTCAAAATACTTTCAATTTAACGACTGGAATTCCGGTATTACTAGATCATTGTTTAAAAATGCTTCATAAAAAAAACCACACAAAAGTGGGCACGCGACTTTAAATAAATTAATTTAAAAAAAAAAAGAGACTCGTGTCAGATGTAAAGAAGGAAGTTTGATTCGATTGAAAATAATATCGGTAGTAATATCGATGTAACAAATTGTCAATTGTATAATCGACGGCAACCAAAATTGGACAAATTTCGTTCGCGAAAAATGAATAGAATTTTTGAATTCGTTCGTAATCTAATTTTCGTTTAGATTTCATGAAACGGAACATTTCATTATCAATGAAATTCTCGTTTTCGAATAATTTTAAATTTTTTATTCGTTATGTATGCATAAATTTCCCCCAATTCTGATAACAACACTATTCTCGTTCGATGCAACATTTTGAAAGAACTGAATGCAGAAACGATACATAATTGACATATGAATACTTGAGAATCGTTTTAAAACCGATATTTTTTATTGAAAACCGGTCTTCGAAATGCAAATATTCATCAAACTAACATAATATCGGTATTTATTTCAGTCTTCAGTAATAATCAATTTCGGTATAGTTTTGCTGGCATAATACCTATACTAAGTCCCTGATTCGATTTCAATTAAAGAAACGAATTATGTATACTATTTTAGACTATAAAATTTTTAAATTTTTACTTTGTTGCACTTACCATTCACATATTTCTGGATACAAAACATTATTGTCCACTTTAAACCTGAAAAAAATAAGAAATAAGCACAATTTTGACATAACATAAGAATATGTGGAAGTCATTAGTACTTACTGATTAATACCATCAAAATCTGCTCCTTGAGTTTGCAAACCACTATCGCTATTTGTCCCGCTCTGTAAGTATTCATAGAAGAAATTAAAATAGTACTATTTTATAAGCAAATAGTTATTTCAAAATAAAACTTACTAAAGTGAGTAGAAGATTGGCTTGCTTTGATTTTAATACTTTTGCTATCTCATCTGTGTAATAAGTCTCCTCCACTGCATACTGTTTTTTAAAATCTTCTAACGTGTGTAACTTTCCCTCCCAAATTGCATATTCTTGCGGCAATCGTGGTACAAACAAAATGGAAATTCCTGTTGACAAGTCAATAGCACCGTAACATCCTGGTTCTTCAACACCGAAGCTCCATTGAAAAAATGATTCCTATCAAAAGAAATGTATTAAAATTTGTTGCTTCTCGTCTGTTACACTGTAAAGCGTAAAAGTTACCTGTCTGAATGGCCACTTTATATCTGTGTCATTAAATGGAATTTCAATTCCTCCTTGGAGAATTATAAAACTACCTTCGATCGGAATCTCTGTTTTTGTTTTTATACGATCCACCAAACGTTTTCTATTATTTTGGAAAAGTGACATGGGCACTTTCAAAGTGTGCTCACCCCTTTGAAAATAGGATTCAAAGGTAATTCTGAAATAAGCGTAATTTTTGTCGAGGACGGTCGATAAAGTTACTTATGATTTATCAAATATGCGATAAACAGTAAGTTTTAACATATTTTATTTATTTATTCATTCTTCTATGTATATTAATTGTCATTGGATACATCTTGTTTATAAAAAATTTGCAGCGAGTATAACTTGTAAATTAATTTATAACAAAGCGTAAGAACAGTAGGAATCGAAACAAAATTCACACGTTTTTATATTTGCTTTATTAACACAGTTTCGAATGATAAAAAAAAAAAAAAAAATAGGACAAGTATTTTGTTATAACTTTATTATTAGAAACAGCATTAACAATAAGATTATACAATTTCAATGAACTGTAACAAGATAAATGAATGAAATAAATTTGTAAAATATTATTCATTCGTACGAAGGAATTCATAACCTCAACATTCAATGAGAAATAATATCGTTGAAAGTGTTTTGTTGATATTTTATAATAATTATTGTATCGTATAATTTTTGAAACGAATACAATGCAAAGGGAAATAGGTGAACAGAATAAGGTATCGAAGGTAAAATGGAAATAATGAAATGTGTCAAGCTCGATGGTTAATTGATCATTTTTTAAATGTCCTTACAATAATTGTATATTTGTATCTAGAGACAATCAATTTTTTTGCAAATGATGAAAAAGCTAGAGCAGAAAGTTGTCTATACATACAAATCTGTGGCTTCTGCCATGTTACTTTGTGTCACTTGTCAATTGGCTTGTAGACTAGACTAATATTCCCAATTCCCTTGCTTGGACACTGATTTTAATAACACTTTCGAAGTTTAATCAACGGTTTGTATGATTTTCAAGTATTAAGATATCCTTGGTTGGGTGTGACCGTTTTTAATCCAAATACTTGGTTCACATTCGACTTGATTATTTCTTATCTGCGACGTGTAACGACAACACATCAGGTGCGTTCGGTTTTTGGGCGCTTACACGTTATAAATATGTACATATTTGTCAATAGCGATTCGTGCTGGGGAAAAACTTTTCCTGGAAAAGTCTTCATTTCCGGCATCAATTGAGTTGGCCAGTAATATCGGAATTTTGAATAAGAAACAGGGCTTAGAAACTGTTATAATTTGTTTTGAAACAGTTTCGGATATCTATATATAATGTGAGTATGTATTTGCTGTTCTCAACGGTTAGATTAGACGTTGATTATCTTTTCAAGATATTCACAAAGTGAAAATAATAGCAATAAATATGGAACACTGACAGTCAAAAGTTATTCGATAATATACTTATTTCATCAGGACTATTTATCGATCAACGATATAATGTAATCTTAACAGATCCAGTGATCGAAAACATTATGTAGTACCTTTTACAGACTTATAATGGAATAAATTTAACTTTCACTTTTTCGATTTATCGATTTATAATAAATGTAGAATTTGAATAAATAAACACGCCAAGTATCGAATTTCGATTTTTGTTAGTTCGTCTAAACATTAATGAAATACCGTTACGTTCTTTTTACCGTGCAGCTTTATTTAGTTTTTAAATATTTGGCAACATTGCACGATTTGGTTTGTTTCGTATGTAAGTGGGTCATGACTCACTGTACGTACTTAAAAAAGTATCAATTCACAGACAATGTTGGTTTTCTAGTATTAGACGTTTAATCGTGAATTTACACATAAATCATTCTTATCGCTAATTATAATCGATATACCGATAAAGACCAGCTGGAAAAAGTATTATTCATCCTCGAAATTGTTGTAGGTATAATTTATAATACACACGTGCCAATACTTACAAATATAAATAACAAAAACAATTTTAATTGTAGCTATTTATAGTCACGTATTTTATTTACATATAGAAACTTCAATTATCTATTTCCAAGCGATGACGTAAGCGATTTAAGCACGTCCATCATGTAATAGTGGGGTTATCTGTCGTGATTCTTCTCTTTAATTCTATCAAATCTATGTGACTCAAGGTCCAACTGCATGTTTTACGATAAAATCTTTTTTCACTCGTCTACACGTACGTCCACATTAATTTTATTTTTAAATATCTTAGCAACTATTTATTTAAACCTTGATTTATTATAATAAAAATGTTAACGTATCGATATTGAAGGTATAAAAAGAAGGTACAAAAAAGGGGCCAGAATAGAGTTTTTAATCTCTTTATTCATAATTAAGGTTCGTCGGATAATAAATCCGACCATCACAACGAGGTATAGTTTTCTTAATTTACACTATAACGGTAAATTCAAAGACAAATTCTCTCATTGCCTCTAGATAATCATCGTGCGCAGGCGCGATCACACAGCATTAAAGAAAAATGCACTGTTTCATTCATACGTACAATCATATGTTCACCGGAACGGAGATTTAAACCAATGCGTTTGCAGGATTCGTGTGACGCATTAATTACTAGTTTATCTTGCTTGCGGAACTCGATAACGCGTGTGTATGTATGTTGTGTGTATGTACGTGTATGTGTACAAGCATAGAACACACGCAGTGCCACTTAAAAATCGATTACTGCGCCGGGTCCCCGGTTCCGATATCGTAAATGAATCATACTATACCGCTAAACCGGCACGCATGCGCATACACTGTATATACAATAAATTTACACGCGCGTACAGCATTTGTTACGTCGCTAACAATCGTTAGTGATAAATAACTATGTATTAAATATGCAGAGCGAACGTAAAGCTTACCGGTCGTCGTAATAACATGTTCGTCCGCCCGCGTTATTTGTTTCGTCTCTTAAATAATATTTGCTAAATACTTTGAACGGTCAAATCGCCAGCATAAGATCGTAGACAATAATCGAATATAATAACCGAACCAACGGAATATCGCTGTTTGCCAACAAATAAATGAGATCACTACCCTTCGAGTCGCGACGCTTCTGCGCGCAAACGTGTTCTATTTCGTTGATTGATTCTCAGACGATTTTACTCTGTATATTTCTCTAGCAATAACCGGACAATCCGAACAACTCGAATAAAATTTTCAACTAATACCCTATAGGATACTTTTCCCGTTAATACGCGTATTCGTTTCCCGTACTTGACGTTACTACGAAATCTATAATTTGTATAACAGAGGTAACAGACGAGTTTGCATGGATGTACGGGTTTAGACAGATTACCGTGTTATTGTTTACTAAGCTTTCATTCATTTAAATAGCTACCGTGCGTGTTTAAAGATCGAAAATATGATAGAACGGTTCGACATAAATAGAAAAAAACAAGACGACCGAACAACTACACAAGATGATTTTTCGTTTAAATTTCGTCACTGATTGTTAGGAATTCTTCTGTTACCCTAGACACGAGCAGCACTCAAGGAACTCTTTCTATTTAAAGAGGGACGAAACGATGAAACGTTGTCACGTAAATCGAGCCCGGGAACTCGAGTCGAGGCGGCCATAAGTCTTCCACGTAAGCCTCGTGGATCGTCGATACGTCGGCGATCTTTGCCGAAGTCGGCCGAAGTCGCTTGCGAGATGCTTCGAATAACAACATACCATCATATTTACAAACACGGCCATGTAAGGCGAGTTCTTGGCTAATTATGTTTACCTCGTAGTACTTTCTTTCGTCTAACGACACTTTGCACGCACTTACGAAAGAAACGACCGTTAAAGGAGAACGAAAAGTTTCAAATCCTGATCCGTACCGAGAATTTTTTCTTTTTTAAATCCCACACGAACGAAATCGACACACGATTTATTTTCACAGTTCGAGCGGCTCGTACACAGGTTGCAATTGTTCATCCTCGGAATCATAAAAGTACGGTTTCCTTCGGTAGACGGTCGGCTGTTGGTTATCCTCCTCTTCTGAATTTTCTAGCTCGTCCAGATTCGCTTGTAGTCTCTTCACGGCCTCTTTTATTAAACCACCTTTTCTTAACAATTCCTGCAAGAGCGCGTAAGGATCGTCCTCCCTGGTGTTGGGTCTTTTGTGGTGATGGCTTATATGATGGCGATGATCGTGGGCACCGGTGTTCCTCGTGCCGCAAACCTCGCAGCTACTCGGATCTGCCCACGACCTCGACGGTATCTGATAGGGCGAGGGTCGGTTTTTGTGACCGATGCTCGATTTAGCCTTGAGGCTGGATAATCGAAGATTCTCTTTGATCTGTGAGACGAGGAGATCCACGTCGCGAGAAAGGAAATCCTGCGTCGTGTCTGGCATCACTTCGATCAAGTATGTGGTTTCCTCGGCGCTTGGCATGTCGTACTTTCCCCCGTTTGCCGGCTACGAGAACAAAAGGGCAGTGGCACGAACGTGTTTACACCTCCACGTCTGGCGATACCGAGCAAAAGCCAGGCGTTCGTAATAAAGTCTGCGCTCTCTCGGCCAACGTGTTATTGCCCTCTCTCTTTCTTTCCCTTTCTACCTCTCTTTTTTTCTAGTTACATACGGAACGTTGTTGTTGCGCCTCTTTTCTATGGAGCTACACGTTCGTTTCTCGCGTACGTAAATCGACACAGGTAACTAAACTGCTCGACCGGCGTACACGGTTCCTCTGACTCGACATTCAGTCAATGTTTACGAACGTATTTAGGAACGTTCGTATAAACATAGATGGCCTATACTACCAGCCGTGGTCTCGTAATCGCATAGAACGCGTGATTCACTGGGTAAATACGCACGATGTATCCTTCCCCTTCTCTTGGGCCTCTCCTTTTCTCGAACGTCGAACGATCATCAAGTTTTGCTTATGCTCCGCTTTCTGGAATCGAACGAACAACACTAGCACATATTCGAGCGTGTTTGAAACAGCAATTCGCTTCGCTGTACACTTTTACCCACTTGGTTCTTCTTGTTTCGGTCACGATAACACCGCAACGTCGTTTCTTAATCACATTGTATTCAACTTAAAGACACGTTGCACAACAACAAACGTTTTGACCCAAGTCTGCCTCCGACTAGCTTGTTACGTGGAGAATCGGAGAATACGTGTACTATAGTTTCGAGCGATCGTCGAGCAAATGGTTTCGTAAAGGCAAAGGTTTAATGTTTCTTCCGCTGGCTTATATATGTATATACATACACAGAGAATTTAAGATACGACCAGCGTTCTCGTACGCCCAAAGCAACCGACCGCTCGTCCGCCAGCCACGAACCTTCTACTCTCTTATTATTGTTTTGGTTCTGCGGCGCATGCGCACTTTCCCCCACGCTCGTGTAAACAAACCGTTAACTCGTGAGGTCTAGCGAATCGATAATACCTATGTCATTTCCTTGTTCTACGTGTCCTGTCCCCTCGTCGGTAAGCTGTGTCGAACCGTCAGAGGAAACAATTTCTACCATCGTATTTGTCAAGCATTGCAAGACTTTTGATTAACATTAGTTTAGAGAACTATTTATTGTGTGCGACAATTTGCCGAACGCGAGTTCCGTTCTTAATCTAAAATACTTGAGGCTTGGACGAAATACATACTTACCAGGATCAGGGGTTGCAGGGTGAAGAGAGAAAGAGAGAGAGAGAGAGAGAGAATTTGCAATGTACGGATCAAGGTTACACTCGAGTCGTGTTAACTACGTCATCCTTTGCCAAGTTTATCATGCGTGCGCACACACGTTCATCTCGATCGCCAGTTGCAATGTATATGTTTACGCGCACATTTATCCGCAACTAACGAATCATTCATTACACTAATGCGTAAAGCAACGTAATCTGTTGTGCGGGGCGTTTCGAAAACCTTCAATTGATTAGAAACTAGAAAATTGCAGAAAAGGTTATGTTAATTGTATCCAGAGCTTGAAAAGGTTCTAAAAATAATTGTTTATATTGGTTTAAGTTAAAGTTCTTACATTGGCTCTCATATAGGTTTCATATCCGTTATTTTTTAAGATCTACATATACATATAAATTATATATATAATAAAATATAGTTCGAAATTTAAGTTTTTTATAACAGTTTTCAAGCCCTCGTTTGAATTAACAGAGATGAATCTCTATTTTTTTATATCTTTCTTCGCCTATTTTCGAAAATTAAAAAAAAGTGCATTCAATTTTTACACTATTAATAATTCATATTGTTTCTAATAGTTCGATTCAAAAATTAAAATATATTATACGTTTGTATAGTTCGATCTTTAACAATTTAAGCTATGTTTTTTCTCCCAATTAACAAACAATACGTTTTTGCGCATTTTTATCTTCCAAGTTCGTAGTTTTCTTTCTCTTTTTCTTAACAGATGACGTTGGCGCAGTCCTCGTGTGGGATTTCATATTTTAGGAAAAGTTTGATGGTGATTCAAAAGAATTACGTACGCTTCAGGTAAAAAAATAATGTTATTAAGTAACAATTTCCTATGCGCGTCTCTCTATATCTTATAGAGACTTTGTACAAAACTGTATCTTCTTTATCGCGTTATTTTAAAACACGGATACTTGATGTCGCCCCAATCGTCATAGCTGTTACACTCGTTAGAAATCAGCTGATCGCTACAGGAACGTGTGTTGTGTGATTTTATTCGCATGTGATCGTGTTAAGCAATATTCTAAAGCGAAAAATTCGAAGAATTGAAACAGACGAAGTTCGATTTAACACAACCTATTGCAATAACTATGTTCGGTCGTGTATTTATGTCAAATTTCCGTCATATATCGGTAGGTACGAAACACGTTTTCACGTAAATGTACGTTTACTATCGTGCAATTTTCTTAATGACCGGGGAAAGTTTATGATTTTCCCTGTTGATATGGTGAAGCCGATTCGTTGAACATTCATTCTGTAAATTTGATGAAATTAGCAACATTTTTTCATTTACCGCAAACCACTTAAAGCAAAGAAATGAATCAAACTCACCGAGAATGCGAAAGATGAATAAAATAAAAGTTTTACAGCTCCTATCCAGAGTATGGAATGGCCCTAATAGAGCATTGGCTGGTAAACAAGCTGAGCAAAAAATGGTAGCAATTTTAAAGAATAAATTTCCTCAAGCTAAACTTATCGAAGTAAGCGATGTGTCAGGTAAAATAACAAGCTTTGCATTTAGCCACATTTCTTGGAACCGATTCTTTTCTTTAGATGCATAGGTTATACGGTAATACAAAGTAGTTGCCACCAACAGGAATAATATTGTGTTTAATTCATTCGTAACAATAAAAATAATAAATAATTCTCTTCTTCCGAGCATATTGCCCGCATTTCATAGTAAAAATTTAGAACTACTTAATTATTCTTATAGGAGGATGCGGTGCGATGTTTGAAATAAATGTGATCGCTCCTGAATTCAAGGGATTGAATACTATAAAACAACATCGAATGATTAATGAAGTGAGAAACAATAAATTATGAAAGATTCATATTTTACTGCATTTCTTTATTATAATTATGCTTTCATAGGCTCTAAAAGAAGAGATCAAAGACATGCACGGGTTACGGATATACACCAGTGTTCCTGATTCTTAGACATTCTTTAATTCTTTAGAGAACTGCTTCTTATACATACAATTATATGTTTAAGATGTACAAAGTTTTGTAAATTTTGCATATACCTATAAGTTAAACTCCTGTTATACAAATACCAAATAAAAGAAACTATGCCATGTAATATTTTACAACTTATGTGACTATATACATACGTGTATAATGTGTATACATATAAGTATAAATTATATGCCATAGTTTCGTGTTTTATTTAATATATTATTATTATTGTTGTTGTGTGTATGATTTTATTTTTATTTATTTCATAGTACAAATTAGGTTTCAAAATATGTGTGAATAATAACATTTTTTTAATACACAGAAGATTGAAATTATTTATAATTTTTACAATCTCGAAGCAATTTAGCAAAGGATATTTATGTCATAATTACGTAATACATGTATAATACTTGTATGCACAGAAACACACGCGCGCAAGCGTGTGTGATTCTCAATGTTGCGAGAAAGAGAATTTAACATGCATCTTTCTCTGCCCCCACGCTCACTTTTCTCAGTCCAATAATGTTTTGAACATTTATAAAAAATTCGCGCTTTCTACACTCGTTACAAGACTGTTATGAAGAACAGCTGATTCTCATAAAGTCCAGTAAGCTACCTCCGGGCAGAGGTGCCCTACTAACACATGCCAAATCACGCGTACGTGCGCTCGTGGAGTTTCGGGGAGTCGACAAAGGCAAACTGACGCATGCCCTCTTTCTCGATTCTCCGAAGCTGCCCGAAGTAATTTCGGACCGCCTCGTGGGAGTCGAGAGAGAAGGCTCACATTTGCTTTCTCGCTCTTGGACAACTGAAATTCGACCTCACGTCGACGGCATACGATTCCGAGTCTCGACTGACTCCGGCTGACCACTGCTGACCACTGCTGATACTTCCGACAACGCATAACGATTACTACTGGTTACTGCCAGCCTCTCCTGACCTCCGCTTATATTTCTGACGACGTATAACAATTACGACTGACTTCTGCCAACCTCCGCTGACCACTGCTGACCACCCCTGATGCTTCCGACAACGTATAACGATTACAACTTGTCACTGCTTGCCCCTGCTGGTCTCTGCTTGTCACTCCTTGCCATTGCTGACCCCTGCTGACCCCTGCTGACCACTACTGACCACTGCTGACCACTGCTGACCACTGCTGACCCCTACTGACCCCTACTGACCACTGCTGGCGGAGAATCGAGAAAGGGTGCATGTGTCAGTTTGCCTTTGTCGACTCTCCGAAACTCCACGAGCTCACATACGCGTGATCTGGCATAGTGTGAGTAGTGCACCCGGTGCCCAATCTGGCATCACTGCCTCCGGGGCCGTTCGGTTAACAAGTAATTCTTTTAAATTACAAAATTAATTATTTTCAAAATGTTTCCGCGTAAAATGCACCATTGTTATATAAACCGTAGAATAAATTTACTTCGAACGATGTACGATATGAAAAAGTTATTTTCCGCTCTTGAAATGTGATTTTTTTGTTAAACGATTCTTTATAAATACGAATTGACGCGGTGGTGAAAACAATAAACAGAGCATTTGTTCTTTCTAAATTGACCTTTGGCCAACTGTTAGGTCGTGGGTACGTTATCGATAAACGTTTCCCTTTCACTGAAAGGAAAGCATTATCAAAGATAGAAGCAAGGCAGATTGTTAGTTAGAAATAACCGCTCGATGCATCTGTAATTTCGTGAAACATGAGTCTCAACATATTCAACAGATTGGTCGGGGAAACCGATCGACTTATTCAAAATGATATGATATTATGTACTGCCCGAAACAGTTCGTCTATTCGTAATCACCGATGTGTTCGATCAGGTATGTTGTATTCATTGTTCTTGTAATTGTTTTTAATTTCTCCGTTATAATATGTCTTATATTATAAAGAACTATAATTATGCGTTTAAAATTGCGTTGAACTTGTTTTAAAAGACCATAATACTTGCAGGAACCAGTATATTGAGTACAATAGTTTTAATTGTGAATGCTACGTTAGGAGCAGGCATTTTAAATTTTCCACAGGCGTTCGACAGAGCTGGAGGAATAGCCATGTCGATTATCATCCAATTTCTGTTACTTATCTTCATTACAGCTACGCTAGTCATTCTGGCACACTGCAGCGATATCACAAACACTTCTAATATGCAAAATACGTTCGCAGAATTTTGTGGTCATAGGTGGCTTTTCTTGTGCGCTTTGTTCATCGTGGTATATAGTTTTGGATGTTGTTTGACATTTTTAATAATCGTCGGAGATCAATTTGATAGAGTTTTAGCAACCTATTATGGACTCGATTACTGTTACACTTGGTAATTGATATTTTATTATGTTTTCAGAAATGCTTCGTTACGTTTATTTATTTACAACTTAAATATTTCAGGTATTTATCCAGACCATTTGTCACGGCGGTAACTTGCACCATATTCATCTTACCGTTATGTTTTTTTAAGAAATTGGATGTTTTGAGTTATGCTAGCTACGTTGGATGTATAACTGTTCTATATGTAACGTGGTTGATTGCTTATAAAACCTATACAAAACCCGAATCTCTTAATAATTCGGTGAAAATATGGCCTGACAATGGATATCAAGCGCTTCAAATAATTCCAATAATATGTTTCGCGTATCAGGTATAGTTTTGACGATATTAACCTTCTAAACCTTTTGTTCAGGCTCTGGTTAAAATGACCTGTTCAGAAGAGGTGTACAATGATTTTCATGACTAACTGTACGCTCGATGTATGAAAAATGATATTTATGAATATTAACTATACTTTTAAATCTCATTTCTAGAGTCATATGACAGCAATACCAATGTACGCTTGCATGAAAGATCGAAGCCCTGGAAAGTTTACGATATGTGCTGTAATTAGTATGATTATTTGTTTCGCTGTATACACGGTGGCTGGTGTCTGCGGATACGCGACATTCGGTGCTGGAAAGGTGCCTAGTGATATACTTCAAGGTTACACGGATAAAAGTACAATTCTCACTATAGCGATCGTATTTATAGCAATTAAGAATTTCACCACGTATCCGATCGTTTTATACTGCGGCCGCGATGCTCTTATGAGTCTTGTTAGAACAAGGTTTAATGTTAGCGACAGATTTGGAGTTTCTATTACGTTGTTTTGGTACGTATTGTCTCTGGCGATTGCAACATTAGTGCCAGATATTTCACCAGTGATCAATTTATTAGGAGTATTATCGGCAGCTTTTATTTTCATCTTCCCAGGCATTTGTCTGTTCAAAAATATTCTTCTGAAAGATTCGGAATTGCATCTGAACAAAGATCGACTCCTGATTATCTTTGCAATTATTATTATCGCGCTTGGTTTTTTCGTTTCTGGTGTTGTTTTCGTAGAAGCTATAAGAGATTTGAACATCGGGAAATCGTCGGGAAAACTGCCACTAGTAACTGGTTTTAGACAGCTGAGGGAAAGTTTATGTAGTTAGTGTGTTGTACTTCATTTGATCAACGGCCATCAAAGTGTTAAAGAGAATGAAATTATTGATATTCTGTTGTTTGCCGAATGCGTTACAAGACTTAATGTTACATAATTTTAAGCGTAGTACTAAGCACAAAGGAAATCAGAAGACTGATGTATATAACGTTTATTACTATATCAGCTGTGTTATTATTTTTGAAAATGTATTTTATAACCGAGATGTGATCGTTTATTTTTTCTATTACATTTGTATACCTTAGAATAGAGAGCAATAGTAAATAAATAAAGCATTACGTAGTTATTTATACAATATATTACTCCCCTCTAAAGTCTATCGTAATCTTTACAAAAAATTTACTATTATAAATTACTTTAGAACAAAATACGCATCAGGGTTTGTCCATCGATGCATTTAAGATCTTCCAACACTAGATTTACGAAAACCGTCAATTCGATACGGTTTCGATCCCATATTTGAAGTTGCAGAATTCGTATAAATATGTGCAGTCAATGTTCCGTAAATTTAGCGTCAAACGTGTTCATCGGTGCATCAAAATGATTCCGTGGATTGTTCCGAATTTAAACTTTCATTGATAAAATCGTACAATATGTTACCAGTGAGATCTACGACCTCGTCGATGGTCGCCTTACAGAAAAAGCATTTTCTGGTGTTTAAAAGGTGTCGATCGATGCAGGTACGACACGTTTGATGGCGACAGGGTTTAAATATCACCGCCACGGGATACGCGTAACAAATTGTACACGTGTTGTCGTCGTCGCTTAAAATTTTCGAATCGGGCAAAATGGCGCGACATTCATCCAAATATTCGATCATACCTTCTACCATTTTTATTTCATCTTTCGTTACGTCATCCGGATCTGAAGCGGGCATCAAATATTAATTTAACGATCGGAAAGCATTCGAACGTTTTTGTACTTACAGTTCGCGAACGAAAACGGCTTCGTGGCTTGTTCTTTTTTACTTTTTGCTTTCGAATCGCCCAACATAAAATAAAGGGAGCTCATTTGAAAGCTGGGTTCCATCAGCAGAGTTTGAGTCACCTTTGACACTTCCGTTACACCTTTCGCTGACAAAGTTTGTAATTATTTCGTATCTCTAATTTATGGCACGATCAACGCGTGAACTGTTTCGCCATCGAAGAGATTAGATACTTACATTTAAAAGTGGGCATGTCTTCATTGAGCAAAGCCAACAGGATACCAGTAACTGCTGCCAATATTGGAAAGTGGTCCACCGATTCCAACTCTGGTATTTCCAATAACACAACATGTTGGAAACAACTGGTTTGCAAGCTCATTCTATTCAACACTTGGCAGAGTAACTGTAAAAATAACATTGTGGCAATTACACTTCAAGGAAACTGTAGAAGCGTGTAACATATGAAGATATGTACTTGGCATAGTCTAGACAACAAATTTTCGCTGGATGACTGCGTCGAGTCGTTAAAAATACTTGGAACCATCGTAACGATCATCTCTAAAACTCTTAACAGGAAAATCGTTAAATCGAAGCACGTGGCGCAAATTTTCAATTGTCTGGACTCGATGAACACTCTTTCCGGCCTGGACGAGACATTGTGAATTTCTTGCACCATTCCGATGAACTCGGAGAAAGCCCAGTTCAACTGATTCAGCAAGGAATTTAAAAACTTTGCAGACGCTTGCGGGTTCCTTAGTAGCACGTCTTTTACGTGAACTTGATATACAACGGATGGACATGGTTCTAAAGAACCAGGAACAAATATGAAAGATCAGTAACCTTATCGACAATCGAACGTTTCAAAGTATATTATCAAATGGATAAAAGTTATATACTTATGGGCTGTGAAATTGATTCCTGTTGCAGTAATCTTGATCCAATTCTTTTGGAAAGATGAGGACTCTTCTCGTATCGAAAGGCAAAACCGTTACCCTGCCAAAATCTGGCCAAAATCCAATTCGACTCGGCCCACGCTCTGTTCTCGTACGATTTCAACAGGTTCGTGACAACTTTTATTCTACTTTTCTCCGGCACGTTTTCCAATGCTTCCAGAGTGAGGGGATTGAACACAAACCCGGCCAGTGTTAAAAGTAACGTGCTTTTCGAATTTGCGTTCACTATACGGGGGTCCATGAAATGCTCGCAAAGAAACTCCGCTACGTCCAACAGCATTTCCCGATAATCCGGGATATTTTCAATGCGCACAGTCGGGTGCATCTGATTCCGTAAGCTGACGCACAGATCAGTCAACGCTTCCAAGAAAAAATCCGGTACGAAGCTGAACAAGTTCCCTTCCTTGCTGGAGTTTTTCAAAGTTAGCATTATCACTCCCAGAAGCCACGCCAGCTGCGATTGTTTTTGTTCCGAATAGACAACAGCACGGACCCACGCCATGTACCTTGCTTGTTCCATCAATTTAACGTTGAACACGTTGATCGTTCTCAGCAATTCTTGCTGAATCGATTGGGACTCGGGGTCTTTGTTGTTCTTTATTTGGTCCAATTTGGCTTTCGCGTCTTGCATGGCGGAAATGAACTCCGACATGCTGTTCCTGAGAGTCGCCACGTTCGCCAGGTGCTTCTTCGCTACTATGTGATAAAATAGAATAATGCTGTTGAGTAGCTCGAGCAAAGACAATGTTGCGTCCACGGGGCCCAGGGGCATCGGGCTTCTGTCTTCTCTTAAAGACGGAAAGTATCCCAGTCTCTCGAAGATCACAAAATTAGTTTGGCCGGACGGGCTGATGTTGATGACTCGCGCAAGCGTTGGCATAATTATAGGCAAATCCACCAGCCTGGTCGCTCTGTTATGGACATTGGACGTATCTGGAGCCTGATCCAGCGCAACGATCACCTCGTGATCGGGCCCCAACTGCTCTAGCAGTTCGCTTCTGAACGTTTTGTTCAAGTGAGACAAGACACCTCCCAGTCTCTCGGTTCTAGAGTAATCGATCGACGCATCGTAGAATGCCCTGCCCATTCAAATTTATAAGGATATTCTATTACGTAAATCAAACGAGATCCAATAATGCTTACAAAAATACAAAAGGCGATATTAATCGTTGTCTCTTTTTCGAATGTCACGAATTCACGGTATTGGAAATATACTGAACAGAGAACCTTATATCCACTTTTACCTGCAAGGCACGTAAACTGGAGACGTCCCTACTTCAGTATTCCACAATATTTTGAATGCAACCAGAAGCCGGTGGAAACAACACAACGTGATGGGAAATGGAGGCTGAAATATTTATTAGATTCTGTAGAAATACCGGCCAAAAATATAACGATACAAGAACTAAAAAAGAGTTGAAATATCTGTACTTACACGGCTCAATTCAAGATTTTCTTGCACGAAACGTTTGAATTTTCTTAAGAATATAGTTCTCGACGTTGGCCTCTTATCATTGCCGTCAGAATTGTCGAGAAGCGTTAGCAATAATCGCACTTGCACTATTTCTACTTCTACAAAATGTTTTCCATGGTAATAAAGGCAGACGGACGTAAGCTACGGGAGCGTTTGTAAAATGTATCGTACCGGATATGGCAGCTTTTATTTTCTCGCATGCGTCCAGGTAGCTTGTTTTGTGACTTTCAATGGCCGAATCCACGGGATTCGTTTCCCACCATACGTCACTGACGACGTCGGCTAAGCCTTCCTCGTTCAGTGGCTTGACATGCATGAAATCTGCAAATCTCACCCGATCGAAAAGCAAATATTGCAATAAATACTGTCGTGTCAACGGATGCTGGCAAATCTTTGTCAACAGAACTAAACTCTCGCACTGGTCGGGATATTCCAACAACAAAGTGACGTGCCTGAACGCAGACAGTAAATAAAGTACTGTACTCTCTAAAAACGCCTTGATTTCGTGATCATCGAGGAACGCCCACAATAAATCTAAGAAAGTTAATAACAGAGACGATTCTTCGGTCGACCGTGCATGCTCTTTCGAGGAATCTACCTTCGTTTCAGAAAGTTGTTGCATAAATGGGATTGAAATATGATTTGTAATGTATGGTATGGTCACTAGGGGTCCTATATGTTTCAAAACGGATCTTGAAAGACACATTAAGAAGGCTTGGATACTTATATTCTCATCCTGCAACATGCTCCGTTCGTTTACGTTCTGCTGTATATTTATCAATTCCACTATTCTCAAGAGCCACTTAAATAACAACGTAGCTTGAATTATTTCTTTCTCCGGAGCTGCTTGCAACGCCTGGTATCCTTTCACAGGGTAGCGCATCGGCGTAGAACCGAAATTTGCTGTTAAATTTTCTGCTAACACAAGACTGACTGTAGGAAAGTAGGCGAAACTAGCACCCATCGATATATTTTCAAAGGCTCTTCCTAAATTTCTACCATTTCTATAAAAATCAATGGTTCCGTCGTCCATATCTATCGCACATCCGATAATATCTCCCGTCAGCCATGGTTCCCCGTATTTGTGGGTGGTTACGTTCCATTTCCTGATACGATTGCCATCATAAGCATACGAATTAACAGTATCTCCTGGAAAGGAGGAAATATCTATATATATATATATATTTAATATAGCAGAAATATAAAATAAGATAGAAGATCACAAGTGTTATTTCTGTCCAGTAATGGGTTGGAACAGGATAAATATGTATTTAAACATTATACCAATAAAGAGACAAACCGACTCCAGATTCCTGATTGAATTCACACTTGACCGTGCTCCAACCAACTTGCATAACACCTTTGGATCCAAGTTGCAATTCGTAGATCCATTTTCCCTTGTACACGGCAACATTCGCTCTCATCGTACTGAAGTTGCTTTTAGAATTAATGGAGAGTCTGTCGGGGGAGATGATGCACAGCCCTTCAAGCGTAGATTTGTCGAATCTGACCAAACTCGGCCCTACTCTGCCAATTCTGGTATCCTCGACATTTTGTGTCGGAGCATTCTTCGACAGGGTGGCATCGATATAGTTGTTTACCAAGGTTAAATACTCCGATACTCTGAAACACGAAAGTGATCAAATTGTGTACGAATCGAAAGACACGTACATTGAAAAATTAATAAATACCTGAGTCCTTTCGAACTATCTTTCTTCAAGTTTTCATCGACAGTCTCTAAATACACATTTGGACTGAAAATGTCCTTTACAATTTCATTGACCTCCATGTCTGAGAGTCTGTTGCTAGCATTGAAGATATTTAAAGGGTACAAGCTTCAGAATTCACAAAATTATGCAAGGCGATTTGTTTGTTAGATCGACTGGCCAGCCAATATTCTACTTTCGATACAGGAGGCATAATAATCAACATTGTACCTAGATTTTCCTTACTAGTCTGATTTGCCGATCTGCAAACGGTGAAATTGCTCAAATGTCAATAAAAGTTAACCCCATTGTGCACGGTACAAAAAATTTTCTGTCACGCGTAGAAAGAGTCGAAATGGAACGATAAAATTTGAAGTATGCAAATGCAATTGCGGCGTACGATGCGGGAAAACTGTCGAATATTCTTTATTGTTGGCAAACAAGCATGCGCGTGGTATGCAATTAGATTCTTATCGCTTCTCGAGCGACATTTGCATCGACTAATTACAGCTAATTGATCATTCGTGTTTAAAAAAATTAATTTCCTCTACTCTTCTTTCACGCGTCATTAATAATAACGTACACATGGGAATTGCAATGTATAATTGGTATTCTAAAAGAGTTGCCAAGATTGGATAGTTTTACGCCCGGTTATCCACATTTTTAACGTTTTGTTATTTTTTATTTGTATTAGTTCGCAAATCTAATTAGCGAGGTGTTATCTTTTGTTTAAATTCTTTGTTCAAATAGGCATAGAAAGTGAAAATCGATTTGGCCGATTGTGAAACAAATTCGAACGATATTAACAAACGAGAAATTGATGATAATTTTTTTTTTGTTCTATGCGGATAGTAACTTTGCGTTTCTTCCAAAAAAATGTTCGTTTAATCAAAGATTAAAGTTTTGGAAACCTTCGATGAGGAAAAAAAAAATTACTTACCGTGGGCATCGAGTTTCTAGAAATTTGCATTGGGAGTGATCAGGATTGTTGTTGGATTAACGTTCAATACAGCCTGCAAGTTTCTTTATTGAATATCAGTTAATCGTAACGGAGAATCGTCAAATTAGGCTCCTGCGTCAGTCGAAACATTAAAAATCAACGTAAAAATCCAACGAGATTAAATTACGCGTGAAATTATACCGAATCCTCTTGAAAATAACAATTCAGTATAAAGCATAGGAAAACTATCGTAAAAACGCAACTTTCGCGAAATTGATAAAAAAAAAAAACGAACGCATCGTAAAAATCAAGGTTTAGAGTATTCCTCGAACAAATTAGATTTGGGTAAATTTTATTCACGGGAATGACGAATAAAAATTTTAAATTCGTTCTTAAATTAATGAATCAGTACATGTATATCAGTATATATCACCGAATGTTTTCTAATCCAGGCGAACGGAACTGCATGGAAAAGTCTACGAACGAATGTAGAATCTTTATTCGTTGTTTGCGAATGAAATTTGCCCTCTCTTGCTACAAATATGATACAAATGGAAAAGGCGACAATCCATTGGCTTTAATATTCTTATTGCGGTGGGTATAATACGATAATATTCGTTTTAATATTTGATCAGTAACCATAAAGAGTATTACGTTAGTTTTGTCTATCCCAGTGTTTCCCAACCTCTCATACCTCCCTCTAAACGCAACAGCCAACCAAGTTCCGAACAAGTCTAATACAAATAGGTACTTGGAACAGATAAAAGAAGAAACTGAATGCAATATAGTTTTCCATTTGCACTCGGAATATTAAAAATTGCCCCACGTTGGGAAACACTGCTCTAACCGAACTCGTTACTTTGGGCCGTGATATTTTTCGAGCGTTTTACTTTTCGAAATACAATTGCAGAATTCCTGCACATTAGTATCGGGTTATTGTATGCGTATTATTCGATAAACGAGTACAATGTTTTAGTTGGTTATAGGTAGCGATTGGGGGATTTGGAACGCTTCGAGTCGCTTCGAATCCATAAAATGGCGGGAGGTTACTTGGAATCTGATTCGAAGCTTTAGAAGTATTGAGAATCTTACAGCCCTTGAGAATTTCGATAATCGATAAGGTTCGAGGGCTTTATTTATTTAATAAATAAATACTCGATGTCTTACATACTTACGCGATGCATTCGCTTACGCAATTTCGTTAACATACGATTCGATATGAAAGAAAGTCTCGAAATATGTAGCGATCGTTAATATATTTTTGTAACGAACGTTTAGCAACTATTTAGTTTTCAATCTTCACCGACTTGGATCATTTTTATCTATCAATCTTGGATCAATTTTTTTCTACGAGTACAGCTTTTATGCATCATCAAGAGATCGTTAACATCGAACGATATTTCGAATCGCTTCGAACGTGTGTATTAGAATGCAACAAGATTGGAAGCAACGCAAAGCGAATCGAAGTTCCACCACTGATTGTAGGAAAGGGTATGAATACGTCGACACGATACATCGCTTTTTCCTATTTCGTTGAATTTCATAGCAGAATAATTGGTACAGACCTAAAACAGACGACGTCGAACCGTTAAATACACGTGCGTTATTGTACACTTATTATTATCGAATATATCGAACATCATTTTCATATAGTTCTTAATAATTAAAACGCCCATGGGCGCGTTACATGAAATGTCTAACGACAATCGGGATTCGGCCATCTCGATTATCGTTTCACTCATTCCCCTAAGTAAACGAACTCCCGGAAAAAGGCTTCTCTTTTTTTTTGTTTCTTTTTTTAATTCATACTCACTCGCGTGCATTTTAAAGGAACATCGTACACGACTGTTGCAAACATCATCATACTGATACACGTTGAGGAGAAATATATCCTTTTGCAATAAATTACACGTATCGTCCAACGTACAAAATTCGTATCATTCTCTCTCTCTCTCATTCGGCGAACAACTTATTTTAAACTCGAAACTGTTATTATTCTTCGATGTATTATCTCGCTCACACATTTCTCTCATCGTTTCTCTATCGTCGCTCGATGACTAGAAACATCGTTTCGCGGATCATTTGGTAAAAAAATTATGCGAAAATGGAAAATAGTCGTAGAAAAAATAAACTCGGGCCCATAGGCGGCGTCGTGCCTCGTTAAATGCGTGACGCCGCGTTGCTTGTATCGAGGCACGACGCTGCCTGCTCGGCTTTCCTTTTATTTCGGGTACAGTAACTAACGTGCTTCGAGTCCTTGCAATTGGGCGGAGTACCTGGTCGATGGGGGCGTGTCTCGGTAGTAAATCTCTACGTTCACCATCGCTCGAACACGCACAAATCGCTGAAAATAAATGTCTCTTGCTGAACGAAGCTCTCTCGACCATCTGGAGGGGCAATAAACAACCCCCTGACCGCGGTGAACTTTTTCGCGCGTTGAACGTATACATATAGTCCATGGACAACGTAGCCGTGTAAAAACCGATCTTCACGAACACAGACGAACCGAAATAATTCAGTAAACTTTAAACTCGATACTTTATCATAGAGATTAAAAAAACTGCACAGGACAGCGCGATAAAAATTATTACGTTCTACTTAAAAGAGGATACACAGTCGAGTATAGGCGCTGTGTTCGCAGTCAAAGGGTTGATTCGTTTACCCGGCGCTTTGCGTTTGCTTCTCGATGACCGTCCAAAGCGAAAAAGAGTAAATTCGGCTTCGAGTCCCTGCAATCGGGCGGAGTACCTGTTCGATCAGAGTTTCTCGACGGTGTATCTCTACGTTCATCTCGTTCCAACACGCGTGGATCGTCGAAAGTAAACGTCCCTCGCTAAACGAAGTTCTCTCGACCACCTGGAGCGACGATTAATTCGTCTACTCGGCGCTCTGTGTCAGCGAATTCCCTTCCATCCCTACAGTAATTAACACACGCATGGGCCGCCGAAAGTAAACCGTCCCTCGTCAAACGAAGCTCTCTCTCTCTCTCTCTAGATCTACCCGGAGCGATAATTAATTCGTCTGCTCGGCACTCTGTGCCTGCTTCTCGATCTTCCTCGCGAGTTCGGGGCTCATGTGCGGATGCGGGAAGGGCATCACCGGTTTCTTCAGGATCGTCGGCTTCACCTTCACCTGGGGCTTGAACGAGGATACCTGGCTGCCGCCCGTCAGGTGCATGTCAGCGAATTTCGCGACTATCTTGGGCGTGGAACGCGGCGACCTTATGGGTATCGAGTCGGATATCTGATTGGAGCTGGCCGATCTGACCATCTCCTCTTCCTGTTCAGGCTCGTTCTCCGTTTCCATGCGCTTCAGCTTGGACGCCTCGGGGTTCGACTTGGTGTTCTTTTTCAGCGTGCACTGATTCTGTTTGGCGAACCGCTCGGCGGCCGTGCTCATGTCGGGGGATTCCGGTCCGCCGGTAGGCGAGGTAGCTGCTTCCGCCCGGGTGGGCTGAATCGGTGTCTCCTCGTCGGAGCTGCTCAGGCTGCTCGACGAGGCGGACTTCTTGCCAGCGTCCTGAGCGGACAGCGGCAGGTCCATCACGAGATCCGGCGTGTGCTTCTGGCGCATCTCGCGGAACTCCTGCGAGCTACGGAAAAGCTTGTGATTCGGCGGCGCCGGTGGGTTCAGCTGGGTCTGCGAGGTCGCCCGTCTCTGCCACAGCTCGCGATTGGCCGAGAAGGTCGGCTGTTCCTGGAGCTCGTCGCCCTGGTTCAGCGAGTTGTTCGTCTGCAGTGTGTTGGTCGTCTGTTGCATGGTGTCCCCCATGCTCTGCGACTTCCAGTGCTGTTTCCTGCTGGTACCGCGCTTCGATCCGCCCTCCAAGCTCATCAGCGAGATGCGTTCCGCTTCTTCGCCGGCATCCTCGTTGCACTGCTGTTGCTGCGCCGACGAGTCGCCGAAGTTGGACGTTTTCTCGTTCTCGGCGTTGTTGCTGGCCATCGCGTCCTTCCGTTTCTCCATCTCGGGCGTCGAGGCTTTCGCCACGCGGGGCCCGCACTCCTGGAAACAGTTTTAAGGTTGAAGACCAGCCGGAGGGGAGTTTTTCTTGGAGAATTGTGACACGAATGGAGTTGGGAGAACCGACGACCAGATCGCGAATGTTTATGCAAGTGCATATCTTTAGAGGAGGTATCTTAGAGCAGGGTTTCTCAACTAGTGTCATTTGCCACCAAATTTTGTGAACGTCACTAGCGAACCCCAAGTACACGCGTGTAGTTTTTCTTAATTTAAATTAAGGGATAAAATTAGATTGAGAAACCCTGATCTACAGGGTGTTACACTGATCCAACAGCAAGTACAGTGGGTAACAAAAGTAAATAAACAATCTTCGTATGAACTCGTGGTATTCCTGAAACGAAAATTTAATTTTATACAGAATAATTTGTACTTAGACAGTAGGGTATTCTTAAGTAAAATAGACGATACAAATTTTGCATCAAACGAGCACTAACGTAAACTAACTACATGGAATTAAATACTAGTTACATTTATATAATTTGCACGTACCGACGTATCATATTTGCATAAACATCCGCGATCTATCAACGACATTGTTTAAAGTTACCAACCATGTTTATTGCAACGAAATGCAAATTATTTTCTGCGCTGTTATACGCAGTGCCCTGGAACATTGTCGCAGAGCAGGAAATGACCAGAACTATCTGCAATGTGAATTTCCAAAACACCCAACGTGTAGAATGTTAAGTTGTTATTTATAGCGTTTCACCTAATCGCGTGATCCCTTTTTCTTCGCTAAAAACTATTGTAAAGTAAATAATGACATTTCCCAACCAAATTGACAATGCTTCTTCGTTACTTCCTTGGCATGTGTTATCTAGCAGTATCAATAACGATGGGATTTGGAACATTTCGAATTTATAAATTGACGAAAGAATAGAATTATTTCGAAACCTTAGTCTTGAAAATTTTACAATTTTCAAGTATTTTTATAGTCGATAAAGTTCGAAGGTTTTATTCATTTATAATAAGTAAATGTTACATACTGGTGCATCTTTATTACTTCCTTTCACGCAATTTCATTAACATTGAACACTCTGACGAGCTATGTGATTTAATAAAATTTAATAAAACATTTTTTTTAACCTGGAAAATTATTGGTAATTTCAATGTCTTCGATTTAATTCGGATTATTTTCCGGTGTGTGTACATTGATAATAAGTAACTATATTTAAGGGGTGTCTTCTACCATGAACATTTGAAAAAATTAATTTTTCCTTTATGCTTAGTAGTATTTCTTATATTTTTCTAAATCCCCAAAATAGAAAGATCAAACATGAAAAATCGATATTTTTCTTTCGTTATAGCACGTAAAGAGAACGCATTTCACACTAGAATACCCCCTTAAACGTGTTTTTCTCGAAACCTTATTTTTTAATCTGGTCGACACGATATCTCAAGATCTAGTTGGTCGATTGACGTCAAATTTGGAAAGAATCTTCAGCGGACATGCCTTTATCCCCCGAACTAGAACAATTAAAAAATATTGACTGTTACCATCTTTTTTTTAATACCCTAAACACGAAAAAAAGCTAAAACACTGAAACTTTAACTTCGAAGTGCCATCAATTTTAGCTCGTTTTTTTGGCCCAACAAAATTTTCAGAACGTTACTCAAACACATATAAATAAACCTTGTAAATTCGACTGCAAACGGTGTTAATAGTTTCTTCGTAAAAAAATTCCCCCAAAGAAATTCAAATAAAACGCATTTCACACTAGAAGACCCTCTTAAATTTTGTAAATATCTGTTGATGGAGTGTCGAGAAATGATCTCTGTAAAAGTCGCGATCCGCCGGCGGATCACGCGATATCTAACGTGTCAATGGTAACACTATATCCGAGTATTTATAAGATGTTGAATCTAAGAATTTCTGGTCAAGAGACAGGAGACATGCGGCCATCGAAGTGTTAAGAGGCTAGAAAGTATACAAGTGATTAAGAAATTGTATACCTGCATGCGTTAATATGAGAAAAAAAAGGAGTGAATGAATAGATGCGCGCAAGATCGACGGTTCATGCCAAGGTAGGATTAAAAACTGCTCGTAAAACTGACAATGAATAGGATTGTATACAAGCAGGCAAACGCGTGGATACATAAAAAACAGGCCGCTGCATCCACGAGACACACCAATCTCTCTACAATAAACAAAGTTAATATTAATTTGACTGGTGGGTGCTGGGTGGGTGGGCGGGGAGGGTGAGATGTATTTTTACTCACCTAAGCCAAAAGAATATCCGCTGGATAAGTAGACACCTGCGAGTAGCATTCCATTTCGGTTTCGTCTATAGACTGAAATTGTTTTACAGAACGCTAGGATTCACAAACCAACTGAACCGTTAAACAGAGGCGGCCCCTCCAATGAAATGAAAAACACAAACGACAGACGCACACGACACTGGCAGCAGTTTTATCGAACAGTTTTTAGTCCGTTTCGCCCCACTACCTATGTACGTGAAACTTTTTTCTCGTCAACTAAAGGCTGACTAAACGTATATCTGGAAAAATAGCAACCATCCCAACTATTAACATCGAAAGTCGTAAATCAATACTAAAAGAAACAAAAATAAAATATATATATACAGGGTGCTCGTTCGAAAGCTTTTGAATCCAAGTATCCGGAGGACAGCGCACATTTTGGCGAATATATTTAATACAAAAGTTTCTTAGCTTCGTGGGGGAAATGTACCTGGAGGGGGCTTATGCATTTTTTATTCGTTGAACGCTTTCAAGATTATTCAACGTTACCCCTTGGAATAACTTTGAAAGCATACAAATGAATACAAAATAAATATTTTCCCTTTCGAAACTGAGAAACTTTTGTGTTTAATAGTTTTGCCCAAAAAGTGTGTTGTTTTCGAGATACTTGGACTGAAAGTGTTTCAAACAAACGCCTTGTATGTGGCACAAGGCACGAAGGATCACAGGCGACACAAGACAAAGAGACCAAGGCACATGCAGCAACAAACACGTATATTTCTATTTTATTTACAAATATTATCGTACAAATGATTACAGCTAATTCGAGACGCCACGATCTCGTGTAAAAATAAACTTAACATAGCTTTAGATTTCGTCTCCAGCCTCGCCGGTTCGCTATTTGGTAAGAACAAGATCTCGCCGATCCACGGAATCACAGATTCTAAAAACCAACGATATCCACACGGACAAATTCGATATAAAAATCTGAAACGATGCTTGTCGTGTAGAAAGTTAGCTTTGTTTGAGATAAAACCGTCGACTTGTGTTTTTGGGTTGACCAACAAATAATTGCGTTCACCCCCACCCATAGTTATACAATTAAAAAATAGTATAAAATAGTATATTTTACTTTAAAATATCCGTTAAGAAATAAATGTTCCTACCAGTCTAGAATTAAATCGTTAACACAGAAGTTAGGTTAAAACAGAAAAAGAAATAATTCAGACATTAAAATTTTACCAAATAATTTGTATTTATAAAAGTTTACACTTAAATGCAAGCCCTGATGGTATGTTTTATATTTAAAAAGATAATGGCGTAGTCTGAAACAAAATGGAGAATAAATAACATTGTGTTCATAAAATCTTCCATTTGCAAACGAACGTAATTGGAACGTAATTGCTCGTTGGTCGACCCAAACTGTTCATAGAGATTCGAATAAATAAAGAAAAAAAAAAAAGAAAAAACGTCTTCGATCAGACTCCGGTAACGCGAACGAGAAGCAATGCTGATTTTCTACGAGGTGCGATGTGCAGTGAACGAGTCCGCGCCTTAAAAATGGCGCTGTGCATTCCGAACTTACGGTTGCTATTGCATTTTTGGAGGAGAACAAATTACAGCACAACAGCCATGCACTTATGCCTAGTGTTTACATTTTCCGAGCGCGCCGCAGAGAATGTAAAAAGCAGACAAAAATTATGAGAAGAAAAAAAAAAAAAGAATTCGAATACTTGTTCGTATGCTAAACAGTAGTTTCCAATACCTCTCGACTGATGATCGGTTGCGTGGACGAGATGCAAGGTACGCTAGTCGCCGTTGCTGGAATAACGCCGCTGTTGCTGCTATTGTCTGTTGCTATTATATTCGTAGTCACGTCGGACGTGGTACCGGAAGACCAGGTACCCGGATTACTGGACGGTCCCATCAGCGGTGAATTGTTGCTCGAGAGAACACTGTCCGCGGAACTGGACGTTCTTCTTCTCATGGATTCTTCGCTGGACGATTTCAGGAGCTCCTTTTCGCGTTCCTCGTCCCTGAACAAACGACAAATGTACGTTCGTACGATGAAATATGAAAAGGCTTCTCTTCTTCCAACTTAGAAGAATCGAGCAATAAATTGTAATTATCGAAACGGGACATTCTCAATCTTAACTATTAAAATTTTTAAAATAGTTAAAATTAACAAATAATCTTAATCGAGGAAACTAATGTCACGTATACAGAGTGTCCGGCAAGCCTGGGATAAATTTTAATGGGAGATTCTAGGGACCAAAATAAGACGAAAATCAAGAATATCAATTTCTTGACTAAGGCTTCGTTCAAAAGTTATTAACATTTAAAGTTCCGCCCGTACTGAATTTTTTTCTCGAAAATGCACAGGATTTCGGGGATATGTCTACTCATAAAAAATGATTGTAATTGACCCCCGCAACCGAAAATAATTTTTCTAGAACGATTTGAAATTATTTTTTTCCGTCGAAAAATTTCATACCTTCTCGAATTTTTGTCTCGAAACTGGGTCGGATTTCGAGGGTATGTCTATTCACCAAAAATGATTGTAATTGACCGCCGCAACCGAAAATAATTTTTCTGGAACAATTTGAAATTTTTTTTTTCGTCGAAAAATTTGCCCACCTTCCGGAATTTTTTTCTCGAAACTGGGTAGGATTTCGAGGGTATGTCTATTCACCAAAAATGATTATAATTGACCCCCCCCAACCGAAAATAATTTTTCCAGAACGATTTGAAATTTTTCAATTTAATTGTTAATAACTTTTTAACGAAGCCTCCATCAACAAATTGGTATTCTTGATTTTCGTCTTACTTTGGCCTCTAGAATCCCTCATTAAAATTTTTCCCAGGACTGGCCGAATACCCTGTATAGCCATGTTTAGCTATACTTCACTCAGTAGTTTCTTGTTCAATCCTTTCCAAAAACTGTTGATAGTTAGTACACAAGCTAAGGGCGTAGTCATTTATGAACGAATAAACTTTAAATTCAATTTAAATTAAAATCAAAAACTAAAGGCAGAATGTTGTAATTAATTAATGTTTTGTTTTGTACAAACATAACAAGCGTATATTCTAATACTCGTGAGTGTACGTTTGTAAGCCCACAATGCCGTATTATGTAATCGATTAGCAATGCGTTAATAAGAGTCACTGTTGTTCTGTTTTCAGCATCTAAAAAGCAAAACCTTGTATTCCTCCGTCCGGGCCGTTAATGTTTAGTCACGGATTTATTTAACAGAAAGCATTCCCGCAAGAAAATAAATTTGCCATTGCGTGTTGTGATTAAGTCTCACTTACTTTATCTTGATCATAATATATTTATCGGGAATAAGCCCCTCTCTGCCAGCCAAGGCACCTCGCCACCAGTCATTACTGACTTGCGTGTACAGAGTCAAGGTATCCCCCTTTTTGAAGCTTAACTCTCTTTCGGACCTTGCATTGAAATCGAATTGCGCTGTAGCTTCGAGGTTTTCCGATTCTGGGAATACACAAAACGAACGTAGATCGCGCTCTGCTTTCCGAACTACGATTTCAATTTACAGTCAATGAAAAAAAAAGTATTCGCGCATCTAGTGTCTTTTTGCAATTTAAAAAAAAAAAAAAAATAATTCTGAAACATACCTATTGTTCGATGGCTTTGGTAGTAACAATTATCACAATGTACAACGAAAAAGTAATCGAATAAACTGTATTGTTCGTACAATTTATTCGACTATTTTTTCATGGTTCGTTGTTATACTTATCCAAAAAAAAACTGGGTGTGCGAATACTTTTCTTTACCCACTATATTTCTTACTCACCGTCCTCGGATGGATACACCTCGGAGTCCATGTCTTCCTGAACCTGATCTGTCGGCGAGTCGCCCACGTCTCTGCATAGAAAAGCGAATTTTCAATCGGAAATCTGTCATTAATATTGGGCCAAAAGTGCCTGTTAGGACTAAGGAGTGTATACTTACACGTCGTCCGGTTCTCTACTAATGTATTTTTCGTACTGAGTACCTCCAATGTCCTCCGGAAATATTTCCTCGCAGAACGTGATGATGTTTTTGATCAGTTCGTTCACTTGGTTTTGGTACTGGACCTGATCCTTATCCTCGGGCACAGGAACCAACGTTGGACCGAAGCAGATCGCCAGGTTATACGGATCCATCATGTTCTCGTCCGAGAATTCTGAAAGGCTATTATAAAAGGGAACGTTGCTCAAAAACCGTACAAAAATTATCTTATTAACACTTCAACCCAATGGAAAGTGATGATGCTTACTGATTGAGGAAGGCGAAAAGGTATCGCATTACAATGACGACTGGTCTTGGAAGACTCGATATCAGTTCTTTCATCTTGTTAACGAATTCCTGTTTCGATTCTAATTGCGCCAGTTCCATTAGATGCTCGAAGTAGATGATAGGAAAAAGCGGCTCTCGAAGTTCTCTCAAATAAAGCTTCAATACACCAGCGACGCTGTTAATATCCGATGCGTCCGTGACGTCTGCTAAGGGATCCTCCCCTCTCTCGAACCATTCACGGAAGTTGTTTATTTCCACCTGCGATCCAGACACTCGAAAGATACCTTGATGATGAAGTCCGTACAAATTTATCACTCTGATGCAGCTCTTCATGATCAGCGGTATTTCCTGGTTCGTGCTCTCCAAGTATTCCTCCAACGAGCCGCCAAACAATTTCGGCTGCCCGTTCATCTGCAATCGGCCGATCCGTTTCCGGCGTGCTTGCTTCTGTTTCGTCGTCGACATCGATGAATTTGCGCTGGCAGTGGAGCCGTCCAACAGGCTTTGTCGTATATATTCTTGTTTGGCGTCTAGTCTGGCTATTCTTGACGTTCCGAGAAGGTATTCCCTGAATTTCTACAAAATTACAATCGTCAACATCATGTTTCCAACAAACGACATTTTCCACCAAATTTTGTTTCTCGAAAAGAACTTACGGTGAGGTAGAATTCTTCGGTCTCTTGTCTGTCGGCTCTGAGTTTAATTTGCAATGTTTCCGGAGGCCTCGAAGTGGGCACAGCATTGTCCCCAAAGTATCTGGAGCAATCGTAATCCTTCGCGGTTAGCATTTCCAGCAGGCTAGCCTCTGCCGTTTCTAAAGTCTTCCAAACTTCCTCGGACTCTGTCCTCAAAGACGTTACTCTTTGTTGCAGTTGCATCAGTCGTTGTTCCATCTCGGTGTGTAATAATTTTTGCAATTCGGGCTCTGGGGTCTGTAAAAGCAAACGATACACATAACCATGGTCAAACGTCATCAATCATCGAGCCAGATTTTATAACGTTCAAAGAAACAAATGACAAATTTAGGCGTAGCGTACCTCGTCCCCTCGTTGCCCTTGGAATTCGAACTTTTTGGGAATCATGAAAGCAGAATGATACGACTCCAAAAATCTCTGTTTGTCTGCCCTGGAGTCTAGTGCACCGACACATGCAGTCAATTGTTCAGCACCTGACTGCAGTGAACGCTGCCTGCCTTCCTCTGCGCTGCAATGCATCAACAATGCCCTGGCGATGCAATTGTGAAAACCAAAATCCATACACTGAAACAATAAAATCAACAATTAATCAAATCAAAGGCATTAGGAATAAACAGCTGTATACTTTCTTGGCTATCCAGTTTTTTGTCAGAGTTCAAATAGTTAAATTCAATAATAATTGCTCAAGAGAAGTTAATGTTACATCTGGTGTTCCACAAGGTTCACACTTGGGACTTCTTCTATTTATAATATATATTAATGACATTTCTAAGATATTCCAAAGTCCTATACCTCATGAATCACATAATTATGACTTACTTATTAATACTAATCTTCAAACACTTTGTAAGTGAGCTAATGAAAAGTCATATTTCGTGTTCAACGATTACTCAAGTGTTTCCTTTGTATGTACCATCTAGATATTTAAGAAATCACAACGTTTGGATCTCAAAATGGTGTAAATCGATTAGTAATGCAAATTTTGTACACATTAAAACAGATTTAATCGAACAATCATTAGAAAGTCTAAAATAATTCTTGCAACATATTGTACATTAATTTATTTTTGTTAAATTCACTAAGCAATGATATTTGACTATGTAAAATCCACATCTGTAGTACCTTACATATTACATTGTTGTACTAAAGGGTTTAATCCCGCTAATAAATGAATAATAATAATAAACGCGTACCAGAAGTGGTTCAAAGTCCGCGAAATTTTTTTATATATTTATTTCTTTACATAACAAAAGGAAGCTCCAACTATTAAAGAATCCTACGTTTTGCTCCTCACTGTACTAAATAATTCTTCAGATAAGCAACTATCGCCAAAGCTGGTTAACGCAACTGGTTCAGCGACCTACTGCTGAGTCGCGTGTAGCCCATTAAGAAGCCAGGTTAGTGCTCTTTAAACTATGTTCAAACTATTATAATAAATTTGTAGGTTGCCGGACGAACACATGCGAGTATTTCAGCGTCGAAAGACGTCCTTATTGCTTCAGAATAATGTAATTGAACGCATCGAAAATGTACTATTCTTGTGGAGTAACCTACATCAATGAGATCCGATAAATCGTCCACAAAGTATTTGTGTATCGTCGTGTTCGATGCTTCCAGGCACAAAATGTATTCATTTCTCGCTTTCAGCGCCTTCAGCTTCGCTTCCTGATACTTGCTCTTCCTCTGAAACAAAAATAAAGTGAATTCTAACCTACGTTCTGGTTTTCTGCACTGGGGTAAAAGATCCAATTACTTGGGTTCTACGTCTTTGTCATTATTCGACATCTTTGACTCAAGTAGAGTTAATCACGGATTTGTTAAATCTGTATCCAAACGAGGGAACATTTTATTCGTTACTCGTGAATGAAATATTCTCGACTCTGGTTCTATATAGCAATAGCCACGAGAACTGACTCGTCAAGGCCACTCTACTTATACCGCTGTCTCTTTCATCTCTAGTGTTCTGCTCTTGAAACAAAAGACACGGCGATATAGGTGGAGTGGCCTTGACATTTCCCACCGAGGAAACTTGCACAGCGAAAATCGTTCTTTTTTTTTTATGTAGGCCGCGCTGAAAGAGAATAGCTACAAAAATAATTCCTATTATGTATAATCCATTGATGTGTATAAAGGTTTATGGGATAATTTTACAGAACGTAGATTGGAAAGATGCATGAGACTCATCGAACATGTCTATTTTGCAACTGTTTGTATTCGCGTTGTTGCATATTCTGCTGACGAGGATCGACGTATTTTAACCTAGATTTGAAATACCGAGCCTCGACGAACAACAGGAAGTTTCTTACTGGTATTGCAGGCGCGTTCAAATAGATTTTATTTAGTAAGGTTAGGGTTGGAAATTTGCCTGTTCGTTACGATTAAATATCGTATCATACCCCTGGGAAAAATTTTAATGGGAGATTCTGGAGATCAAAATAAGACGAAAACCAAGAATGCCAATTTGTTGATCGAGACTTCGTTAAAAAGTTATTAACGTTTAAAGTTCCGCCTGTAGAACTGCAATCTGCGTGCAGTGATAGTGGTTCTCATTCAGCATGAGAAACTCTACTGACTCATCGACAGCCTCACAAGTTTTCTGAGTGAGAACCACTAGCAGCTGTTTGCAGATTGCCGGTTCTACAGGCGAAACTTTACAGGTTAATAACTTTTTAACGAAGCCTCAATTAACAAATTGACATTCTTGATTTTCGTCTTATTTTGACCCCCCAGAATCTCCCATTAAAATTTTTCCCAGGGGTGACTGAACAACCTGTATTTGATTCTGATCAATAAGCGTTTATGGAAGTGAAATAAATAATGTAAACGAATCAAGAAGACTCTGTATCTACATAGTATATGTATATGTCCCTATGTATATATGTACCCAAGATATTGAGTCCCTATATAATCATATAACTTCATCAAATCTGTCGCCGTGAAAAATTTGATCCAAATCGATGACCCCATGGCCTTGTGCTCTCCTTGCAAGATTTGAGCACTATGGCGTTTCGACGACGGATGAATGAAACCGTACTTTATTCAGAGCATACGTGAGACTCGGGTAGCGTGTCTTCAACGCGAGAACCTCGTGACGGAAATCGATATCTCGCGTGGCGAAGCAAGTACACTCGACCCCTCCAGGGTCAGGCAGTGGCTGAAGAGCTGAATCGAAACGTGACCATCCACCAGGGGTCTGTTTTACTCGGTAAAGTGAAAGATCCAATACAGTATCCCCGCTATTTAGTAAGTGATGATAATAAGTCTTGTTCGACAGAAAAGATCTCGTTACATTGCTTGATAATTACCTCAAGAAACAGACTAAAAATTCGCCTGTTCTTATAAGCCGTCTGGGGCGGTGTACTCCCTCGATAGAATTTTACTTATATCCTTGAAACACTCTACAGCGTTCAGTCCACATCTTGAACGTTGGGTCTTTTACTTCACCTGGCCTTGAATATTACCATACCTTGTTCACTTCCTTTTCGATGAGCTTGTACTTTTTGCTACGTGCAAGCTTCTCGGGCGGGGCGATCGCCACTTCGAGCTTGCTACGTTGCTGTTCGGCCACGCGAAGCTTAGTTTCCGCTTGCCTCGATTCTGCTTGGTAAGCCTGGTACGTCTTCATCGTTGTGTGGAGCTCGTGCAGCACTCGGAGGATTTCCTCGTGCGTCTCGTAGCCTATTTCACGGCACTGAAACACATAAAGACAAACCATCATTGTCCAGACAAGGTGTTTATTTTGGAAACTTTTGCAAGCACATTTTTATCAGAGTTCATAGAAACGAGACGTGTTTCTAGTCTACAAAAATATACCAGATGTATAGAATAAAAGTTCTACGGCTTTATGGAACGTTTTTAAGAAGTAATCCAATGGCCACTGAGATCCACTGATTTGTTGCTGTATTTTCTACTGGTAACTCTGGGTTACAGCTTTTATCAGGCGGTATTGCCGGAGTTGTTGCCAAAAAATATTCGAAATAATGACAGCGGATCGCGTGCAGGAGCCAACTGAAACTGGAAAAAAAGTTTACAAAACGCGTAAAAGCTGCATCGGTAGGAACGATCTTGACCGAAATAGAAAACGTTATATGCTCGTATCAGCGGAGTTGAACGAATCTGGAGAGCACCAAATAATCCAAAAAGGAGAAACTGGTACATTGGAAAGCGAGGAAAGTACATCTAACGAAGGAGACCGTTCGGATGCAGCGTGTAATATAACGGGAAATCGGAATAAAAGAGAAAAGAATTGCATAACAAAATGGAAGTTTGCCGGAGCGAGCGGCCAGAGAACTGGACCCTCTTTGTTACATTTTCGATAAATATAAGCAGTTTTCTAGCAACAGAACTTTTAATTTATACAGGGAAAAATTTTAATGAGAGATTCTAGAGAGTAAAATATGATAAAAATCAAGAGTATCAATTTGTTGATCGAGGCTTCGTTAAAAAGTTATTAACGTTTAAAGTTCCGCCTGTAGAACGGCGATCTGCGAACAGCTGCGTGCAGTGGTTCTCATTCAGAGAACTGTAAGGCTGTCGATGAGTCAGTAAGTAGAGTTTCTCATGCTGAATGAGAACCACTCTCGCGTGCACGCAGCTGCTCGCAGATTGCTGTTCTACAAGCGGAACTTTGAACTTTAATAACTTGTTAACGAAGCCTCGATCAACAAATTGGTATTCTTGAGTTTCGTCTTGTTTTGCTCTCCAGAATCTCCCATTAAAATTTTCCCCATTAAAATCGTTTCCAAACGTTAGGGGAAACGCGAATGTATACTCACACGCTTGTATATCCGTTGTACGTCTTCCATCACCTGATTGAGACGTCCCACGAGATGCGTACTGTAGACTTCCGAAAGAGCTGCGTGGTCTCTGCTTAAGGATTTTGTCTCGTTGATGAGTTGCTGCCAGCATGCGTAACTGGAGAACAGAGGCCAGTGTTCTCGCCTGGAAAGTAATTAAGGTTGGATTATCATTTTTAAATTATCGTACACTTGAAGAAAATCCACAATTTTTTTTAGCTAAAGTACTGAATATTTTGGACGTTAACCTTGGGAAAAAAATATAGAAATATATATAGAATGATCAAACAATATTAAAAAAATAGATTTTTTTAAAGTTTTAGACTAGAGTAGCCTCTTGAAGTGCGCGACAGCGAAGATTGAAAAGTAAAAGATTAAGAAGAAAAAAAAAGGTACGTTCGACAGATGCTCGTGAATTAAGTTGAGGATATGTACTTTTGCTTTTGTTCCTTGTGTCTCAGCTGTATGCTTCTGGCCATCTTGTCGAGGGACTTGCTGTAATCGAGCTCCAACTCGGCTCTCTTTCGAAAAAAATCTTGAAGTTCTGCCACAAGGGCGACTTGTGCCTCCATCCTGACATCGAGACATCTCAGCTGTTCGTTCAGCTGCAGCCGTATGTCTGAAAGAGGAAAGCAAAACGACGAATATAAAGACCTGACGCCTTGCAACGTTTTTCGATAATCGATCGATGGGTCGGTTCACCGCAACATGTTTCATATTGCACACGCAACCGCTTTGCTATATTTTATATAGTTATCTCGGGGCTATTCAATAAATAACTGTTTTAAATCGTCGAATTATGTAATACAGCGAACGAAATTTCTATAAAAACACCATGATTCACTACCAACTCTTCGTTCATGTGTTCTATAAATACAGGGACTTCGGCCACCCCTGGGAAAAACTTTAATGGGAGATTCTATAGAAACCTTTCCGGCCACCCAGTATATTTTCGGTGAAGAATTTTTTTCTCGAAAGCACGTAGGATTTCGGGGGTATGTGTAATGACCAAAAATGATTGTAATTGACCCCCGCAACTAAAGATAATTTTTCCAAAACGATTAGAAATTTTTTAATTTTGTCGAAAAACTTGCCCACCTTCCTGAATTTTTTTCTCGAAACTGGATAGGATTTCGGAAGTATGTCTATTCACCAAAAATGATTGCAATTGACCTCTGTAACCAAAAATAATTTTTCCAAAACGATTAGAAATTTTTTAATTTTGTCGAAAAATTTGCCCAACTTCCTGAATTTTTTTCTCGAAACTGGATAGGATTTCGGGGGTATGTCTATTCACCAAAAATTATTGTAATTCACCCCTGCAACCGAAAATATTTTTTCCGTGAATGATTTGAAATTTTTTAATAACTTTTTAATATTATATTCTTGATCTTCGTCTTCTTTTGGCCTCTAGAATCTCCCATTAAAATTTTTCCCAGAGGTGGCCGAACACCCTATATATGTTAGTGACGTGTAAGAACCTTATGAATACTGTTTTTAATATTACAAATTTCGTCAGTCTTCAATGCATTAAATTTTTATATTTTGTTTCCAACAGAAATAAAACAGTTTTAAAAAAAATTCTATAGAGGATGTTACCTCTAATGGGACACGCGATTTTTTACCCCTTTAATAAAAATTGAACGATATGCGGTGTACAGTAGCTGTCGCTAAAAAGAATTTGAAAAACAAGTTTTTCTCACAGCGAAATCGCGATCGCCTTGGGTTTTATAAATAGGAACACATATTTTTTTATTTACCACATTGTAGAGAACATCAATACGAAATCAAAACAGTTAGCTTTTTGTCAAATATAACTGACCTGATATTACTGAATAAAGTTAATTTCTAAAATGTAAAAATTGTGGATATTCTTCAAATATAGATCGAAATATGTGTTCAAATTTGATACAAAAACATTTTACCGTTTCCCCTAAAAATTCCAAAGAACCGCTAAAAAAATTGTGTTCTAAAATTGCATTAATTGTAAATCTAATGCGAATTATAAGAAAGTTGTCCATAAACAACGATTTGAGAATCTGACTTTAACACACTTACTTATCAATGAAAAGGAGAGCTATGAACCGTTATTATACAGAGTATCTTTTTGGAAAAATAAACGAAAGAATATCTTCCCTTTAATATTGCTTTTTTTTTGTATAAACCTCGAGAATTTTCTTCTCGAATTCACTACAGAACGTATCGATTTTCCATACTTCCGTAGTGTGATTCATTCCCCAAGTGGACACGAGATTTTCAACCCCGCGGAGGGGCTGAAACGCATGAATCGAGCCGTCTACGCCCATAAGAAGGTAAATAAACGCACTTTGCCGCACGCAGTATATGTCAGGGTACAGATCGATCAAAAAACAAGTGAGCTAAAGAGGAAGGGATATATCGAAAATATCAGTCTCCTGTCGCAAACCATTTTCGAGGTATTAAATGTCAACATTTTTATTGTTTAATCTGCTGTTTTCATCTATTAAACAGCAGAAAACGACACTGTAACTATCTTCACCGTGTCTCTTCGACCAGTTTATCCCCACCATTCACCCTATCATGCTCAGAACATTCCCTCAGGGATCTTATTTAAGTTGGCTATATTAGGCTCCAGTCAGGGTTACGCAAAATGCAATCTGATTAATGATTTATGGTTATGATTACCGTGCAATTATCCAGCAATTACTCTGTAATGATAATGGTAAAACATTGAATCCTGTAATACACCATGTAACTGCTTAGTAATCGTAATCGTAAATCATCAATCAGGTTATGTTTTGACCAATTACGATATCAGTTCCTAGTGTTATATTTTACTAAGTTGGTACTAAAATATATCGTGATCGTTGCATATCCGTCTATGTGCAACATAGCACAGTAACGCACGGACTTGATGCACGCAAAGTCAAGCTTTAAGAAAGAAAGCGATATAACTCGTTAACTATTATGCCAATGCTTGTTCATTTAGTATTCAATATTCTTCCATATTTTTCGTCAGTGTTAAAGAAAGACTAACTACTCGACACCTCTGGTGAAAAGTTAACCGTGCAGGTTTTAACGATAGTTAATTGTGCATTACCGTAATTGTAAACGTTCTTTCAACGATTCGAAACCTGTCCCGTGAACGTACCGATCGATAAGATAAAAACGGTTCGTAAACGGCTGCGCCATTTACCTTTCGTCAAAGCTTCCCATTCTTGGCGTCCAGCGAGCTTGAACATTGTTCTGCGTTATTTGTCAGCTCCGCTGATCCCCGATGATGCTGTTTTATCTTCGTGCACGGATCACTTTGCTCGCGTCACCGTAAACCAAATGTGTATTGTCGCGGTCGTAGCACAAAAACACGCGCGTTCCCACTGTATATGTGTATCGAGTTACCAAACAGCGTCGCGTTATTTCCAGGTTAGGAAATCTGCCGATCTCTGGAGGCGTAGCGTCGCACCAAAATCACTCGTGGAGATTTTTGACCTTCCTTGCGCTCGAAACTCGATAGCATCTAAATTTCATGTTATTATCGTCAAGTTTCGGATTTGCGTTTGATTGGCGACGCGTTTCAAATAGAAGAGAAAAGAATGGAAACGGAAAAAAACATGATCTGATCATGTAGTATTATTGTAATGGATTCGATGTAATTGCAACGATGGTTGCGTGTCGTAAAATGATCGATGGTAAATAATAGTTAGAAACATGTACTGATAATGAATGATATGTTCGATATGGTTGATAATAATTCGATAACGATAATAGTCAACAAAAACATTGGCATGTTTCTCTCACATTTTGCTAACTTAACTGGAAAGTTTCATTTATGTTATCAGAGACAGATCTATTAGAATGTATTTTTGCGACATGCTAAATGTATTTCGTTAAACCGATGGAAATTGATAGGTATAATTGGCGATAATTTAAGAAATAAATTGCATATCTGTATCATTTTCACTGGGCAGCAGATCCGTGACTAATTATTGCAAAACTTTCACGCAGCGTTTTAACGTCTTAATCAAGTTTCATCTTAATAAAAGAAGTAAATGCCATAAGTTTCGGAATAAAGAAAGTTATGTTCGGTAATAATCATCAATCGTGAAAACTGTTCAGCAGACCGTATTAAAAATGTAAACATTTGTACATTTAATAATCCTCAATAATTATTTATTGGAAGCACATCATTTGAAGGTTAGTTTCTATTTTTCCCTGATTTTGTAACGCGTTAACGTTGATTTATTTCGTTTCTATTAAGTGTTCCACGGTTTGGTCAATTTATCCCGCTGTGAATCGCTGGCAAAAACCACTATTTGCTCCAGGGGTGGGGGATGATGCTTTGACGAAGTTTAATGTTTCAAAGTATCGTTTCATGGTCAACAAGGCGTACAAAGGTTTTGCTACGGAATATTGTGAGAGAAAATTGAAAGCGCAGTGGCATAAAAAGTATAGCTCCCGTGAGTCGCGGCGCCTATTATAGCCTGAGAAAGGATTCCGTTAATAGAATGTAACTCTCTTGAACGTTAACTTGCCATATTGCGAGCTTGTATGCTTCGCGATTATCGGTTATGATCGGCTACAGATAATGATGCACGTTGTTGCGTAAAGTTTTCAAAGAGCAACGGACACAGTTTTCACAGCGCGATGGCTACACGCAGAGAATTATTTTTAAATTGCTTCAAAGTATGGCCTTAATAGACCGTTTATACCACGGAGGAATCGAACACCCGAATGCTGTTTTCGAAATGCCATCCTTAGAAAACTACACGTAACCCTCCTACAACACGGTAGACAGGTTCCTAGAAAATACCGTGTTGTGCGAAACCGTGTTGTACGAGACCCGGAGCCAGTATAAAAAATTGAGTTACGTCCCGAAAACTTATTAAAAACAAATATTTTTCTTTTTATTTAACGGAACCTTAATTTAATGAATTATAATTTGTTTATATTTTTTCATGTGAAGCTATTACAGTTGTTCCTTCGCGTCATTATTTTAAGGTAATTTAGTTTGTAAATATGTTGAGCAAAAATACATAGTTGTACATAGGTTTTCGCAATTTTCTTATCGTGTCAAAGCAAAACCGTGTTGTAGGAGGGCTGCCTGTACTTCCAACGCTCTGACAAGAGTAACGTAAAAAAATTATACTAACGGAATTTACCACGATTTTAATTCTTAGCTTTAGTCATCGCAACGGAATCGTTATTGTCCAGTAATGGGAAATCGATTTTCAAGATAATCGACCAGCTCGTGGCTGTCGATGCGTGTTGCGCAAGCGACAGTGATTAAGTGATGCAGTTTTAATAACACCGAGTAAACCAAGACCGGAAAGGGAAGTCGTACGTTTGACAATATAAGATAGAATAAAATAGTTTGCCCCGTGGGTTCTCGTTCGTACGTCCGTCGGAGAAGCAAAACGCCCACGGTCGATTGAGAACGTCGGACAGTTAGGCACAATTGCTCCTAAATTGAGATGCACTTTCGTCCATGCCGTTTCTGTGCGGCTTGCTTAACCCTTTAACGGTCGGATATCTTTCAAATTTCCAGTAGAAAATGCACGAATTTTTTATTCGATAAATTCAAGTCGAGAATACTCTAACGTTTCTTACACTTCTAACGTTGTGCAAATATTTTTCCTATTTAACGTGCATTTTCATGTATGAAATCTATAAAACGATGACTCGAAGGTCGTGCGTTCTCTTTTGTTAGTATACAGGGTGTTCCACCATAGATAGGAAAAATTTTAATAGGAGATTCTAGAGGCCAAAATAAGACGAAAATCAAGGATACTAATTTGTTGATTGAGGCTTCGTTAAAAAGTTATAGAAACCTTTCCGGCCACCCAGTATATTTTCAATAAAGAATTTTTTTCTCGAAAGTGCGAAAGATTTCGGGGTTATATCTATTCACCAAAAATGATTGTAATTGACCCCCGCAACCGAAAATAATTTTTCCAGAACAATTTGAAATTTTTTTTTTCCGTTGAAAAATTTCACACCTTCTCGAATTTTTTTCTCGAAAGTGAGTAGGATTTCGAGGGTATGTCTACTCACCAAAAATGATTGTAATTGACCCCAGCAACTAAAAATAATTTTTCCAGAACGATTACAAATTTTTTAATTTTGTCAAAAAATTTGTCTACCTTCCTGAATTTTTTTCTCGAAAATGCGAAGGATTTCGAGGGTATGTCTATTCACCAAAAATGATTGTAATTGACCCCCACAATCGAAAATAATTTTCCCGTGGATGATTTGAAATTTTTTAATTTAATTTTTTAATAACTTTTAACGAAGCCTCAATCAACAAATTGATATTCTTGATTTTCGTTATATTTTTGCCTCTAGAATCTCCCATTACAATTTTCCCAGGGGTGACCGAACACCCTGTATGTATAACCCAAAGTTACATCGGGGAAGGTTTTAGGGTTAAACAAATATTGATTCGCACACGCGTGATTGGGCAGCTAAATAATATGTTACATACGAACAATTTGCAAACAATCAACAAATACGTGTCTCGATATACGTGCTCGTGGTGCATAAGGTCAGTATTATAAAACTGGGTAGATAAAACTATATGCATCGTTGCATAATATAGGGTTAAATTCTGTAGGGTAAGCTGGGGTAATTTTGACCACGGAGGTTAGGTTTTAGGAACGCATCGGTGGTTCGAGATATATTGCAAAATACTTTCCCTGGTATTACAATGAATTTGAGAAATAAATAATTCGGTACAACGTGACTAATCAGTCCAAAAATAATACTGAGAAAATATAACAATGAATATTCTGCATTAAACGCAGTATGTTCAGCTTTTGAATGTATTAACATTTTATAGGTAAGACTCATTACTTTATAAAATAAACTAACATTTCAAACGACCTTCTCTTGTCAGGTTTAATTTTAGCTACAAATAAAATAAATTATTGCCGAGCAACGATGAAGGTATTATACAATTTCAAAGTATGTAAAATTTCTGATTAATTTGTATACTCTGCAGGAATTATAGTCTCCTTTGTTCCTGGCTCTATGATGTTATATTTTTGCCTGGTTGTTAACATACACTTAATATATATATTGAATAAAACAAAACGGTAACAAGAGAATGCTTATCCAACCTGTGTAACCGACACCCCGGACTTCCCAGAATATTATAAATATCAGGAACACTCGTTTAACCACGTTGTGCGTTACGATGAGCTGTTCGTTTCGTAGAACGGCATGGTTCTGAGCGATTATAATCGTCGCGTTGTGAATTCGGTTTTTCAAGGACCCCCATCATACCATATGGGCGCTGGTGTCGACGTTACCGACGATCACATGTTAAGAAGCGTCGGAAGAAACCGTGATTCGTAGAAGAAGATGAAAGACGCGATTTGGTCAACTTTTTGCAGCCACAATACTACAAACGAAGAACCACAACATGAAAAAGAGCCACGGGGGACCGGGAATTGCGGCGCTGCGCGCAAAAGCAGATGGTAAATACAGCGGTCTCGATGTAAAACTTGGCCAGTTACATTTTTCTATTTCTGGAAGCTATTTATAGCGCGATAAATTCATCGAAAACAAAAATAAAAATTATCGACGAAAACAGGCGCGGCGGGCAACGTGTTAAATAAAAATGGCTGTGCTCGGAACTGATAATTAACCATTGCTTGTTTATTGTACCGACAATCATAATACCTTATAATAGAACGGTTCTATTTACCGTTCTCGACACGAAGTACAACGCTTTGTTTCTATGTAAACTGGACCGTCTGTGTTTCCACGGACAGGTTGCACGTTTTTTTCTTTTACGTACGAACATACTAATTCAGTCATGAGACAACTCTTATAATTCCCGCGGAAATACATTGAGCATCAATGTCGACTTATCTAAAATTCCATAAACAAAGTGTTCGTAATAAAATTTAGTCAATCGCCATGATAGGTTTACGTGCTACATACACTCTAAGGCTATCTTACTTAAAATTTTATTTAAAATACCAAATAAAATCTCAGTTTTAATTTAACAGTTTGAAACGATTAATTTCGTAACCATTTCAACTACTTGGACCTCTCATACACAAAGCAGGAAATATACCGATATTCGTACCATACGTTCGATTAAAAGTCTTCCATCGGTCGCTTATAGTATTTACCCCGTCGATCGAAAAAAATCACTGTAAACGTCGGATTGTCGATTATATAAAATTGTACGATCGCACCAATTCACGATGTCACACGCGAGCAAACGACGGTCGTCTCCGATCACCGAACTCTTAACTCGACGGAATTAACGTGTGAGTTCGGTAATTGTATCCCATCGTGGAACAACGTCGCGATAAATCGTCCTTTCTCTCGTTTCACCACAAACCGCGACGATTCCCAACGGTTTTTGCGTGTAAAACTGTTTGTGGCCAACGATTGGTCAGCGGTTCGGGGAATTCGGTAGATTTCTTTTGTGGGTATCGACGGACAGGGCGATCCGTAACAAACGACTACCGAAACGCAACTGGTAAAACGAATACGAAACCCGAT